GTTTTAAAGGGTTAGTTCACCCAAAAATGAAAATTAAGTCATTAATTACTCACCCCCATGCTGTACCAACCCCGTAAGATCTTCGTTCGTCTTCGGAACACAAATGAAGATATTTTTGATTAAATTTGAGAGCTGTATAACTACCACATTGGCTCCTAAAGGACTGCCTCTTGACGGCCCAGAAAGTCAATGAAGAAAATGTTTAAATATCCCAAGTGACTACCGTGGCTCAACTATATGTTTATCAAGCGACGCGAATACTTTTTGTGCGAAAAAACAAACAAAAATAACGAGTTTATTCAACTATTTCTTTTCTTCCTTGTAGGCCAGAACGAGACTTCCTTATAGATTTCCACGACGCATGCGCGAGAATTGCGATCTGAAGTAGTGTAAGCTGGTGTAAGCAGATCGCAAATCTCGCGCGTGGAAATCTAAGGAATTCTCGTTCTGGCCTACAAGGAAGAAAAGAAATAGTCGAATAAACTCGTTATTTTTGTTTGTTTTTTCGCACAAAAAGTATTCGCGTCGCTTGATAAACATATAGTTGAGCCACGGTAGTCACTTGGGATATTTAAACATTTTCTTCATTGACTTTCTGGGCCGTCAAGAGGCAGTCCTTTAGGAGCCAATGTGGTAGTTATACAGCTCTCAAATTTAATCAAAAATATCTTCATTTGTGTTCCGAAGACGAACGAAGATCTTACGGGGTTGGTACAGCATGGGGGTGAGTAATTAATGACTTAATTTTCATTTTTGGGTGAACTAACCCTTTAAGAGTTTTATAACACTTTAAAACGCGCGTGCGCTAAGCAGCATTCATACTTAACAAATGCACAGATAATCATGAGTTAATGTATGACTCATGACTAAACCATTCATTAATTATTACTGCATCAGCAACTATATATACTGTATATGAATACAACTTAAATGTAATTAATCAAATTAAATGAAAATAATATTCAAAATACATTAACGTCACTATTACAAGGAAAATAACACAAATAATAAACAAAACTATCAAAATAAACACAATGAAACAATGCCTGCTCACACTAGGAAATAGACTATGCCTACAATACCCAGAATTCCTTGGGATGGCATAAAATAAGGAACAGGAAGACTTCCTCTTAAACCCCACCATGAACCGAGAGACAAAAGATACGATTTGAAAATGTGGATTTAATACTGATATTGTTGATATCAATTCTAAATAAAGACAATAAATAACAATCTTGGTGTCTTCTTTTCATCCTCTAATGTGCACCTTAGCATTGTAGTTAGGGGTAAGTTATGACATCGTCACATACTGTTATCAGGTGTTTGTGAAAGACACAGACTTTTACCATGAGCACATCCTTCGAAAGTGTGTTACACACTGGTGTACAGCATTCATTCCCCATATATCAACACATGTTGCTGGTCTGAAAATCTGAGTGAGCTTGACAGTGTTTTCTTTCAGACGTCACATTCCACATGTCCAGCTCCAGCATAACAGGAAGCAGGAAAATAGCTTGGACTGTCCTTTTGAGTTCTCCAGCATTTCAGCACATTATTATCTCCAACAATAATGTGAGTAAAAGGGGTGGTGATGGCGCAGTGGATAAGACACATGCCTTTGGAGAGACCCCAATGTGTCCCTGAGCAAGACACTTAACCCCTAGTTGCTCCAGAGGTGTGTGACCTCTGACATATGTAGCAATTATAAGTCGCTTTGGATAAAAGCGTTAGCTAAATGAATAAATGTAAATGTAATTATATATAAACAATATGAATGTAAGCCAGAGGAGAACTGGCCCCCGACTGAGCCTGGGTTCTCCCAAGGTTTTTTCTCCATCCAATCTGATGGAGTTTTGGTTCCTTGCCACTGTCGCCTTGCTTTTGGCTTGCTTTTGGCTGCTCAGTGTTTAGCAATGTTGTTGATCTGTGTTGTACTACTTTCATGTTATCAGTGTGAAGCTGCTTTGATACAATCTGTATTGTGAAAAGCGCTATATAAATAAATGTGACTTGACTTGACTTAATGTCTGTGCGGGGTTCTGCTGAAACACGCAGAGATAGAGACGTTCACAACAGCTCAACAAGAGTTCAGTTTCTTTAAACACACAGATAAAGGCATGCACAACAGCTCAACAAAGGGGTTGTGCTCGTCTGAACCAGAGTGTCCTTGTTCTGTTTGACTAGAAACTGAGACTAGTGTCTTACCGTGGCTAATAGTAATAGTAGCTAATGGTACCTTTTAAGTTTTAAAAAGAAAGATTGGAACTAATAGATTAAAAGAAAGTGTGTGTGTTTGTGCCTGCGCTAAAGACTATAAAGTAATTATGAGATCCAGGCAGACAAGCAATGATTATATCAGAGATCAAATTTTAAAAAGGAACAACAAATGTATTAAGAAAAAATATTAAAGAGACAAACAAATGAATACGTAAATATTAAAATTGTACTAGCAAATAACTTATAGATAGATATTTTTGATATTCTATAGTTTAAAATAAAATCCAATGTATTATCTAACAGATGAAGATTGTGAGGATATAGAGAAATGAAGGATGAAAGGAGAGGTAAAAGGGAAGAAAGATAAGCAAAAACACACGCACATCTATCCGATTCACATGCTGCATGCTTCTGGATTCTGGAGGAAACATTGGGAGAACATGTACATTAAACTGATCTGTGAATTTATTTTAGATTGATATTAAACGTTTGATAACGGGGGATTTGTGGACGCAGTAATTCATACATATGAAGAAAAGTCTCTTCTTCTGCTCACCAAGGCTGCATTTATTTGAACAAAATACAGTAAAAACAGTAACAATGTGAAATATTATTACAATTTACAGTTTTCTATTTTAATACATTTCAAAATTGCGAAGCTGAATTTTCGGTAACACTTTAGAATACTGTATCTTACTTACTGTAAAACTAATAAGGAATTAATGAAGAACTAATAGGTAATTCTTATACTTCTTCACTACTGTTAACTACTAAGGAAGATGTTAACTAATCAGTATGTAATATAATTTTATGATTGTGTTAAGTATCAGTTAGTTAATCAATAGCTAATGAATTCTGTCATACCTCCTGAAGAACTACTATTAATTATCTATTAATTAAGGTTCAAGAAAAATAACTATGAAGTAACTACTAATTAACAGTCATAGTTAGTTTGTCATTCTTCAGCACTAATAAGAAAGATAAGTGCAGACATTTACCTATAGGCTATGATCTGCAAATAAGCAAAAACATATCATGTATTACACCTTATTATTATACTTAGTTCTTATACATTTTAATATCGCGGTAGCCACTGAGCCTGGGTTCTCCCAAGGTTTTTTTCCTCCATTCTGCCACCTGATGGAGTTTTGGTTCCCTGGCACTGTTGCCTTTTTCACCTCTCTTCGCCATTGGCTTTTGGCTTGCTTAGTTGGGGACATTTAACATTTAATTTAACAATACTATTACAACATTGTTTTCCTGTTATCTGTGAAGCTGCTTTGAAACAATTTGTATTGTAAAAAGCGCTATATAAATAAAGGTGACTTGACTTGACTTGACTTGACAGTGATTTGGTGACACAAGAGCACGGGCATTTGCATCCTCCTCTGGAGAGTTCTCAGCACCGCAGATTTGGTGCATTTCTTTAGCGAAATACAGATTTGTGTACGTTTATTTAATCCAGAAAATCATTACTGTGCTGTAACGACTGCACGATGTCAGTTACCCTATAGCTAGCTAAATCTATTTATATCAGATGTTAAAATCTGTTCTCAGAGCTGTGCACTGTTATGGGCAGGTTATGGAGTCAAGTATTTTTTTATTCTAAAATGTTTGTTAAATGAGTTTAAATGTAAACAGTATTATAAATGTTAAAGCGAAATAAAAAAAATTTACAGTAAGTTTGATTTGAGTCAGAAGTATGTGGTAATTCTTTATTAATTACTAATGGGTTCCCTATATCGTCACTTTAGAATACTGTTTCAGGTTCTAAGTAATTCCTGAAGGCAATAATTATTTATTAATTACTAATAAGTTCCTTATATTTTTACTTTAGAAGACTGTTTCAGGTTATAAGTAGCCTAATTCCTAGATAATTATTTATTAATTACTAATGGGTTTCCTGTGTTGTCACTTTAGAATACTGTTTCAGGTTCTAAGTAATTCCTGAAGAACTATTTGAAAGTTATTTATTAATTACTAATAAGTTCCTTATATTTTCACTTTAGAATACTGTTTCAGATTATAAGTAGCCTAATTCCTGGATAATTATTTGATTATTCTTTATTAATTACTAATGGGTTCCCTATATTTTCACTTTAGAATACTGTTCCAGCTTCTAAGTAATTCCTGCAGAATTATTTGATACTTATTTATGAATTACTTATAAGTTCCCAATATTTTCAGTTTCACTCAGTCGTTGCCTCAAATACATGAATTTACTCAGTGGCATTCTATGCTGAGGAAAACACACACAGTACTGGATATAAAATATACAAATAATCTGAGGTTAGTTTTGTATGACTGTTCAGTAGTTACTTCTTAGTTATTTTTCTTGAACCTTAATTAGTAGATAATTAGTAGTAGTTCTTCGGGAGTTATGACAGAATTCATTAGTTATTGATTAACTAACTGATACTTAACACAATCATAAAATTATATTACATACTGATTAGTTAACACATCTTCCTTAGTAGTTAACAGTAGTGAAGAAGTAGTTAATGAAGAATTACCTATTAGTTCTTCAATAATTCCTTATTAATTCTGCAGTAAGTGTTACCAAATTTTCTTTTGAAATTTTTTTTTATTGTAAATTAACAAAACAGTAACACATACAAGGTAAGAAATCAGTTACAAACATCTACAATACAGAAGGAGGAAAAAAAAGCTGAATTTTCAGCAGCCATTACTCCAGGCAGTGTTACATGAGCCTTAAGAAATGATCAAATTAATAGATGACTCATGATAACATATTTTACAAACATGGTTCCAGATGACATTAGACACAGACTCGTTATTGAACATTAGATGGATATTTCACTCAGTAGCTGGTACAGAAAAAAACAATAACAACAAATCATTTAAACATAGGCTAATATGTTTACCAATACCATAGTTAGCTAAAACAACATGTCTTCTGAACTTCGTGTTCAAAAATGCTCGACTGCTTCTTTGGGTTTTACGAACCAGGTTGCTCAAAACGCAACAAAGAATGCATCATTCATATTCCAGTTGAGGGACTCTTTGAATCATTGAGGGGCGGCTTGAGAGTCTCTGACATGTGGTCTTTTGAATCTTCTTCAGGCTGAGATGTCATGGCTGTTGTCTGGCGTGCGGGGTGTGTGTTGAGGATGTCGGTCTGGGGATTCGACTGCAGGTTGGGATGGGCCTGGGACTGGGACTGGGGCAGGAGGCTTCTTAACCCTGCGAACAGCTGGTTGACTAAAGCCTCCATAGAGCGTGTGTGTTCAGCCAGGACTCTGGCAATGAGTCGTTCCTCTCGCGCCTGGTTCTGTTCCCACTGACGCTCCAGCCACATGTTCTGCGTCTGCTGCATTCTTTCAAGAAAGTCTTGATACTGAGTGTGCAATGCACTGCAACAAGTCCTTCTGCGCCTGAACATACCTGAACAAAACACCAAAGAGAGAACAGAATGCATGACACTATGCTATTCATTTCATGTTAAAGTCCCTTTAAAGGCAATTCTACAAAAAAGTTCTAAACACGTTATAAATGTTACATATGTATTGCTAAAACATATTACAAAGTCTGTGAACTGTGAAGTACTGAAATGTGGAGTTAGACAGTTAAACCGTTTTTCACCATTGCAATTTTATGGATTGTTTGGGCGGGGCTAAAACAGGGCTCGATGATGCACTGGAGCCCATGAGCTCCTGGACACGCCCCTATTTGATGACGCACATAGTCTGATCTCTCCCCTAACACACAATAACACTCCCCGAGCACATTCGCATTCACCGCTCAATCGCGAGTGACTGTCAGTACAGCTGAGCCTACAGTTTGCTACCTAGCTATGCCTTCGACACGGACATGCATAGGCTACCTGGATGCGATCATGTACAAAACAGATCAGTATCTTCATTTAAATTCCATAAAAACGATCACATCAAGAAGAGGTTTTTAGAGAACCAACCTTGATGAAGAGCTGAGGATCACCGTCAACACCCGCCTCTGAAGTGATCATTTTACACTGGATAGTTTTATAAACTTTCCTCAGAAACAACTGGGATTCACTGATTATCCACTGCTAATGGTGAACGGGGCCGAAACGACTATCTCCCGCCTCAGTGTTCATCCTCCCGTCGCGAAAGCAGTTTCACCTAATATCACCGTCGACAGTTTTCCCGCGAGTGGGCGTGGTTTCCACGCAGCCAGCGGACACGCCCCCAGCGTTTGAGAACAGAGATAACTGCTCATTTTTTCAAGATTTTGATAGCTTTTTTTATGTACTTGCCGGCTTTTTTTATCATTCAAATTTGGCTGGGTGGCTAATAACACATTTTTCTGTGGTGTGACAAACTCAGAACACATACTTAATTTCAACATGACATCATGACTTTTGCGTAAACATATACGCCACTTTCGAGTCACGAGTTACGCATTTTGAGCTATCTGTGTGTATCCGCGTGTATGCGTATATGTCTACGCCATTAACGTCCGCGTCATTCCGCGTGTCCGTACACGCAGTCAAATCTCCAGTCATAAATGCCATTAACCCCAGTGACGGTTAGGTTTAGGGACGGGGTTGAGGTAAGTCATATATTTATATAACGTTAAGTCAACGGCGTTCATAAACACGCTGAAAGGCGATTATGCGTCTTGATAGCACGCCAAAAATGGAAATACGAATTGGCGTGTCATACACACGCTACTTCATGAGATCAGCCTGCTTAATTTGGACTTTACAGGGAACAAATATAGAAGTCAACCAATATTGAGCCAAATATTAGGGTGAAGTGGTTATTTTTGGGGGGTTTTGAGCCATTTCATATCTTTCTTCTGAATGATACAAAGAACAATATGTCATTAGATCATCCACATTATTCATGAGAGTTACGTTCCACGTGTATTTGTGTGTTTTTTTTCGCTCTCTGTGTCTCTCCACTCATTGTTTTCAGGTGGCGGACTGTTCATCGGCTGCGTGTCGTTATTGGGAGCACGTGACATCAGCCGTCTCACCAATCTGCTGCTGCGACGCTGAGCTTAAAAAGCTCATTCATGAGAAGGAAGATGGATCCTTGCCAGATCCTGGTGGTCTCTGCAAGATCTCAGCGAACATTCTGCCAGATCTCAGCTTGCTTATGTCTACAGAGTTAATTTGTGGAATATACCACTATCTTAGAATGTTTGTGAGGTGATCGTTAGATCCATTGATTTGAGTAACATTTGTGAATTTCTTATGGGTTTATTTCGTTTATGCTTTAACATGCGTGATATGAGATTGACACGTGAAATGAGATCCTCTCGTAAACATGTTTAACTGTGATACTATAATTTAAGGTGGGCATACACTGTGCGATTTTCGTCCGATTTTGAGCCGAATTCTGACTCGTGCGACTCTTTTTCGTGTCGGACCGATTTTCAGCTTTGTCGTGCGTCGTTTGTCGTGCAGTAATACAGGGAGAAACGAGCCTCTCACGATCGACAATCGGATGAATTTCTGGCATGTCAGAAATTTTGGTCGCTCCTTGTGACTATATCGCACAGTTGAAGCAACGCTACGAACCGATTGCCCTACACTCAGTTTTTTTTCCCTCACTGCACCTGCGCGAAAACAGAAGTTTAACCATTTCATCTGCAGCAAAAATAAAATTAAAATAAAAACGAAAAGAGGGAGAGCTTTAAGTTCTGTAGTTCAAACTAGCTACAAAGTACTGTTGCTTACCTCCAGTTCGTGTTGCAAAATGGATATTACCCACGTCTTCCAAGCCACCTGCGATGTAACACCTCTTTTATTAATTTGTTAAACAATGTTTTTGAAATAAACCTGTTTTTAATTTTCATTGATGATAATTATGGCAATGTTTGGACATATTATAGACTGTTAATAGCTATTTTATATGCCTATAATTCATTGTAATCGACCTAAATGTTTTAGACAATTTTTAATGAGGAGTAAGATTATGTAATATTTTATTATCCTCACAGAACGTTGGTTATGTGCTGTGAAAATATTGCGCGGCAAATTAATTACAATAGCGGATCATTTTAATAATAAAATTAGCCTATAGGCCTCCCCTAATAATTATAATACAATAATACTAATAATAATTAAATGCATAAACTGAAAATGCTAAATCATCTTGATATGGATAGCAGATGCTTGTTTTGAGCGGGACAGTGGTCGATTCAAACAACAGGAAAACAATGGATCGCAATGACATTTCGGACGCTGAGGAAATACTCGTATGACGGACCAAGTCATAAAGTTATGAGCCTGCTATGCTAAAGAGAGCAGGGACAGGCCAGGATAATGTTAGACAGAACGGTCAGAGAAACATTGAGTTGTGGTGTGAGGAGAACCAGTGGAGAACAGGACAGGTGTTTTTTGGTGAGAGACGTGGTTATAGATATACACGTTCGCCAGTGTTGGGGAGTAGTTAACTACAAGTAGCGACACTACTAACTTAACTACATTTTTCAGTAGCTTGGCTGTAGCTCAATTGCTTTTTAAACAGTGTAGCTTTTCCAGTAGCTAACTACTTTTTGCAGCAAGCTACATTGCGTTTGTCGAGCCTGCGCGAATCAGCCCGATGCAAGGATATTCTTCATCTTGTTAGATTACAAACTCATTTTTTTCCATTACCGCCACCTGTTGTTTAATCACGCGTCTTGCGGCTAACGGTTCACTGACGTAAAGAAGTGGATTGACAGTGACACACCCATATTATGATTATGATGGAGCCAGAGGTGACGGCAGATTTGGATGATGGAGAAACAACTAAAGTTAATTACCCATGGCCTTATTTGTCCAAGTTCAATCGGTATTTTTGAGAAAATGTTCTAAATGCAATTTATGTTGAATGTATATTTAGTTCTTGCAATGTTGTAGGCTATTTGTTGCAATTTTGCACTTTTGGCAAACAGTCTGCGATATTTGAGTGTTGTGTGTAATAAAACAATACTCTATGAAATCATAATTGTATTGCATTGCTTTAAACACTAAATATTTTAATTAAAACATTCATCAGACAGTTATTCAGTTATTTATAATATATAATTTATAGCATGTTATAATAATAATATGTAATATAATATTTATAATATGTTGTTCAAAAAGCAAAAGTAGTTTCAACGTAGCTAGCTATTTTTTGATAGTAACTTGTAGTGTAGCTAACTACTTTTCCAAAAGGGTAACTTGACTGTAGTTTAACTACTTTAACGTACGAGTAGCTTGTAGCTTGTCAAACTACAGTTTCAGAGTAGCTTCCCCAACACTGACGTTCGCTACGTCTATATTGTGCTCACAATATTGTACAGATTATTATGATCCTATAACAGGCCAGCAGACATTAGTATGTTTAGAGTAGATTTATACTATTAAATGTATAAAAACTATATTTGAGTATATTTATATTGTACTAAAAGCATACTCAGGTACATTTTTAATACATATTTTTCACCTGGGTTATAACATAAACAGAAAATTAAAGATTTGAGTATTTAAACAACTAATTTTGTTTTTCAATTCGCCTTTGGCTAAGCCACGCCCTAGAATGCAGATTGACCTATCACAGCGCAGCCAAGATGGAGCTCCCACAGAGGTCGGACACTTTTTCACAGCGCTCCATTGACTTTCAACACAAGCGTCTCATATTTTTGATCTCGGCGGGCTATTACCGTCGTAGTTTTATCAAAAATATGGTTAAACGTTGTGTCTGAGGCTCCCTAACGTGACGTAAAACGATGCGATGTTGAAAAAAAAAACCGTTTTTACGAGCAGTCCAAGAAACACTCACTTAGTAAGTAACTACTAAATTAGTGCCCGAATGTTGTTTTAAAACATTTTAAATCCTGTATTAACTTTTCATATGGTATTTTCATACAAGGTTATCAATACATTTAGACCTTTTTTTTTTTTTGCTCTTTAACTCTTACCGACTGTGGGAGACACATTTAACACCAACGGGAGGTAGAGTTATCTTTGTTAATTAGGTGTGGAGTGTTTGGTCATTATTGTATTTTTGTTCTTAGAGAGTATAGTTTAGTTAAGGCGGCACATCCGCCGAAGAATTCGGTTTTGTTTCTACATTTTTCTTTGGTAGCCAGTTTAAGGGATGGCTAAAAATTAGATATTATTTTTATGTTTTGATTATTTCAATGATTTGACAACACTTCTTTTCTTTGTCTCTTTTCTTATTTTGTATTATTCCTGTTTTCACTTGTGTGGTTTACCTCATTTATTCCTGATGATAACGTCTAGAACAGCCTTTCTCAAAGTGGGTGCCGCGGCACACTGGGGTGCCCCCTAGCTGTGTCAGGGGTGCCGCCAAAAAATTACGTAGGCTTAAAAAAAATTTGAAAAAAACCCCCCAGAAAAAAAACAGCTGACATTTCATATATAAATATATTTGAATTTACATTCTTTTTTTAAAACATATGAACATATTAATAAAATTGTAAATTAATTTTAGATAAATATATAAAATTAATCATAAAAAAAATCCGTCTCACAAGTCCGAAGCAAGACACACACAACTTGACGCAAGTGACGCAATCCATAGCAACGCGTTATAGCAACACCTCAGACTGACAGAAACGTAAAAATAAACGTGAATTTAGGCCACTTTAGTTACAGCATTATGGATCGTTTTTTGAAAAGAAAATCCCCACAAGAGCCGGGGATTTTTATTTTATTTTATCTGCATCCTGCACTTCATTTGAGTTCTCCTGGTCTGGATTTGTTATTGGGTTCTTGTATTGGGCGGTCCACCTCTTACGGTTTTATGGCATTTGTGTCTCTGATTAATTATTTTGTGAATTACTTTCCAAACCTGTGTTTTTAAAGGTGCTATAAAGTTTTTATTATTATTGTTATTTACAGTTCATATTATGCTCTGTTCATTACTGTTCTGTCTAACTAAACAAGACATTTGCATTTAAATTTGGGTTATGCAGTGTTTTTAAATTATATTTTACACTGGGGTGCCTTGAGATTTTATGCACTTTTGAAAGGTGCCCTGACTGAAAAAAGTTTGAGAAAGGCTGGTCTAGAATGTTAAGTGACGTTTTTTTGGTTGTTTTTTCTGCCTTCGCACATTGCAACAGTGCTTTACATGAAATTTACGTAATCATCCCCTTTACCAACTTAAAACACGTAACAATGAGCAAGAATACCATTTCGTACTGTGCTGATTTTTTCAAGTTTGAAAGTATAAAACGGTGGATATATACTGTATAAGTGGTATAATAATTTGAATGTAACTGAAATGTGCTACATATAAATAAACTCACCTCGTCTACATTAAATCTTAATGTGTTTATTCAGCACAAATGTTACTGCCGGCCAGTTATTGTTAAGTTTTGTTGTGGTATTGCACACCGCCATCCCAAGCTGGTCCCAGTGTGCAAAACATGCCTTATGCTGGTGAACAGCAATTCTGGATATACAGCAGCGTGTGCAAACTAAACCTGTGTTGTAAACTAGCAAGATTTACGAAGGTGTTGATATTTACAGCCTTAGGATGAGATGTTCACCTTGAGCTGGAGGCTGCTGGGAGGAGGATGGCTGTGAAGATGTCATGCTGTCTGTGGACGTGAATGGCTGTGTGGAAGTAGAGCTTTCTGTACAGGTGGAGCTCTCCTGGGACGCTTGCGTGAGGACGAGGGGTTCATTCTCCGTTTTCACTGACTGGACTTCCTGTATCCCACCTTCCATGTCATCCACTCCATTATCTTTAACAGAAAAACATGCGAGGTCAGAAATCCATAAATCTTACACAACTACTGAAAGAGGTCGTCTTCTCCAGCTGAGTACTGCTACTTTTATTGCACTGCATTATTATTTCATGTCATGTTCATTCATCGCTCGTCTGTTCTAAAAATGAGCTTAGGATAATAAAGGATTTTAAATGAAATTTTATGATCGATTATTTGTTATTTTCTTTTTTATACCACTTTGAATGTAACTGAAATGTGCTACATGAATAAACTCACTCATCAGATTTAATGTATTATTTTTTTTTATTAATATAGCACATTAAGTGCACATTTTCAGAGAAAACTATCAAAATGTCTAGAGTTGTATTTTTGCTTAATATTATCAATATAAAACACTATATGGCAGTAGGAGTAGTATAGTGGCATCTGATGGTAATATCACATGTACCCTGCAATACTTTGTACTATAGTGTGAATTTAGGTTAAATGTGATACCTTTTCCCACTCATCTCAATGGCAAAATGAATTCTATTCAAGATATCCAACTAAAGATATGTTTGGTAAATGCCCCGGTTGTAAAACAAACCAAAACATGATACCACCCTGGTACTTTTTCTTTTAGTTTTTTCTTACTTTGAAGCATACATGTCCACTCACCATCATCACCATCACCGTCATCATCATCGTCATCATCTTCACCATCCTCAAAAGTAAAGCATTTGCTGTCCGACAAAGGGGATCCGTCTTTAAAGTCGATGTCTCCAGTTTGGTTTGTCACAACAACCAAAGGTCTATGTCCAAAAATTTCTTCCATTGTATCAAAATGTTTAAATGCACTATTAGAGTTGCTGGGGTTTTGTTTCTTGGCCTTATAGTAAATGGATTTTAGGGTTTTCCAGCGATGTTTGACTTGATCACATGAGCGCCTAAAACCTGCCTCCTTATGTCTGGCGCAAACCTTCCTGAAGAGCAGACTGTTGCGGTGCTTGCGTCCGTCCCTGTATCGGTCTATGTGCATCTCTTTTAAACTTTGTAAAAGGAAATCTGTTTCTTCCTCGGTCCAGAAATGTGTGCTTCTGCGATTGCTTGACATCTCTGCCTGGATCTCGTATAACCCGTAATCACTTAGATATAAGTGATACCCGTTACAGTAACAGGGTATTCAGAATAAGACGTTAAGATGAGACAAAATTCAGACTAACGCAAATTGTTTGATTCGGATTCCAGTAGCGTGTAGAACGGCGTCCATGAGGCTGCGGATTTAAAAACACAGCCAATCACAAGGCTGCATCTTGCCCAACAGTCTCTCGAATGACCCACCCTGATTGGTTGTATGCTTTGGGCTGCAGCCTCATAGGTTGGTTAGGCTGTCAGTCAATTGTCGGCCATAATGGCCAACCCATCCGAAGGCAATCGGATTATCGCGCTCACATGACGAATATAATCCTACACGTAAATTTATGAGAAATGTGACCCCAATACTTGCGTCAGTAAATACTCCCCATTTAGAAAGAATTATAAAAAGTAAGCGCAATGTCACTTATTGGTAAAAACATTTTGTCTTTCATCAGTATTACTTTTGGTTCATTCACAAACATTTGTTAATATTTATATACATATATATATATATTTATATATATTAACAACATTATAAAACATTTATCTTGTTCAGTATCGAGGTTATCGACAACTTCTGACCCATATGGACCCATCACCAGACAAATGCTGCATGAAAATTCTCAGAATATTAAGAAACATATTTTCCATTAATGACAATAAAAAAAACCTCACGTTTATAGTGTTGATCTCAACTTTCACTTGACCTGCATTCATGCGCACCAATTATAAAATTAATTTTACTATAATTATAGATTATGGATATAATTGTGGATTTACAAATAAATATTGAAATTTAGCCTATACGTTTTATCTGATATTTCAGTTACCGTGACTTTTATTTTGAAAACATCATTGCCACGTCCGCTGTTGTCATTTAATAGTTTAACATGCTGCTGGGGTTAACTGTGTATAAACACTTCCAAGCTGTTCACTGATACATTCTAATTATTTATAATTATTTATGTTCGACAATAGGGATAAAAAAATCGAGGATATCTGTTGCTTTTTGCGAGTCATTGTCCTTTTATTTCACGAAGTTGCATCTGGCTTCACGCGCGTGCAACTTAGATGTAAACATGGACAGGCCGGATGCCACATTTACTCTTGCTTATATGGTATTTGCTTTGTGCTTTGTTTTTACGCCGAATGAGTTTCGATCTGCTGGTTTGACGGTTCAGCACATGTTCTCAGAGTGGCTGGGCAGTGAAGACATCACCTTCATTCAGCACCACATCCGACGAACAACACTCACGGTGCTCTTCCACTGCTTCCTGCCGCTCGGTAGGCTATGACACTTTCTATAATGGTTCTACAATTGATGTACTGCTTATGTAGCAATGTAGTTTGAAGTCCTCGTACTGTGGATGTTCTACCAAAATGCGCAGCATAGATAGACAACAGTTGTTATATTATTTTCACACCACATAGATTGCTTAATATTATGGACCATATTATGGTCACATGACCGTGTCACGTGCAAATGTAGATGTGCATACTGTCAGATTTCTATGCATACTGTACTCTGTACAGACAAGACTCATACGCTATCCATTTTGAAGCGCGGAAGGAAGTTATTTTTATTTATTTATTTATTTAATTGCTTAACAAGAACAATATATAACACACACAGAGGATCACATAGTATTACATTCATAATACCATCAAAGAAACAATAGACAGAAAGAAAAAAATAAAATAAACTACAGGGGAAACATCATTGCAAAAAATTCCAAAAAGAAAGGGATTCAAAAATATTATACATCCATTGCTTTTTTATTTCTTGCATCTTTTAGGGCTTCAATATAATGTTTAAGCTCAATTTTTAATAATATAGTGTTAGGTTTATCATTTGTCAATTTCTGTTTGTGAATATGGTATTTTCCATACATAATTATTAAGTTAATCACCAAATTTTGCTCCATACTTTTATTTTTGTATAACAAAAAAATATCTTTGCCAGATAGACAAATCTTTAATTTTGTGAATTTAAATATCAAATATTCAACATCAATCCAAAACAGCTGGGTAAATACACATTCAAAGAATAAATGTTTTATTGATTCTTCTTCTGTTTTACAAAAGGTGCATGTTGTCTCCATATCTCTAAAAAATCTAAAAAACTAAAAAAGTATTTACTGGGTAGACTCCAGACCTCTTTCCATTCAATCGGATTATACAATGACTTCCAAAATGGTTTACATTTAGGCAATAATGCAGTTCTAAATAATTCTCTAATAAAAAAGTTATAAAATTTTTTATTTATAATTTTTACACCATCAATACTTAATTGATTGGTATTATATATGGAGATAGATTCAGAAGATGCATTCGCCTGAAGCGGAAGGAAGTTATTAATAGAAGGCGCGAGGCTTCAGATTCATCATCAAGTTATCGTCTTGTAATTTGCTGCAAAATTAGTCATATTTATATTCGCAACGCACCGTTTATCTGGTGGACGGAACATGGGAAATGTTCAGAAAAAAGTATTTAACATAAATTCAGTCAACAGAATCATAATTAGCTGATTGCAAATTATGATTAGCCAATCAGCAAATTATGATTCTGTTGACTGAATTTATGTTAAATACTTTTTAATTTGCATTTGCAAATTTAATTTGCATGGGATAGCAGTTCTTATCCCTAAATTAAGATTAAATTCTGATAGCCTGTAATGCAAATCATTGAGAGATCTTTATATGACAGCTAAGACCTTTTATATAAATTGTCTCTGATGACAGTAACAGAGAAATTCATATATATATATATATATATATATATATACACTCACCGGCCACTTTATTAGGTACCCCATGCTAGTAACGGGTTGGACCCCCTTTTGCCTTCAGAACTGCCTCAATTCTTCGTGGCATAGATTCAACAAGGTGCTGGAAGCATTCCTCAGGGAGTTTGGTCCATATTGACATGATGGCATCACACAGTTGCCGCAGATTTGTCGGCTGCACATCCATGATGCGAATCTCCCGTTCCACCACATCCCAAAGATGCTCTATTGGATTGAGATCTGGTGACTGTGGAGGCCATTTGAGTACAGCGAACTCATTGTCATGTTCAAGAAACCAGTCTGAGATGATTCCAGCTTTATGACATGGCGCATTATCCTGCTGAAAGTAGCCATCAGAAGTTGGGTACATTGTGGTCATAAAGGGATGGACATGGTCAGCAACAATACTCAGGTAGGCTGTGGCGTTGCAACGATGCTCAATTGGTTCCAAGGGGCCCAAAGAGTGCCAAGAAAATATTCCCCACACCATGACACCACCACCACCAGCCTGAACCGTTGATACAAGGCAGGATGGATCCATGCTTTCATGTTGTAGACGCCAAATTCTGACCCTACCATCCGAATGTCGCAGCAGAAATCGAGACTCATCAGACCAGGCAACGTTTTTCCAATCTTCTATTGTCCAATTTCGAGCTTGTGCAAATTGTAGCCTCAGTTTCCTGTTCTTAGCTGAAAGGAGTGGCACCCGGTGTGGTCTTCTGCTGCTGTAGCCCATCTGCCTCAAAGTTCGACGTACTGTACGTTCAGAGATGCTCTTCTGCCCACCTTGGTTGTAACGGGTGGTTATTTGAGTCACTGTTGCCCTTCTATCAGCTCGAACCAGTCTGGCCATTCTCCTCTGACCTCTGGCATCAACAAGGCATTTCTGCCCACAGAACTGCCGCTCACTGGATGTTTTTTCTTTTTCGGACCATTCTCTGTAAACCCTAGAGATGGTTGTGCGTGAAAATCCCAGTAGATTAGCAGTTTCTGAAATACTCAGACCAGCCCTTCTGGCACCAACAATCATGCCACGTTCAAAGTCACTCAAATCACCTTTCTTCCCCATACTGATACGGTTTGAACTGCAGGAGATTGTCTTGACCATGTCTACATGCCTAAATGCACTGAGTTGCCGCCATGTGATTGGCTGCTTAGAAATTAAGTGTTAACGAGCAGTTGGACAGGTGTACCTAATAAAGTGGCCGGTGAGTGTGTATATATATATATATACACTTTTTTTACTTTTATTTTTTTTTTCGAGAAACACTGCCATCTTGTGGCAGGTCAAATTAACATACAATCTCCGTTCTTTGATTTATTAAAGGTACAATATGCAATATTTTTGTATTAAAATGTTTCCAAGACTAATTCTCAATTTGAATAGTTTAGGCACAAGTAAAAGCCTGACAACGGTCAATGTTGTTTTCTGAGAATATAATTCACATATTAAAGTATAAATTAAATGTAAGAATAATTATAATAATACCAACAGAGCTGTTTGATGCAAATAAATGATGCACTAAAATTTAAACATTTTAGTTTAGATGTGTTTAAGTCTGTATGTTTTTGATGTGTCAATGCTGTGATTACGCTGTTTGAAATTTGAAACATGGTTTTAAACTTTTTGCAGTATATGGCAGAATATATGGTAATGTAATATAGACCATTTCACAAGATGTAAACAACACTGGTCGAGAAGCACTTCCTGTTTCAGTTTTTCAACACTACATAAAAGCTGGGATAAAATACAACCAACAGAACATTTAAAACTGAATCAAAAAGTTAAACAAACATCTTTAAGATGTTTTCTTTACATGTGAAATAAAGAAAACAGTTACAAACTGAAACAGGAAGTGTTTCTGGACCAGTGTTGTTTACATCTTGTGAAATGGTCTATAGGCAGGCTATATCACATGATCACGTTTCTCTGAAAACTACGCTCTTTGGATCGGAACGCTGTGAATTCGATAGATACATGCTTTGAAGCTTTTGTTGTTTGTAACATCACTACAGTACAGTATAGTTTACTGTAGATAAAATGCATGCACATATCAGATGTCACTCTATATCTTCCAATAATATAAATAAATAAAAAACAAAGCTCTATATTTAAAAAAAAAACAATGATTGAGAGATGAACAAATACACGTTCATCAAAAGCCTGTTGGATCATATTTGATACTTAGCTTTATATAAAAAAAATCAAGTGAAACTAAGTTGCTGAACATTATTAAAAATTATAAACATTATTCTTACGTTTACTTCATAAAAATCAGTAAAGATTTCAAAGTAAAAAGACACATGAACCACGACCTGAAGGGGGACATTTTTACAGTTACATTAAAAGGTCTCTTACTTGCTAAAAAGTGTAAACTGTCAACCAGACAACGTAGAAGGTGTTAGAAGGAGGCCTTAGAAATGTGCGTATCAAATATATTTGATTTTCCTCACTTGGACAGAGTGTTTCTCATTGCTCCCTGTGCAGTTTCCAGCTCACTGCGTGATATAACACCATCATACTTGTGTTGCAGGATACTACATAGGAATGTGTTTTGCAGTTCAAGAACAGAATCTCATGTACATCCATCATGCAAGTCAGGGATGGCAAATATACTTTGGACTGTCACTGGCCATCCAGCTTTTGAGTTGTGCACTGGCCTTCTATTGGTCCAGACGCGGATGGGCGAATCACCCGATATGTCGAGCGCTCAGCACACACGCTTTGCCGCGCTCCAGCTGGAGGGCCGTGGCATCGTCCATCAACACAGAGTTTCGCCGCATCGATAAGTTTGCTTCCGGTTCCACGAGCGCGAGGGTGATCGTCACGGACACCTGGGTGATGAAGGTCACAACATACTCCCTGCATGTTGCCCTGCATCAGGACTGTCACCTGACCGTCACAGACTCCAAACATCACAGCCTGTCTCCAGAGTTAAACACGCCGGTGCAAATCGTCACCATCACTGTTGCCAGTATCAATCCCAGAGTCAAGCCTTTCGACATAAGGTAATTTCCAGTGTTGGGTGCAACGTAAATCAGATTACTTTTTCAAGTAATTAGTAAAGTAACATTTTACATTTACTCATTTCACTGACAACAGGAATCAGTTCCTCAAAAGGAATATTATCAGTGAAATGCAAAATCAGAATGCTACGCAAACCTCCAACTAAATATTTTAAACAAAACAAATATTTTTGTGCATAAAATATCCATTTATTGACCAATGTACTTGTGCTCACCTTCGATGACTCTGTTAAACTGAGAGGATTGTTTGAGCTCCACCCATGTGTGAATTTGCATTTCCTTCAGCCTTATTGTTTAAATTTTGGACAAAATATAGAACTTAATGTATAGAACATCTGCCCAAAAATAGTTTTGTTTAAAAATCATAAAAACAAAACAAAACACACAAGCCCAGCCCTGGGGCCTGTTACAGAAAGGAGGTTAAAGGGTAACTAAACCCCTGGTCAGAACCTGACTCCACCCACTAGCAAAATTTGAAAAATGCTGAAAAAATGGGCAGACCCCAGCAGGGCCAGGGGGCGTGCACCTGAGACCCGCCGTGAGTGACAGCTGCTGTCAGACTCTAAAATAGAGAGAGACTGGAGTGACGCAAGTAGCTGCCTTTGCAACAGAGCGGCCATTTGAAGTCGAGGACTTTTCTCCCTCACCTTCACCTGAAGTGGATGAGGGTGAATTGTATGTAGACACAGGGCCAAATCCATTCGAGCCGCTGGCTCAAACTGCGGTCTTAACTCCCGCATCGCGACCGGCATCTGATGAGTTTTGTCGTCGAGTTGATCTCAATAGCGCACGCTCTGTGGGAATATATTCATATTGATATTCTGCACCGGCTCGTTTGTCGACCCCAGAGGATTAACTTTATCCTAACCATAAATTGTGATTAAAATATCCATGATCACTCACATCAAGACGCCGCTGCGGTGGAGGAGTCCATGCAGGAGGAGCAGTGTTTGGCACTGCGTGTGGAGCTGTGTGGAGAAGCCCATGTCCACCTGTATTCCGTTACTATCCTGATCACTGTACTAAACACTGATAAATCTATGCTAACTTGAAGCTATCCTATGCTACTAGCTACACAAAATAATCTAAATTATCTATATAATGCTATGCTAAATAGATGCAACAATACTCTATCCTGATCGTTTTCAAAAATAATCTAAATAACTATATAAATGCTATGCTAACTAGATGCTAATATATGCTATCCTGATCGTTTTCAATACTCAAAAATCCAACTCCTGACTCGCTACAGTAGTTTTGACGGAACCAGATGCTTTTATACCAGGGGCTGCCAAGGGCGTGGTGAGCTCGCACCAAGGGCGTGACAGAGTGGCGTCTGAGAGTTCCCTACATCAGAAAGTACCCCTACTGCAGGAGCTTTCCGTTTAACCTGAAGAGGGCAGCACTCAGACGTTTTTACACCATATATTTGAAAATCAAAACACTTTATACTCAATTGTCAAAAAATGTACTCGAATCAATGAACAGCATTTATGAAGCTCCATTCTTACAGATCATTAACTAAAAAAGTTGTTTTGGTGTTTAGTTACCCTTTAAGTGAAAACTCTGAGTATGTTAACCCTGAAATGAGGGAAACTCTGGGTTCTCTTACGAGAGGTTCTCTCGTATTGCGTAAGTTAGCTTACGTTACGGGAAAGATTCGTCTTTTCTGAGAAGTTGAAGCCAAAAAATTATTCCATAATTTGTATCTTTTGTCAACGCAGTTTCCCTGCAGCAGACTACGAGCAGGCTAGCTAGAAGCTCATTGGTTCGCTCAGAGAGAACTGCTTAAGCCTATGGAAGAGCCAGGCTGAACTCGCGACCAATGAGAAGCAGGCACGCTCTCATTCCGTCAAAGCCTGCCAGAAAGGGCGTGGCTAGACAGTATAAATTCGGCTCTTTCAGGCTGATAAGTCGATTATTTCATCCTTCAGCGAGCTATACGCTTCCGCTGTTTTGAGAAGAAGCCGTCGCCGTCGAGAAGGCACCTTCAAGCGAGCTCCAGAGACTGAAGAAGCCAGCTGTCTTCGCCACCTTCAGTCGCCCTGCAAGCTAGCGCCATCCGACGACATGTATCCTTTTCCATTCATCTTACTGAAAGAGCACGAGCGTCTCTTTAAAGATGCCTCGTATTTCCTGCGGTTCATTCCTGCGGGCACGACTTCAGGCCGTCAAAACCGCTACCTCTTAGTTCGCCGCGGAAGAAGAAACGCCGCTCCCAGAGGCTGCCGGAGCCCCCTGCAGAACAATGCTGGCCGCCGCCGCTTCCCACTCTCCCTCCCCGCCCCAGCCGGACATGCAGTTGCCACCGAGTGGCCGCTCTGTTGCCACCGAGTGGCCGCTCTGTCGCCTCCGATGACGCCGCGGAGGAGAAGGATTCCTGCTCACTGCTCGCTTCCAACAGAGAGGAAGTCCTCTCTCGGTTCTTCCACGAGAGAGTCTGCTGGGACCCGCGCCAGAGGAATTAATGCTCCTCCTCTCACAGGCCTTCGAACGCCTCGGTCTCGAGTGGTCTCCGCCACCCGAGCAGGCTCCGAACCGGATGGACGGCAGTTATTTTCACCAGCGCTCGGCTCCTGCTTGTAACCGGGCCGCCCCATTCCTGCCTGAACTTCATGCTGAGCTCACGAAGTCCTGGAATGCCCCGCTTCCGGCTAGAAACCGCTCCGATGGAGCCACAGAGTAAGGATATCGAGGCCCGTCGAGGACTTGGTTGCTGCACACCTCTGCCCGCCCTCTGATAGATGGCGTTCTTCTCCTGCGCTTCCTTCGAAAGCCTGCAGAGCGACCTTGAGCTTCCATCCTCGCGCCTATGACTGGCGGTCAGGCCGCCTCGGCGTTCCACTCTATGTCAGTCCTCCAAGTTCTCCAGAGCGACATTCTCCGTGAGTGGGCTGAGAGCGGTAGAAACTGTTAGAAACTTCTCAGTAGTAGAACATTAGTAGAAACTTCTCAGATCCGCTGAAATGCGCCCCTCTCCCCGACCGGCCTCTTCGGATCTGCCGTCACGGGAATCGTCGACCGGTTCTCCGAAGTTCGAAAAGCCACCCAGGCCATGGAACTGTTTCTGCCCCGCCGTGCTAGCTCTTCTGCAGGCCACTCTCGTGACCTGCCCCCTGCTAGAGCCCCAACCCAGCGTCTTTCTCAGCAGGCTCAACCATCCCGGCGCTCTCGCTCTGACAGCCGCCGCAGACAGCCGCCTCCCCGGGGGCCTCGACCCAAGATCACGCTGAAGCCTGATCATCAGAAGTCTGCCTAGCATAGCTGAGAAAAAGACGGCTCTCTCCCGCCACGGCCGGACCGCCGTCAAAACTTCGCCCTCTGCTAGTCCCTGTTGCTTCGCCGACTGCAGTAGTGTTCACCGCCACAAACTAGCCGGTCTCCCTGCCCGCTTGCGAGCGACAAAAAGCCGTTTTCACGGCTACCCAGAGAAATCTCAAAAAGAGCATAAATTTCTCTTGTGTAAAAAATTTGCCCACAATCATGTGCCCATACACACAAACACAAGTCCCGTGTCTCTCACAGAGCCCATCCCCACAGAGCAGACACAGCCTGCTCTAGTATCAGAGAACATAAGAACGCCCACGAGCTTGTGCGCGTGTCCCCTCTCCGTTTGCTCTCTCCGAGTGTAAGTCCCGTTGCCACATACAGCTTAAGCGTGCCCACACCCTGTGTCCAGCCCGCTATGTGCAGCAATCAGACCGATATAGCCATCCACTAGCCGCGTGCTCCAAAGCGTGGGAAGCCATCCCGGGCATCTCCCTGTGGGTACTGAGCATTATAAAGAACGGTTATCTGCTACAGTTTCGTCACTGCCCGCCACGCTTCCACGCTCGGCTCGAAATCATTGTCAGCCCGGTGGCTATCAACACGCTCCGCTCAGAGATAGCGAAGCTGTTGCAAAAAGGCGCCATAGAGAGATCGTCATCTATGACCGAGTCTGGGTTTTACGGCCGTTATTTTCTTGTGCCCAAGAAAGACGGCGGACTCAGGCCGATCTTAGATCTCAGGTTTTTGAACAAAGCGCTCATGAGGAGACCGTTCAAAATGCTTACAGTCAAGAAACTCCTCGCGCACGTGCACCAGGGGGACTGGTTCATCTCTCTAGACCTGAAAGACGCCTATATTCAGATCCAGATAAATCCCCGTCACAGGCCGTTCCTACGCTTCGCCTTCGAGGGTCAAGTTTATCAATATGCCGTTCTCCCATTCGGCCTATCCCTAGCACCCCGTACCTTCACCAAGTGCATGGATACGGTGCTCGCCCCCTGCGTCGTCAGGGGATGCATATATTAAACTATCTGGACGACTGGCTGTTTTTGGCACAATCACAGACGGAGCTGACATACTGTTAAGGAACCTTATTTCCCCTGCAGAATGGTCCCTGCACACCCAGACAGTCCAAATACTGTGGTGCTTATTCTGCAGAGCAGAGGTGGATCACTTCGCATCAGAAGATAACGCTCACTGCCCAATATTCTTTTCAAAGAGCGAGGACGCGCTAGCCCAGGACTAGCCCCGCCGCCCGCTCTATGCTTTCCCTCCGATATCTCTGTTACCGCAGGTGCTCCTCATAGCCCTGGCTCCTCGGTGCTCCTCATAGCCCCACGTTGGGAGAGTCAGACTTGGTTCCCGGAGCTCACCCAGCTGTCGCAGACAGCCCTGTGGCCCATTCCAGTCCTCTCTCAAGCTCGCGGCACGATCTGGCATTCCCATCCACAGCGCTGGGCGCTACATGCATGGGTGACCAACGAATACTCGTCGATTTGCCAGAAGGAGTTCTAAACACGATTATGCACGCCAGAGCGGCTTCTACCAGGAAGCTCTATGCTGTCAAAATGGTCTGTGTTCTCCAAATGGTGCACCGACAAAAACTTGGACCCACGGTCGTGCGAGGTATCGTCTTTGCTCGTTTTCCTTCAGGAGATGCTGGATAAGGGCAGGTCCCCATCCACTCTCAAGGTTTACGTGGCAGCTGTCGCGGCGTTCGCTGAACCCCGACGCGCTCAGTCTCTGGGCAAAGACGAGTTAATCATCCGCTTCCTCAGGGGAGCTAGAAGGATGAACCCTCCGCGCCCCCCTTCGGTTCCTATTTGGGATCTTACGCATCTAAAAGCCTGCCTTGCCCTCTGGGCATCAGGGCTCATTCCACTAGAGGCATGGCCTCATCGTGGGCATGGTCCTGCGGAGTTTCCATTCACGACATTTGCGTGGCCGCGGGATGGGCCTCCCCGTCCACCTTTGTCAGATTTTACAATCGGAAGTCCCCGCCCTGCAGGTTAAATACTAGCTATCTAGTATGCTTCAGTTCCGTTGATGAGCTGCTGTATTGGGAGTCAACCGGTTCGCCGCTTGTGCTCCCCCTAGGTGCTTATGTAATATATAATCACTGGCCCGCTTTGATGGCTTATCACATTACATTCACTCCACTCATAAGGGTCCCCCGGATCCCCCCCTGGACTCATTAGTGGTCACATAGCGCGCACAGCGTTGACCAGGTGTTCCCGTAGCGTAAGCTAGCTTACGCAATACGAGAGAACCTCTCGTAAGAGAACGAATCGGTTACCTAACGTAACCTCGGTTCTGTCTAGATGTAGAGTATTGCGTTCCTAGCGTAATAGTTCCACTATTGTTTTATACTGATTTGGTCTATAGTTTATGCAGTAGCCTATTTAATGTAATTGCATCATATTTTATTTTAAATTACAGAAGAATTAAGAGTAATCCCTTTAGTTAAATTACAATATTCAGATTACTTGGTAATTAATTACACCCAACACCTCTTTTTGTCTGGCGCTGTTGCCATGGTGACTCATAATATCTGCGCTCCATTGATAATGGCTTTTTATAGTTGTGGTGTATACGTGCTTAACTCAGAGTCAGTCAACTCAGAGTTGATTTAGTTTTCGGTTACAGAACAGCTGAAATGAGTTGGTTCAGAGTTTCCCATCTCAGGGTATGTCAACTCAGAGTTCAAGCTTTAACTCAGAGTTGGTTGAACCTCTTTATTGAAACGGGCCCCAGGTGAGTAAAGGTAACGCAAAAGTAATGAAACGTTACAATATTGTAATGCATTACTTTTCAAAGTAACTTTCCCCAACATTAGTAATTTCATATTTAGGAAATGGATGTTTTCTTTGGTAATGTCACTTTCGGGTCACTTTCTCTTGCAGGCTGAAGTCCACAGAGTATGTTGAGCTGCAGGAGAAACTGCACGCACCCATCAGAAACGCCACCAATGTTGTCATCCATCTGACCATGAGTGAGCTGTTTTTGGAGACCTTTAAGTCATACGTGGGGCTGAATGAAGTGTACAGGTGTCCGAGTGGCCAGGTGAGCACACACTTTTACAGCTGGGTGAGAAACCCTGCTTCTTTTATAGCCGCTTCACAGACGACCTCACTAGAGTTTGAAGACTGTCGGCTCCAAGAAGCACGAAGGCAAAATTGAAAATGACAAATATTCAAGACTTTACTAATTCATGCGATGAAACACTGCCAATGATGAAAATATTCATCATTTTAATTAATAGTTAAATTAAAATTGTCACTCACAGCATTTATTCATAGGGTAATGTTCCACATACACGCTTTTTTACATTTCAACTTAAAACATAACATCAAATCAAATAACAACAGTAGTGTATTTATAAATGTTTGATAGCTAATGCTTTGACTGTTTGGACCTGTTATTGTGTAATCTGGTGGTTTTGTATAACGATGTCATATCTGAATAGAGACTGACTTAATTGCATCATGTGCAGTGCTTTATTGCATGTCCATGGCTGTGTTTGAAATTGCCCCTAACATTCACTATTCCCTACTTTACTCACTAATATAGTTCACTTAAAGTATTGAATGAAAACAAGTGAGTGAATTCTGACGCTTTTGCATAGTTTCATACTGGCACCAGTAGTAATGAAAAGATTTATCTTGTACTCTATCATAGAAACTAGCTTGTAGAACTTAATTAAACTGTTCAATTCAAAAAGTATTTATGATATTATGCTGTACCCATATTGGGTACATTCAGGTGATTCAGCTGCAGGGGTATTCTTGGTTGTACACTCGGAATTGATTACGTCCATGGTTTCGGTTTATTTCGGACATGTCCATTTTGTCGTTTTGTTTTTTACAACTGAAACCATTGTCCATTTTTGCTGTTTCCTGTTAGGAACTTGAACCATGTATTGGATGTATGCAAGTCAATGCCAACGTGAAGCTTGTGCGACTGTGCCAGGGAGACGGCGAGGGCGAGTGCCAGCAGTGCTACTGCCGCCCCATGTGGTGCCTCACCTGTATGGGCAAGTGGTTCGCCAGTCGACAGGACCAGCAGCAGCCCGAGACCTGGCTGAGCAGCAGAGTGCCCTGTCCCACCTGCAGGGCCAAGTTCTGCATCCTCGACGTGTGTCCCATTCACTGAGGAGTGAAGTGCCTTTACTGAACCTGCTATTTCTGGGCACTTTTATGTGCTTTTTCCAATCCTTTGTGCCTCCAAAACTACGAACAAATCTAATGACAGTGAATCACGCAAACCATCACATCAAAGCAAGAAGAAGCAATATATTTGATTTTTTTTTTTAAACATTTTATTTACAATTAGACAGATTCACCCTCCATTTCTCATTGCAATAGTGCCAAATTCTCACTTTTATTACTGTATGGGCAACTAAATATATTATTTTTTATGTATGTATATACCATCATTGTAATACTTGTTGCAATGATTTTACAGTATATTTATTTCTCTGGAGGTAATGTGCCTAAGGTGTTGAAAATGTTGTCACAGTTGCAGCACTCAACACTACGGATGGGTGCCAGGACCTTCAAGCTTAAGTGTAATGTTACCAAGATAACGTTTTAGACACAGACATTAATGGGATTTTGTTAAAATTGCAAAAATGTGTTGATATTGTGCATTTTGAAAGCATCAGTAAGAATGTTGCACCACAGTGTGTTTATAAATCAGTGGAGTTACATTATAGCTGTATAATTTCAAGTTTGTTAAAAAAATGTGTGAAGAACTTAATGTTTAATTATAATTATAAATAGCTAGCCGTTGGATTCGAGAAATAAATGAATAGAATTGACGTATAGTGTACAAAATAGTCACATAATTTTATCACATGCACTTATGTCAAACTTTGATAAATGGAGAAACTTCATGTAGCTTCATTGTAATAAAGTCGGATGTTTTGGACACATGAACTTTTTGTTTTCTCTGTCCATCCTCTGGTGCTCTTAGCATGGCGGACAATTTTTTCAAACTAAATTATGTCTATCATATCTTATTGTGATCCATTTATTCACTTTGTGAGCATGAACTTGAAAATGAAACTTACATCAAACTGTCATAAATCTTGAATGTTTGGCAGAGTTGAGTTTCATCTGTTTTTGAAGGAGACACTTGACGGTTATTACTGAAGCGATTAGTGAAAAAAAGTTTGAAAAGAAGCAATCAGATCAAATTTGAATGAGGAATAAAACATTAAGTAGAAAAATGAAACTTATAAAGGCTAAATTTAATAAAGATTAATTTAATCACGTAAATATTAAAATTGTAATAACAAATGTGTAAACAAAAATAAGATATATCTTAGTCTAAAGTTTATAATAAATTCCAATGTATAAAACATGAAGATTGTGAAGAAACTAAGATATGAAGAATGAAAGGAGAGGTAAAAGAGAAGGAAAAGCAGAAGTGAAGGGCAAAACAAGAGCGACAAATGCAGGAACAATATGCAGAAAACTTACATCCTCCTAAACTTATGTATAAGAAAAGGTTATAGACTTATCATGCTGTGTAACGGCTCGGTCGTCTGATACACGGTTGTAAAAACAGACAAAATTAGGTTTTGACACCTTCTAGCAATGTTAGAAGCAATTAGCAATGTTGTTGATCTGTGTTGTGCTACTTACATGTTATCACTGTGAAGCTGCTTTGATACAATCTGTATTGTGAAAAGCGCTATATAAATAAATGTGACTTGACTTGACTTGACTTGACTTCTGTTGAATACTACAGATATTAACACACAATTGTCATTGTTTACACACAATTCAAAATTGTTCACACTTATTTCATGATGTGATCATCAACTGCATGAAATATGAGCCAGTTTAGAGAGCTGCAGGAGACACAGGTGCGTGATATGAGAAACAATAGATGGAAACAATATCTGCAGAGATGGAAACATATTTTGATACAAAGGTTATCACTTAATTCTTCGATCTTACAGCAAAGCAGACAACAAAGATCATACATCTGCAAATTCAGTAGAGTAGAAAATATACAAATGATTAAAGAAATCAATAACATGTAGAGGAATAATAATGCAACAATTAATGATGATTGAATAAATCCATAGCTATCAATGACTAGAATTCATAAAGAAGAGATTAATCAGATGAAAGAAAAGAAATACATAAAAGACATTTAGCATAAATTGATTAATTTTAAATTCAAATAACACTATTTAAAAATGTTATATGATAAATGTATTTTCCAAAACAGCTAGAAAGTCAAACCCAACAATCTAAAGCAGTTTTCCAAAGTTGAGGAAGTTTTTTTTTAGGGTAGTAGTTTTGAAACTAATGGGAAAGAAAATGCCTTTCCCATTCATTTCCAATGCGCTGATTTCAGATTGTGAAGCGTGCAAGTGGGACTTTTTTTTCAGGACCATATGAGATGTTTTTTGTATGTCCACATTATAACCGAATAGTTACAAATAACCGAACAACTATCGGATTGGATCGAAACTTGAAAATGGTTCAAAAGGGAAGAAGGAATCTGGAATCAGATTAGATCACATAATCCAAGTTTTTATCTGGATCCAAGTTTTTGTTGTTCAAAACTTAGTAGGATTTGGATAACTTTGGTCCAAAAAAAAAAAAAAAAAAAAAAAAAAACAACCCGGGATTATCCTGATCCCAACTAGGATTTCAAGGTGGATTTCAGGAAGAAAATGTAGTAAAACTTTAAAATTGGTCAAATAATAAATTTCTATCATTTAGTGTATATACTTTTATTTATATTTTGCACTTGACTAGTGTAACCATTGTAACAGTGATAAAGTAGACATAGGCTATTCAGTAAAGTAATGGAAATATAAAATAAAAATGATCTTGTCCCCATTTGTGTTTTGTCTCAAAATAAGAAACACTTACAGTGACCCCATGTTGGCTCTTCTACCTGTTCTTTACATAGCTGGTAGCCCACATTGTAATATGTTGTCCCATTTAGAGCACTGGTAATCCGGATTTGGTAATCTTGAAAACTGTGTATCTGGATCAGGGTGATCCAGTCCAATGTTGCTTTGAAAAACCAGCACAAAAGTAAGACGGATTACCTGATCCTCTATAGGAAAAAATGGGATTTCCAAATCCAGATTAAATGTTTTGAACAACTGGACCCTGGTGATCCAGTCCAATATTGCTTTGATAAACTGTCATAAAAGTAAGACGGATTACCTGACCCTGAAAAGGAAAAAATGGGATTTACAAATCCGGATCATTTTTATCCAGATTAAATGTGTTGAACAACGGCCCCAGGGCCCGGTTTTTCAAAAGTAATCCACTAGGATTTTGGATAACGTATCGTGGCCCAGGGCCCATTTTTTCAAAAGGTTTAATCCGGATAAAATTGATCCGGATTTAGTAATCCTTTTTTTGTGATCCGTGATCACGTAATCCATCTTACTTTTGAGCCAGTTTTTCAAAGCAATGTCGGATTGGATCAATCTGATACGGGACAGGAACTTTTCAGGATCACCAAATCTGGATAACCAGTGTTCAAACAGGATAGGAAATCACAATTTAGAACTATAGATATGAAAACAGCAACAAGTAGACAACACTGTATATTGGGATATTTATAACAAGTTTTAAACATACATGTATTGAATAAAAAAAAGACTTAATACTCCACAATAATTTCAGACTTCTGATGTGGAGAGACCAGTGTAGCCCTCAGGAGCCGGATCTCAAGTCTGGCTTGTTGCAGTTTGGTCAGAGTCAGTTGTTCCTCTGCCAGATGAAGCTGTGCTTCTGGCCTTTCAGTCTCTTTTTGCAGAAGTGCCTTTTAATCATCATCTTTGTTTGATGAAAGGCACTTCAAGCCTTTTCTCTAAGATCCTGTGGCAACTACCACTGGCGCAACCAATAAGGATCCAGCTTTGTCCTCAGGATTTAATTCAGATTTAATATAAATACGCTCAGGATCAGCCTCAGGAGGCAGATTCTCCTCCTCCTCCACAATGCGAAGCTCGCCATCCCTTGAATACCATGGATAGCTTGCGACTTCTCACCTCCAATGATGTCGAGATTACATCTGTGTAATCTCCCCTGTTAAATGGCTTGTTGCCTGTTAGTGGGTTTTTGGCTTCAGCATGGTCCTTGTTGCCCTCGTCTTAAAGGATTAGTTCACTTTTGAAAAAACTTTTGCTGATAATTTACTCACCCCCATGTCATCCAAGATGTCCATGTCTTACTTTCCTCAGTCGAAAAGAAATTTAGGTTTTTGATGAAAACATTCCAGGATTTTTCTCCATAATGGACTTCAATGGGAACCGGATGGTTCAGGTCCAAAAGATAGTGTTAATAACAGTTTCAGATGCAGCTTCAAATGTCTTTAAACGACACCAGACGATGAATAAGGGTCTTATCATGCGAAACGATCGGTTATTTCTAAGCTTATTCCAAAAATGTAACTTTTCTAAGGACAAATGCCAGCCTTGCTCTATTCTGTGAGGCGCGTTTGCAACGTCACATAATACGTAATTACGTTCAAAAGGTCACAGGCGACGTAGCCAGAAGTACAGAGTCAAAATGTGTTTACAAGTTGAACGCATAGGTTGAACGTGAAAACTAACTCAAACGCCGTTTACAAAAAAGGAATTAAAAGGTAAAACAACGATGTCGGATAATTTTGATTCTGTACTTCTGGCTACGTCGCCCGTGACCTTTTGAACGTAATTACGTATTACGTGACGTTACAAACGCGCCTCACAGAATAGAGCTAGGCTAGCATTTGTCCTTAGAAAAGTTAAATTTTTGGAATAAGCTTTGAAATAACCGATCGTTTCGCATGATAAGACCCTTATTCATCGTCTGATATCGTTTAAAGACATTTGAAGCTGCATCTGAAACTGTTATTAACTGTCTTTTGGACCTTGAACCATCCGGTTCCCATTGAAGTCCATTGTATGGAGAAAAATCCTGGAATGTTTTCATCAAAAACCTAAATTTCTTTTCGACTGAGGAAAGAAAGACATGGACATCTTATGCCGAGTTCAGACTGCATGATTTTAGCCACGATTTTGGCTCGCCGACAGGTTTTGAGAAATCGCCGACAAATGCCCGAAATCACAGGAAAATCGGCGCTCGTTCACGCGAGTGACAATCACGCAGTGTGAATGAACAAAGACGCGAATTGAGAGAATCACCGACGAGTCGCCGACGCCCGTGAGATATTTGGCATGCTAAATATCTGGACCTGTCGGCGATTCAAAATCCTGCTGTGTGAAAAGTGTTTTGACTGAAAACTACATCGGCGATCACCGGCAGCCAGTGAGAGAGCAAGATACAGAGCAGCAGGGAGTTCGGGGAGGAGTTATAGATCACATATCAACATGATATGGCATTGTTTCAACAAAAAAAGCTTCTTCTCGGTCTATTTGGACACAATAAATGGAAGAAAAATTAGTAGAAATTTGGCAGGAGCACTCGTGTCTGTTTCACCAGCTGTACCACAACCGGGTCGAAAAAAAAAGTCTCACGTGAGAACTCCGGTCTTGCACGTGTGGTGTCGCGCGTTGTTTCCTTTTCATATCTCACGCGTGTTTGTTGTGAAATGTAGTTTGCGTGCAGCGTGCTAGACAGAGTCTGTCGGCGATTTTTCTAAAGTCATGCAGTGTGAAACCTTCTGTCGCCGATCCATCGTCCAGTGTGAACACAGCAGCGACTGAATGCTGGCCAAGATAGTCATGCAGTGTGAAAAGAGCAGCGACCTGACTACTTTGAAAATCGTGCAGTCTGAAAGAGCCATGACATGGGGGGTGAGTAAATTATCAGCAAAAGTTTTTTCAAAAGTGAACTAATCCTTTAAGATTCTTCCACCGCAATTTGATTTTCCAGACCCTATGGCATTCACATTTTCTGTGATTAAAATCCAAACATCATTTTTCTTTTTGTTAGTATCGTTATCAGAATTAAAACTTCCCATTATTGTTCCATAATGGCAACGAACACCCTCTAGTAGTGCATTGGTTTCAGCAGCAGTGAAGTTACAGCTTCTTGAGTCCATGGTTCTGTTGCTTTACTATAGTGAACATTGTTCATCAATTGGCCTTGAGTTCAACTGCCTCAATTACTTATCAGTTGTAATAGGTAAGACCAACTACACAGCTATATGAATTAGCCTTTCTCAGAGGATTCACAGAGAGAGAGTAGGAGAGAATACCGTCATACCGTATGTTGAACGTACCAAGCCACTGGAGCAATACACCACTGAGGAGCTGTATGTCCGGCTTTGCTACCTTGTGAATCTTCTCAGGCCAAAACTTCAACACAGAACCCAAAGGAGTCACGGTCTGTCTGTGGAAGACCAGATCCTCATTGCTCTCTTATTTTATGCATGTTGTTGGTGACTGGTGAAATCAGTTGTGTGTGATGTGGTGAAAGATGTGTCAATCGCACTGGCCAGCCTGGTCAATGAATTTGTTTCTTTTCCAAAGGACAACCAGATTGCCCAGGCCAAGCGCAGCTTTTTTCTTTTGGGGAATATGCCCAATACTATTGGAGCTATCGACTGCACACATGGACATATACGAACACCTCGTGAGAATTAATGGGAGTTTATAAACAGAAAGGGGAGGTGACTTGTTGTCCAACTTGTGTGTGATGCTGACCTTATCATCACCAACTGCGTTGTCAAGTGGCCTGGGAGGGAGAGCGCTCTATATAGAGACCTCCAAACCAACCGACCGGATGGAATAATATTAGGAGACTAATATTATTCCTAATATTATGACAGATACTATTAGGAATACTAATTAGAGAATTAGTATTCAAAATTAATACTAATATTATGCCTACCCACTCCTACCATGGCTGATGACTCCTTTTCTAACAGCTAAAACACCGGCGCTGGCATGCTTTAACTCTGCTCATTGCAGAGCAAGATGTGCAGTTGAGCTTTTGCAATTGCAAATGGAGTTCTTAAGAGGCACTTTGCATGCCTTAACTACCTGAGAGCAGAACCACAGAAAGCATGCAACATAACCTTTGCCTGTATTGTCCTGCACAACATCGCTACTAAGCGCAATGTCCCTCTCTGTGCTGACAATGATGCACCTGAGCCCCTTGGAGACCCTAACCAACCTCCTGCATTCTGCCAGAACAAGCAAACAGGAGCCCCTGAGCCCCTTGGAGACCCTAACCAACAGGACTGCACAACCAACAAGGGACGCAATAGACACTATTTCTGATTTGGATTTGTTTTGGATTTCAAAAATCAGTGATTGCCATTCTTTGCTTTTTTTGGGGTTATTCTGTAATCATTGCATGCATCATTTGGTTAAAACCAGACCATTCTCAGTTGTAACTGAGTTATGGTCAGGCAAAGCGTCACAAATCATTTCCAGAGGGGCGTCACCAACGGACGTCGTGGGTAAACCCAAAACCGATCAGAGCGATGAAGATGATGTATACAGAGCGGCGGCCAGCGGAGAAACATCTCCGAGTGTTGTTTTTTGCTCGGTTTTTAACAAAAAGGAAACGTTCAAATCGCTTAAAACAAGACGCGATAGGTGATTCGAACACGTAATGTTCGACAGCGGCATCCATCTTTGTAATGTAGGCTATCGTCATTTGCTATGTAGCAGTGTTGTAGTCGAGACCACCTCACTCGAGTCCGAGTCGACACCGAGACCAGAGAGAGTCGAGTCCGAGTCAAGACCGAGTCCATAGAGAGTCGAGTCCGAGTCGAGTCCGAGACCAGAGACGGTCGAGTCTGAGTCGAGACCGAGACCAGAGAGAGTCGAGTCCGAGTCAAGACCGAGTCCATAGAGAGTCGAGTCCGAGACCAGAGACGGTCGAGTCCGAGTCGAGACCGAGACCAGTGAGGGTTGATTAGCCTACCTAATTTACTTTTATTTACTTAGAGAAATCCCTTTTTTTTTACTGAATTTACTTAGAGTTTAAAAAATATGATCAGTTTAGGGTAAAAAGGCCACATAGTAGGTGGTGTTAAAAGTAATTTTATTACAATTTGTCATGCGCAGTTGCGCACTAGAAAAATCACCAATCACTGGGCGTGTCAATCAATTTAAAGAAATATTTTATTAACATACATTAATAATCATGAAAAATATTTTTAATTGAACTCGAGTGGACTCGGGAATAATTCTGAGTCCTAAAAAAAAAAATGTTCGAGTACGAGTCAATTCCGAGTCCAAATGGACACGAGTCCATGACAAGACCAAGACCATTAAAATATGGTCTCGAGACCGAGACGAGTCCGAGTCTCGAGTACTACAACACTGCTATGTAGGCTGTCGTCATCGTGTAAAGCCCGCCCCAACGCTTCTGATTGGTGCCGCAATTTCGGCGAATTGGAAATGGGCTTGAAAGAGCTCTTTGCCAGACTACTGTAACTTTCAGAGCAAATCTAAATTTACCAGAAGTTGTCTGGGTTTTCCCAGGCTATGCACCACCAATATTCTAAAAACAAAAATATTTTCGATGGTGATAAATATATATATATATATATATATATATATATATATATATATATATATATATATATATCATTTTTGGATCAAAGTGATCCAAATCCTACAAAAAAACTGAAAAACCCAAACTAAAGGTTTGATCCGGATCAAAAGCAAGATTGGATTACGTGACCTAATCCGATTATGTAATCCGTTTTTTCTTTTGAAAAAAAAAAAAACATTTTCAAGATTCGATCCAATCCGTTATCCAAAATCCTAATGGATTACTTTTGAAAAACCAGGCCCAGAGGATTGAAACCATTAGAAACCATTTGCAAAACTCAACACATTCTCACTCACTAAAACACATATCACATTTGTGACCATTTGAAACACAAAAGGCAAAAGTTAAATACAACTAACAGTTGTCATTGTTTACACACAATTCAAAATTGTTCACATTTATTTCTTATTATGAGATCAGATGAAATATGAACCGGTTCATAGAGCTCAGGGGATACAAGTGCGTGATATGAATGGAATCAATCTGATAGCAAAAGGAGGGAGGACAAGGAAGAGCAAGATGCATTGTTGTCAAAATGCTGGATCCCAGACAGCAACACAGTGTGGGCCCAGATCCGGGTACACGTGGATTCCACACAGCCCAGATGTGGGCCGAATCTGGGCCGACACTATGTTGCTGTCTAGGTTTTCCCCTTCGTCTGGTTAGAGAAAACATTTCCTATGATGTGGATAAAGTCCTCAGGCCAGAGCCAGCAGAAGACATGATGCTGAGTCAAGCTCTCATTCACCCTGGGTTGGACTTACAGGATTTAAACGACTGTAACATGTTTTCATTTAGAGTTTTATTTGACCTTTTGCAGTTAGACTAATGTATGTAATGTGATCCACGGTATGCAAGTGCTGAATATACAGACATTCAATAGGCCTACTATATTCAGTACAATACTTACAGTGAAGGACCCTACTAAGTTGAAATTACTATTCTTTTTATGTAATTGCAAAAATTGTTTACAGTATATATATATATTCTGTAACATTCTGGATTTTGTGTTCTCTATTTTTGATGTAGTGTCTCATGAATGATATAGTGCGTATTTGTGTATGATCTGAAAGCATTGCTTGATTGCTTGAGTTTGTGAGTTCAGTTTGAAAATTTGGATTTGTGTTTAATGTTATGAACAAATGGGTGAAGGTTTCAAGAAATGTGTCTTAGCAATTGTGAAAAAAGGACAAGCAAATTCCTGCAAATTTTACTGATGCTGATTTTACATTAAAACACAGCGTATGGAAAGAACAACCAAAGACACATTGACCCGTCCATTCTTAAAGCATTTATTTTGCTCAATTTATTGAGCAGCGACACACACACAACACAAAATACAGATTTGCAGCTTTGTGTTGTTACAATCTAAACCCAACAAGCATACCAATATTGATTATGGTACATATTATAAAACAGCTGTCTATAAAACAGGGAATATATATATACAATAATATACAGTCAAATTACATGGTTACAAAGAAAAAAGTTTTGAATTAAATGAACCTTTTCTGTTGTTAAAGGGTTAGTTCACCCAAAAATGAAAATTTTGTCAGAGTTTACTCACCCTCATGTTGTTCCAAACCTCTATGTGTTTATTTGTTCTGCTGAACACAAAGGAAGATATTTGGAAGAATGTTTTAATCAAACAGATCTCAATCCCCATTGACTACCATAGTAGGAAAAAATACATACTATGCTAGTCAATGGGGAATGAGATCTGTTTGGTTAAAACATTCGTCCAAATATCTTCCTTTGTGTTCAGCAGAACAAATAAACACATAGAGGTTTAGAACAACATGAGGGTGAGTAAATACTGACAGAATTTTCATTTTTGGGTGAACTAACCCTTTAATCTGCAATACTAAGTTTGACCAAATGTGAAAATATAGAACCCACTGTCAAAACATTTTAATTTTAAAACAAAGCCCAATTAAAATTGTAAGATATTTTTCATGCCTAAGATGAAGTTATTTGCCACTCAGAGCACACATTAAGGCACAGACATGTCCTGCTTGGTTCAAAAAAAAAAAAAAGTTATTTCAAATGAAAAGTTTGATTTAAATGAGCATTGCAACCCATCTGGATGTGTTCATTCCCAAACAAACAGGATATTCCGTGACTAAACTCTGGCAAGGCGTGGGCTGGATTCAGAAGAGCAGAGAATGCGAGATGCAATGCGAGATCCGTCAAATGATAATGCAATTCTCTCCTTCACGATACACTGAGATGCTTTATGATTTATAGCATGAAATCAGTGCACTTGTGATAGACAGCCATTACAGAACAAAATTATATATTTCCATATATTTATGAACAATAAATCACTATAGTGTAAATATACTGAAAAAAATATTAAATAATATGTTGCAAATATATAATGTGTTATATATTACAATATATTGAATAATTGACGCTTTTTTAAATATTGACCAATATATTTACACTGTAAAATGTAATATGAGTGTACTTAGAAAATGATTGCCTTAAATTTCTCAAGGATGTTTACTCAAAGCTGCAAGTTTCTAATATAAAAACATACAAATTTATTAACTAACGTCTATTATTGGATAGACATTTGCATTTGTATTCATTGGTATTTTTTAAATAGAAACTTAATTGAATGAACAAAACTTCACAAAAAAATTAATAGAAATAATTAACTTATAAAAATATATATAAAATAAAAAATAATAAAAATAAAATAAATATAAAAAATATATTTTTGCCTTTTAGATAGTCATATGCAGTGTTTTTTGGTTTCTTGGTCTTCTGAACTGAAACAAAGGCTCTCTCTTCAGCACAACGGTGACCCACAAAACTCAGCAGAAATTCTTTCAATCCCAACAGAACATTAAACACTAACAGATCTCTCGAGAGTGCAGCAGAGCTTACACAACAAAAACAACATTACCAGCTTCACTTATTAACCCAGACTGACCCATAAAAACCCAGACTGACTTTGTTACTATCAGACGTCTACAGAGGGTCTCATTGAGAATTAACAGAGGTTTAGATGTTGATAATATAATTTTGATCAGTGTTTGCTTCAGCTGGGCTCTTGAGCTCAAGAGCTCGAGTTTTTCTCTGGCAGTTGTAACTGTATATTTATATGAGACAGAAATTGTGGCAAAAAGGATATATATATGGCAAAATATGGAAAATATGGAAGAACTGTTGGGTATTAATTGATGATGGTAGATTCACCAATAATTATACTGAGTCACAGATCACATCCCAAGATGTATCACTGGATCAAAAATGTGTTTATTGAACAATTGCTGTATTTAGTTGCACACGGATATCAAGAATATGTATCTCAACAATGGTGACATGCTTCATGCATTCTGGGAGCTACCATAGTATAAAACCAAAGCGTATACATTGCAGCATGAAGCACGTCACCATTTTTGAGATTTGTATGCTGATTCTTAATGTCCGTGTGCGACATTAGTTCAAAATGTTTTGAGGGACAATGTGTTTTTTTTTAAATGTCTGATTACAACAACGGTTGATCTCTTGTTGTAGTTTCAGTGTTTGTAATAATTTAAATGCATTTAATGATCTAACACACTTTTGTAATGCACTTTAGGTGGAGACAATTAATCAATATTCAATGATGCTTATGCTTATCATCTGTAAACTAATTACCCATCAGATCACACCCAGTACAAACAGCGTTTTAAAACTAGTGTTATAAAGCCAAGAGTCCAGCTAACGCGAACACTGATCTCCATCATGGTGACTGCAAAATTATATAATTTTCAATAAATCATCAACATCTAAACCTGTTAATTCTCAATAAGAACCTCTGTAGAAGTCTGATAGAAATAAAGTCCATCTGGGTAGTAATAAGTGAAGCTGGTAACGCTGTTTTTGTTGCGTAAGCTCTGCTGAGCTCTCGAGAGATCTGTTAGTGTTTGATGTTCTGTTGGGATTGAAAGGGTTTCTGTTGAGTTTTGTGGGTCACCATTATGCTGAAAAGTAGAGCCTGGATACCAGACAAACTTACCACATTTGAGGACTAGAATTTGAGTATGACAACGTCAGGCTACCTGTGCTTCAGTCCAACAAAAGACCAAGACACAGTGATCATAAAGCATGTTGCTTTATCTAAAAGGCAGTAACTTTATTGCAGTTTAGTTTTAGTCAGTTAAGTTTTAAACATGCACTAAATATTTGCAATTCAATAGATGAATTAAGTGCACAGTCCATTATTGTCCCAACACTCTTATGTCTTCGTAACTTAAGACTTTGAGTCATACACCTTTCCCACGTTCATTCTTAGTACACCCATCAGTGTAAATGTAATTTTCAATATATGAAAAGCGGCAATTCCTAATACTGTAATATATATTGATACAATATCATAGTTCACATATTTTTTTAGTATATTTACACCATACAATAGAGATCATAAATATATGGAAATATATTTTTGTTTTTCTGCTGCAAATGGTCTCAAAACAGCATTTCTGATCTACAGCCAACATCTTTTCCAGTGTGTTGTATGTGCGCATGCTCACAAAAATATCTGTTCTAAACAAAAACCATTTAAGTGCAATTTTACTGTTGTTCCAAATGAGACAAATCATCAGAGTGTGAAAATAGAACAACTGCATGAACAAGCAAGTTTGTCTGTATACAAGCAATACAAAGTGCATACATTTAGATATTCAAGGGATGGTATTGCACCTTTACAAACACAGGTGCTTTGAGTACATACAAGTCCAGATATAACAATTCAACAGTTACCAATCCCACATATCCCAAGCTCCACACCACTCATTTTCTAACTCAGATCTCCATCATTCCAACTTTAAAAAAAAACATTCAAATGATCATCTCCATTCCTGGTACTTTTCTTTGCTCCATTCATTTCCAACAGAATCAAGCATTTCAATCACGGGATACAAATATAAACGTGGTTTATTAAAACAAAAAGGTAGACATGCCCAGTATGCAGCAAAACACTAACATATATGAACTTCGCCTGACAAAAACGGAGTAAACCGAGAGGAACTAAACACATGGCAAACAATGAACAGCTGAATGAATCACCGTGGTTACTGATGAGTGGCGGGAAAAACAAAATCAAAAAAGGAGCACATGTGATGAATGAAAATAAACTGAAAGTCCATGAAAACATAAAAAATAATAAAGTAAAGTGAAGGCTGTTACTGTTCAGTTAGTTTCTATACAAAAAAATAATGAAAATGTTTCATAACTTTGTCTTAATTTTCCTTCAAAATTTAAAACAAATACAGTACGGCTAACAGAAAACACATATTAAGCCATAGTTCGAACACTAATTAGAGCCTAATTTACACAGAATTGTTACATGTCGAGCACGAGAAAACCATTTGCAAGACAGTGCAGAGAACGGATAAATGTCTCGCACATTTTGTGCCAGCTGAACTCTATTTAAAAAACTATTTTGTCATTTAAGAAATCCATTGCCTGGCTTCAAAATACCAGTCTTTGTGAATTAAGCATATGTGTTTTTCCATCCCTAAACTTGAGCTGAAATATATAGCTATGTGGAACGTAATGTGGAAGTAGATATGGAAGGCTGCGATTAGACAGAACCAGAAGACAAAAGAAAAAGGTTTTAAAAAGAAAGGTAAACTAAAACAAACTTTGTCATCTGTGAAATGCGGACAAAAGCTAAAACAAAACCAGCAGCAAAAAAAAAAAAAAAAAAAAAAAAGGCTTCTCAGACAGTCAAGGAAACATTAGACGTTCAGTCTGCATCCAAAAGACATGCGACAGCTGAACAAACCTTTTATTGATATAACATTTATCATGATAATGTGATCAGTTATGTTTGTGTTGTAGTATGGTGAGAGTTATAATAAACAAAAACAACAAAGTTAAACTGATCATTACAATTATTTTTTTTTTTACCTGAAAAGTCCCTAAAATTAAAGCTGAAAGTGCACAGTTATTGTATCAATTCGGTTCTGAATTGTTGGCTTACACCATAAAAAAAAAATAAAAAAAAATTAATATTTGACCATACAATATTACAACAGTTAGTTCTTCATCTACTAGCTATTAGTATCGGTTTCACACCAAACCGTGTACCAGCCATGGTTATTATACAATAAAATAGTTACGTATTAGGGACAAAATATAAAGTCCATTTAGCAAGATTTGACATGAAAATAGAAAGAGAAATAAAATTAAAATCCAAAACAAGATTTATATTTTGGGGTTAAGCACAGATGGCTGACGCTGTCACACAGGATGCAATAAATCACCTATTTTACATGTATTAATATGTGTGTATATATACAGTATATATGGAAAAAATGGGCTATTTGAAATTTATTTGCAGAGATTGTTCATTACGGGATATGGACAGTCTATACAGAGTAATTTGGATGCTTTTACCGAGCAACAAAAGATCACCAGTTGAAGAGCGAGTTCTGCCCTAACGTCATGAAGTAGATCTGACTGCATCCACCCGACTGGACAGAAGCAAAAAACACCTGCAGAGAAACATAATGCCCAATGCTTTATTGTCATACCGTTTAGTCATTCATATGCCTATAATGCCCAGACAAGCTCTTTAAAAATAGTTCTAGGTTATGGGATTTCTGGGGTAATTTGGAGAGATATTTGGCGTTTCTAAATGTGATATTATAAAAGCATATAGGAATTTCCTTACTTTGTCGTTTCTCTCACACAGGAACTTGAGCTTTTGAGCCTTTTTGTGCATGAAGACTCCCTCCAGACTTCCAGTCTTGGCAGATCTGAGTTCGATGGCTTTCTCGCCCCATCCCATCACCTGATTTGACTGAAGGTAGGCTGCCAGACAACAGAGAAAATGATGCAAATCAACATCAAGTCTAGCTTACCAGAACCAGGAAGTATGACCATATTAGCCCGGTTCTGTCAACACTGCATTGGCTGCCTATTAAACATCGTATACATTTTAAAATATTGCTGATTGCTTACAAAACACTAAATGGTTTAGCTCTGCAGTACTTGAGCGAGCTCTTAACGCATTATAGTCCTTCACGTCTATTGCGATCTCAAAACTCTGGCCAGATGATAATACCTAGAATATCAAAATCGACTGCTGGTGGTTGATCCTTTTCCTATTTAGCACCAAAACTCTGGAACAATCTTCCTACCATTGTCCTGGAAGCAGACACAATCTGTCAGTTCAAATCTAGACTAGATGTGAGATGTGTTTTTACACATCTCTTTGGCCTAGCATACACATAACACACTAAAGACTTCCTAAATTCAAAATTAGGCTGCATAATTTAGATCAGCCAGAACCGGGAACACGTCCCGTAAATCCTGATAAAAAATCATGTTAATGGTTGAGCAAAATCACAAGAATGCAGTATCATTCATCAACAAGATAACACTGAGTTAATTATATTTGAGCCACAATATTACCAGTAATATTGTCGCTCAAATATAATTTACTCAGTACCAGTAATATTGTCGAGGTAAAGTAATATTTCGAACTCTGTGATCGAAACTCAGGTTTTTAGGAAACCACAGAACACCAAGAATGTGCCGTCATTTGTGCCAAATTGAGGTTGTGGTTAGCTCATCAAGGCTGTATTATATTTTTATGATTTTTAGTTTTTATATATTTTTATACTTTTTAATACTATCATTTTGTGTACAGTACATTTCTATTGATCATTTTCCACATTTTGGCCATTAAAGTTTCTAACTTTTCTGTTAGTTGGTCAGCAGCAGCAGCTCACCAACATCCCATGCCAGAGACATGCATCCAAAACACAGGATATCCCGAAGACCAGCATCTGGCCCATCTGGTCTAGTGCAAATAGACTCAACCATGATAATGTGTTAGCACTGATTCACTCAAAATATTCCAAGTTCTACACAATAGTCTCCTCCATCCAGTGTTGTGTCGAGACCACCTCACTCGAGTCCGAGTCGAGATCGAGACCAGATAGATTCGAGTCCGAGTCAAGACCGAGTCCATAGAGAGTCGAGTCCGAGTCGAGTCCGAGACCAGAGACGGTCGTGTCCGAGTCGAGACCGAGACCAGTGAGGGTTGATTACCTAATTTACTTTTATTTACTTAGAGAAATCCTTTTTTTTTACTGAATTTACTTAGAGTTTAAAAAATATGATCAGTTTAGGGTAAAAAGGCCACATAGTAGGTGGTGTTAAAAGTAATTTTATTACAATTTGTCATGCGCAGTTGCGCACTAGAAAATCACCAATCACTGGGCGTGTCAATCAATTTAAAGAAATATTTTTATTAACATACATTAATAATCATGAAAAATATTTTGAATTGAACTCGAGTGGACTCGGGAATAAGTCCGAGTCCTAAAAAAAAAATGTTCGAGTACGAGTCAATTCCGAGTCCAAATGCACACGAGTCCATGACAAGACCAAGACCATTAAAATATGTCCGAGTCTCGAGTACTACAACACTGCCTCCATCTAAGACTAATAGTCTTACTAATAGTTACTCTAGAATGGAACTACTTTAGAGATGAAGTTGTCTTCAAACCTCTTTTAAGGAACACTGTTTAATGTTGAGCTCTGGTAAAGTAATGTAAGTCTAGAAAACCGTCTCTTGTTTATTATACTGAACAGATCACAGTAAAAAACTTTTGTCACATCTTTCCAGCTGAGACCAAAGCATTAAAGAGAACGTTATAAGCGTCCACATAAACAGATGATAACGGTATGTTTATTTTAAGAGTGTGCTTCTTCAGTTATGTTTTCAGGGCATTAATGCACATATTTAGCTCTGAAAGTGATTCCAACAATAAGTTGTGGTGACAGACTCTGCTGTTTTCTAGGGCGTTTTCAGATCTGTAGATCGTTTGCTTTGTTCCGAAACAGGGACATTTTCTCAGTTCACACTTACAAATAATTAGAAAAAAGGTATATGCGTATTTGGCGTGCTTATTGTGTAATAATCGTACTTGGCTAGAACGTGCTCCTCCCAAACTAAATTATGTTTAATAAAACATAATTTATTACAATGTAACACTTTCTTCTTGGTTTGGTTCGCTTTCACAAGGCAACATTTCAAAGAGTACCAAACAGTGTTTAGGCACACGTGATTAAACTGTCCTCTCATTGCTCAGAGTGTCCTCTGCGTCATCCATCAAGATGATTTTGTGATTTATCATAAGAAACACGAGAAGTGCCAGTAATACAAAGTTTCAATCATCATTCATGATAGTATAAACAGGGACACACATTAGAGTGGGAACTCTACTAATTTCACTAACAGCTCATTGCAATACACGAGATCCAGGGGGCGGATTTGGATCCAGATCAAAGGGGTGGAGATGGATAGGATTAAGGGTGGGGTTAGGGATCAGGGGGCGGAGATGGGTAGGTTTAGGTATATGTAAGGTGGGAGGATTTTGTGTCTAAAGTGAGGACCTAATCACTAATTTATTCACATAAATTAAAAAAGATAATTTATAATCCCATTAGAGCAGGAATCAAGGCTCCGTCGGGACAGTATACTTGCAGTGCAGGGCGCTGAAGAGGCGCACTTTGGTTTTCAACTGTGATAACTAAAGCCGAGTTCAGACTGCACGATTAAGCCCCGATATTGGCTCGCCCACAGGTTGAGGAATCGCAGACAAAGGCCCGAAATCACAGGCAAATCGGTGCTTGTTCACGTGATTGACAATCACGCAGTGTGAATGAGCAAAGATCGGAGAGAATCGCTGACGAGTCGCTGACACCCATGAGATATTTGGCATGCTAAATATCTGGACCTGACGGCGATTCAAAATCCTGCCATGTGAAAAGTGCTCTGACTGAAAACTACATAAGTGATGACCGAGAGCCAATGACAGAGCAAGATACAGGACAGCAGGGGAGGAGTTAGACCAGAATGTCAGTATTTTAATAGATATATTTACAATTATATCAAACAGAAATAAAGTAGCCTTCACATTTGCTTGACCAGCAGCACACAGCAAAATTAATTTTTTACCCCCAATTCTCTTTGCAAAATGCACAATCCTTGATTTCATCTCCCCAACCATTTCCTCCTGCATTCACTGCAAATCAGCACACAGACAATTGGAATCTTTGAGTCTCAATTTGAGTCTCAAGAAAGAACTCCAGTCTCACGCACGCGTGATCTTGAATTATTTCACTTCTCGCGTGTTTGGTTGTGAAACATAGTTTGCAGACCAGGCAGAAGTTGTAGGCAATGCTTTCTTTTTTAAAGTTATGCAGTGTGAAACCTCCTGTCGACGATAGTTACGCAGAGTGAAAAGAACAGTGACTCTGATACTTTGAAAATCGTGCTGTCTGAACTCGGCTAAATGTGCTCGCTCGCGGAATCAGACTCTGCTGATTTTTATATGACACGTTTCCCGTTATGAATTACGATAACGCTTGGTTCCTTGGGTCGGATTGCTTGTCACCTCAACTGAACGTCCCTATAGTTTGTTTTCAATCAGGCCGAGACAACCCTGTTCTAGTGCGGATACGAGCGTGATCGCCGTGTTTATATTTGCCTAAATGAACTGTGCATTTTCTCCCTTTGTTCAGAGTTCCCAAATAAACATTAACGTTATTTTTGTTGGTTTATTTTTACAGAAACCGTGGGACATGTAATGTTTGTGGGTACTACTGAGTCGTGGGCACGTTCACTACATTAAATGTAACGTTACATTTGACATGAGACTGTGTTTGTGTGTAGAAATGAACACTGGGCTGTGGGGAATTTATTACACTCATAACACCATCGGCTGTGGCCAGAATACCAGAAAATACTACACTGCTTATTAGGGCTGGGTAATAAATATCGATTTCTCGATATTAATCGATTCTCATTTTTACAAACCGATATCGATTCTTAAATCTCAAGAATCAATTAGTCATCCTGTTTCATTTGAATGAATGAGACATTGTATCGCGGCTGCGCGCATCCAACAAATCGCAATAATCTTTGTCCTTTGTTACTATTGATATTGTCACAGTCTGTCGTCCTCACCTGTTTTGTCCCGTCATCTGCACCACACTTCCCCGGATCCTTTTGTTCCTCTCCCGGACTCACTCCCCCAATCAGCCACCTGTTCCTCGTCCTGTCTTCATCATTTTCACCTGTTTGCACTCCAATTAGCCTTATTCCTCTGTGTATTTAGTTCTGTCCCGTTTGATTCAGTTTTGTCGGTCAATGTTTAATGTTACGCTGTGTATCCTGTCTTCCTGCCTGTATTTTTGAAATTAAATGTCTCTCTACCGAGATTCTGTACCCGCCTGTTCTTCTGCCTGCACCCGCACCGTGACAGATTGACCGACCCAAAAACCTACATGGACGCCGTGATCTTCCGGGGGATCCCCTACCCGGTCCTGCGACCCCGGTTACAGCTTGTTCCCCGGAAGTCTGCGCTCACCGTCAGCCCTGCCGAGCCCGCACTCACCGTCAGCCCTGTCGAGTCTGCGCCCACCGTCAGCCCTGCTGAGTCAGCGCTCACCGTCAGCCCTGCCGAGCTCGCGCTCACCGTCCGTCCTTTTGAGCCTGAATGCTCTTCACCGCTGGTCCCGTCCAGCTCTCCAGAGACTGTATGCTGTATGACTGTATGCTTCACTGCTGGTTCCGCCCAGCCCTCCAGAGACTGTATGCTCTTCACTGCTGGTTCCGCCCAGCCCTCCAGAGACTGTATGCTCTTCACTGCTGGTTCCGTCCAGCCCTCCAGAGACTGTATGCTCTTCACTGCTGGTTCCGCCCAGCCCTCCAGAGACTGTATGCTCTTCACTGCTGGTTCCGCCCAGCCCTCCAGAGACTGTATGCTCTTCACTGCTGGTTCCGTCCAGCCCTCTAGAGACTGTATGCTCTTCACCGCTGGTTCCGTCCAGCCCTCCAGACAACAGGGACGTGGTGTTCTTCCGGGGGATCCCCTACCCGGTCCTGCGACCCCGGTTACGTCTCGTTCCCCGGAAGTCTGCGCTCACCGTCCGCCCTGTCGAGCCAGCGCCAGAGACCGTCCAGCCAGCGCCAGAGACCGTCCAGCCAGCGCCAGAGACCGTCCAGCCAGCGCCAGAGACCGTCCAGCCAGCGCCAGAGACCGTCCAGCCAGCGCCAGAGACCGTCCAGCCAGCGCCAGAGACCGTCCAGCCAGCGCCTGAGACCGTCCAGCCAGCGCCAGAGACCGTCCAGCCAGCGCCAGTGACCGTCCAGCCAGCGCCAGAGACCGTCCAGCCAGCGCCAGAGACCGTCCAGCCAGCGCCAGAGACCGTCCAGCCAGCGCCAGAGACCGTCCAGCCAGAGCCAGAGACCAGGATCCCACCCAGCCTCCCTCTCCCGCCTCCTCTCATCTGTCCTCCCTCTGCTCTCCTGCCCTTCAGCTCCCCTGACCCAGCCTGGTCCTTGGATCCCAGGTCTTCGCTTCACACCTCCTCCTCTGAGACACTTCCTCGGCCCTCTGTCCCATCAGCTCCCCCGTGGCTCCTACCTCCCTCAGCTCCTCCATGGCCCCTCAGTCCACCAGCTCGACCAGGCTCCCTCGACCCTCCGGACTCCCTTCGTTCCCTCGTCATCCTCCCTTCACCTTTGGACTTCCTTCCCTTTGCTCCGCACCGTCAGGTCACCCCCCCGGTTCTGTCGGACTTCTCACTCCCTCCAGTCACCCGTCAGCCCTCACTCCCTCTGGCCTCACCGTGTCCCTCTGTGCCCCTGTCGTCACTTCTGTCACCTGAGCCTGCGGTGTCCCCTTGCTCCCTCGGTCCCTCCTCAGCACCCATCGTCGTCTGTCCCTCAGCTACACCCTGGTCTCCTCTCCCATCCGCTCCACCCCTGTCTGTCAGCCCCCTGGTGTTGTCAGCCCCGCTTCCATCGGCTCCACCAGGGGTCCTCCCTCCATCTGCTCCGCCCTGGTCTCGCCCTCAGCCTGCTTCGCCCTGGTCTCGACCTCAGTCTGCTCCGCCCTGGCCACGCCCTCAGCCTGCTCCGCCCTGGCCACGCCCTCAGCCTGCTTCGCCCGGGTCTCGCCCTCAGTCTGCTCCGCCCTGGCCACGCCCTCAGACTGCTCTGCCCTGGCCACGCCCTCAGCCTGCTCCGCCCTGGCCTCGCCCTCATCCTGCTCCGCCCTGGGGGGCTGTCCCCTCCTGACCACGCCCTCCACAGCCTCCAGGGTGCCCACCCCCCCTCCCCATTGATGTTATGGCGTGAGGCCACGCCTTCCGGGAGGGGGGAGTAATGTCACAGTCTGTCGTCCTCACCTGTTTTGTCCCGTCATCTGCACCACACTTCCCCGGATCCTTTTGTTCCTCTCCCGGACTCACTCCCCCAATCAGCCACCTGTTCCTCGTCCTGTCTTTATCATTTTCACCTGTTTGCACTCCAATTAGCCTTATTCCTCTGTGTATTTAGTTCTGTCCCGTTTGATTCAGTTTTGTCGGTCAATGTTTAATGTTACGCTGTGTATCCTGTCTTCCTGCCTGTATTTTTGAAATTAAATGTCTCTCTACCGAGATTCTGTACCCGCCTGTTCTTCTGCCTGCACCCGCACCGTGACAGATATGAAACAAAGTCTCAATTTTCAAATTACGTCCATTTTCTTTAGAAATTCAAAAACATATATAGCGTTTTGCCGTTTTGGCGCTGTGGCGTGAGATCGCTCTGGAGAAGCAGCAGCGCTGATCTCTCTTCCGGGTTAATAATACCAGTCACAGCGCCAAATAAACGTGAATGAGCATCTGAAAGTGTGTTAAAAGATAGAGTACAACTTATCTAAATCCCTATCATTTCACATTGATTCGCTCAATCTGCGTTTCAACCGTGGAAAGACGTCAGGTAAACAGCTTGTAATCAATGTCATGTATCGTCATATTTACCTCAGAAAACCCACATAAACTCGTTAGTCCACACTCGTTAGTGTTCTTCAATATTTAATGCATATTTGAATAAATCTGGCAAGTTTTTATGACAGCCACCATTTAAATGTTTATATTTCATATAATCTTCTTATTATAAAAATAAATAAAAGTGTAATTTAAGTGTTTGTATAGCTACAAAACAGTTAATTATTACCTTCATATTAGGCCAATGAAGCCTAGTAGGCTACAACTAGACTATAGACCATAGTTTACAGCATTTAAGAGATTTGATTCCCTTGAGAAAAATTGCCATTTATTGTAACTGATATCCAAAATAATCGATATTGAATCGAATCGAATCGTAATCGAATCGAATTGCAAGCTTGTGAATCGAAATCGAATCGAATTGTGAAATTTGTCTCAATACCCAGCCCTACTGCTTATATGAATTTATCAGGGTTACCTTGGAAATGGCATTTGTGGGCAGACAAGCGTCTGCATCGGTCGAACAACCTTCCTCTTTTAGCTCCCGCCAGCGAGCGAAGCGAAAGCTGGACCAATGTTAATCCTCGTCCTGGCTTTTAATTTGTCACTCTCCCCTTTTCTTTTTTTAGTTTCCTCTGACAAAACCTTTGCATTCTTCCTTATAGCTGTTGTTCGGCCATGACGAAAACATACAGATGGCAATCAAACGCGAGTTGAGCACTAACGTCAGAATCTGAGGAAGTTGTGGGTGGTGGGGGAAGTGACGTATGCCTTAAAGCGGTCGAATTTTGTAGTTCTTTTGTGCTCGGGTTCCTACCCGAAACCCGAAGTTACAAAGTCCTAATAAAAGCGATACAGACACGTGTCATTCAAACTATTGTAAATCGATGTACCATCTCAAAAAAATGGGTTTTGGTAATATATTATAAAGGTTGAAAAGTTTAACAGTGTGGCTTTAACACAAAGTTGCTTTGACTTTCTCCACACACAAATCTGCTCATATGTAGTAAGTGGGCTGAAAGATGACTCATCCACCCAAATGACTTGTTTTGCTTTTTCGTATTTAGAATTTAGACTTTCACATCAGTCAGTACAAGAACGGCAGATATATAGCCAGTTTTAGACAGTTGCATCAAAAACCAAGAGAAACAACAACAAAAAATCATACATATTAAAATGAAGCTGCATTACCTATAGATCAATCATTGCATGTCCGTACTGTACATTATTTACAAGCTAATGCTTATGTTGTTGCAGCTGTTCTTGTGGAGAGCTAAAACTCACCGACAGAGGCGGGCATCTCCCCCCACTGCAGAACCGTCTCCTTGGTGATGCGGCCATAGGTGTCGAGATAGACGCCCTCATCCTCGTAACACAGCAACAGCTCCATCCCACTGCTGCTGGGGAGGATGATGATGGCATGCGGACGAATCAGACCTTGGATCTGAAACACACAAACGTTCTGTTATAAAGAGGAAAACGGTAACTGCCTTAACAAATACAGAAGTCACAAGTATATCTCTGCACTGTGTGTACACCATGCTGTCAAATTATCCACAGCACATTTACTTGTCACAGCATGTAGTACAGCAGGGGTCAGCTGGTCGTAACTACAGCCAATTATTATGCCAAGGCAATGTATAAACAAAATAAAATGACTACCTATTTTCAGTTGAAAGTTGCAAACATAGGCTGTATGTTTTCTTCAGTAATGTGCTAATTTAGGGAAGCATATGTACATGCTGTCACAAAAGTGCATCACAAATAATAAAATGAATCAAATGTAAAGATATTGTTTAATAAGGTGAAAATATTGACTTTAATTCAGTAGTTTTTATCATAATTGGAAAACATGTTTGAATCACCATTATTCTCTATCTATTATTTTATGAATGGCATTTGAGCATTTAACAAACAAACAAACAAACAACAAAAAATCAACTGAAAGATTAATAATTTTTAGAAAAGCAAACTTGTCCAAAATATATTGTCAGAAATAACTTGCAGCTTATAACTTAGGCTGTAATCTTTAGGCTTACAATCTTATTACATCTTTTTTATAATACCAATTGATTTAGTTATATTAGTGTTAATAAATTAATGAATAACTAATGTTTATGTTAAGTTGTAAGTGATCGTGAAGGGTCCTAAGTTCAGTGCTCCCAGAGGGCTGTCCACTCTCTTCAGTGCTTCTGAGGTGTCTGTAAGCCATGTACATTTCCCCATCTGGCAGAGAAGCCACATTGTCCTCTGCCCCAAGTCCAGTGGTCCAAGAGGTCCTAAATCAGGTTGACGCATGTTCAGTAGTCCTGGAAGTCTCAAATCCATTAGTCCTGAAGGTCCCAAGTCCAAGGGTCCCAGAGTTTCTTTTACTGTCCTCAGTGCTTCTAATGATGGCGGCCACCATCGATGTGTGTGGCTCCATCTGGCTCAGAGGCTGTGGTATCCACGGCAGCGCTCACAGTGGTCCAAGAGGTCCAAAGTCAGGTGAACCATCGCTCAGTTGTTTTTCCAAGTCTGGTTGCCCTGGGGGACCCAAGTCCGGTGGTCCCATGTTCATTGTTCTCATGTTCTCCAGGTAGTCCTGAAGTTCCCAAGTTCAGCCTTCCCCAGTCTGGTGGTCTCAATACCAGTCTCCCATGTCTGGTTGCTTCCAAGTCTGGTGGCCCTGTAGGTCCCAAGGTCTACATCCACACTGGGATCTCCAACTCTGCTGGTTTCATCCAGGTGTTCTTCAGCCATGACAGCTTTACCTTGATCTTCAGCTCCGTCATGGCCACCTGCCTGATCCCAAGTGGTCTTTTGCTCTGCCATGATGTTCATCTCCACCAGCCTCACCTTGGTTTACTTTACCATTCAGTTTTATGGTTTGAATGATTGATTTTAATCCAGGTAATGGGTAAGGCTCTCCTTCAACCTTCTCAATTACCCACTTCTGGGTTGTGCTGCATGTTTCCCTATGGGCTGGGCACATGGGGCGGGTTGCATACTTAAAGATTAAGATTTTAAAAAAAAGTTTACTTTTTTAAACAACACTGTTGTTTATTTCTTTTTTAGACATTTGTTAAGAAAATCAAAAAGCTAAAATAAAGACTACAACGAATATACTAAGGAATGCTTTTAACGCTTGTTTTTGCTTCTTTTTTGCCTGTGATTTGATCTGAAGATTCTCTACTTTCAGATGCATAAAACTTTATAACAGTGAAAACATGGAAAGCTGGAACATTCTGTCAATGGCGGGGAAAGGAGTTGTTAAAATAATGGTGAAATCTTTATCACACATCACTTTTAAATAAATGCAATGACCATGTACTTCAGTTACAAGAACAAAGTTAAACACATTTTAATATTAAAATATCTGTGTTAGCTAAAAAAAAAAAAACGTAACCACTTTTTAAGCGACAACAAACGATTAGAATACATATTCTCAATCATTTGTACTTGCGTCTATGTCATTTCCACAATCACACACCTCCCACTGTACTTGCCTGACTCAGAAATAAATTCACACACACTGTACTGCCATCCCTCTGTAGAGCCACCACAATCCTGAGCATCAATACGGGCATCCAGAGCCGCAGAGAAATCCTTATCCTCTGCCGCGGGATTCTCATGAGCGCCAGCCGCGCAAACACGCCGACGGAGAAACGGAGAGTGTGCTCCCAAGTGGGAGAAGCGGAATTACACCACTCAAAGAGCAGCCTTAGAGTGGAAGGACTTCACTAATGAGTGTGTGCAAGTGAAAGACAACGACTAAGTGAAAGGTGGAAAAACGCAATTGCATTAAAAGCTATGTGTGTGAGAATATGAAAAAGTCACAAAATGAATGAGAGAATGGGAGGGAATGGAAGAGAAAATGTTGGTATAGGAGGCTAAATGACTTAGTGCCGCCCAGCTTCCAGTTCTCTTTCTTGCCGCTAGTTCAACTCTAAATTTAACTACTGCCTGTTACTAGAAGAAATACCAGGTCATTTCAATAGGCTTTTGCTTTGGGAACATAGCAAAGGCTGCAGAGTTATTTTTGGACGAGAGATCAGTTTGGAGAAACTAGCACACACACACACACACACACACACACATTGTGAGGGTGAACTAGTCCGTAACTATGTGGGACAGCTCAGAGGAGTGTGGGCCGTAGCTAGGAGGGGGTGGTGCATGATCACTATGGTCTTCGCTCTTCCTCTGTAGAGGATAAACTGCTGTGTGGGTGTGTGGGGACGTCAGCAATATAGAGCAGCTCTATCTCATCACATTTTTCACACATTACATTTTGTTCTACATGCATGCCATCTCTAAACTGTGCATTCGGTAGAAGGAAAACGAGTGTGATATGGTGACGGCATTTTCATATGCCTGCTTTTGTTTAAAAACCCAAAACCAAGCTCATTTTGATTACTTGATAAGAAATCTATCTATAGTATGATGGTACACAATTGTGGTTTTGTGATGTGATATCTCAGCTGTTCTGTGCTATTAGGGTTAAACATACAGTTTTAACTTGGTTAAAGGATTAGTTCACTTTTGAAAAAACGCCGTTTGAGTTTGTTTTCACGTTCAACCTATGCGTTCAACTTGTAAGCACTCTGACTCTGTACTTCTGGCTACGTCGCCTGTGACCTTTTGAACGTAATTACGTACTACGTGACGTTGCAAACGCGCCTCACAGAATGGAGAAAGGCTAGCATTTGTCCTTAGAAAAGTTACAGTTTTGGAATAAGCTTAGAAATAACCGATCGTTTCGCATGATAAGACCCTTATTCATCGTCTGGTGTTGTTTAAAGACATTTGAAGCTGCATCTGAAACTGTTATTAACTGTCGTTTGGACCTCGGTTGGACCTGGTTCCCATTGAAGTCCATTATAAGGAGAAAAATCCTGGAATGTTTTCATCAAAAACCTAAATTTTTTTTCGACTGAGGAAAGAAAGACATGGACATCTTGGATGACATGGGGGTGAGTAAATTATCAGCAAAAGTTTTTTCAAAAGTGAACTAATCCTTTAAACACAGAAAGAAATCTGAATTATTATTCCATATTTTCAGATTTGAAATTACTGTTTCTGGACCCTTGTAATGAGAATCTCTGGCCAAATACAAAAGGTAGGGTTGATGGAAATATAGAAGTACAGTTATCAATTCTTTGTTTTGCTTTTAAAGTAAGCCAGACAGGCAACAAACAACACATAATAATGAGCATTTAAAATGTATATTAAGCGATATAGCACATATAAAAAGCTGTCTTAAGACTTATTTTGAGATCAAAATAAATAACCTATAATATAAATAACTTTACCTTTAAAAAAAAAGTTCTTCAACAAAAATATTTAAAAATGTTGGACATATTATATTAAAATATAATATTATATAAAAAATTCATAAATAAAATATATCTTATAGCAGCAACCATAAAACCTGGAAGCCCTGCAGTGTATTTACTTGTCAACAGCATAGGAGAATGACACAGAAGAGAAATAAATTCTTCAAGTGTGTTTTTGCACACAAAAAGTCAAGTCACCCTCATTTATAAAGCACTTTTAACAGTATGGATTGTTTAAGCAGCTTTACAGTGGTAACAGAAATTACCATAACAGATTGTTTAGGCTTTACAACAGCATTAAGATTGTCAAGTCGTTGTCCAGCTAAAGTTAGTTTTGATTGATTCAATTCCGTTGCGAAGATCATTAACTTAGGGGGCGCTAACACGACACCGTTCTAACAGAAAAACTTTTAACACGCTCCGGCTGCCTATCTGCACAAAACAGAAAGTGCCTGGTGTCTCGAGAACGCACTCCCTGAAATAGGTTAGAAGGTGCAAACGATTATCTGTTATCTCTGCGCAAAACCTCAAAAATGCAAACCCGCGAAAACGCAGACGGTGCGCACATGCGCCATCACATGTTCAGTCCATAGTAGGCGTGTAACGATATTAGAGCCGAACCGAAAAACCGTGATACAGAACCCACGATTCGAATCGCAACACTCTCATGTCGTACTGAACACGCCCTGCTACCCCGGCCCGGCTCCTGGGACCTCATAAGGACCTCATGTCTTATGTTTACACAACAAATTCAGTTTTGTAGCCTAATCCTCATTAACACCAATAATAATAAGCAAGGTGTAATCTTTGCTTACTACGACTATTTGATCACGAAATTCAAACAATAAATGGCGTTTTGGCACTCTTTGATATGGCATGACAGATCACTGTACTAGCTCCACATTTCAAGTGGCAGCGCGAGTAAACGCGATCATCTCTTCCTCAGTCACAGACTAAACATGAATGGACACCTGAAGGTATGTTGAAAGATACAGTGAACTTACAGAAAGGCATCATAACTTGTGTAATCGCTCAATTAGTGTTTCAGCAGCGGAAAGAGGTCAATAAAACAGCATAGCTTGTCACTAGCATTATATTTACCTCAGCAGAAGTCATTCAGTGTCCACAACTTGTTGGTACCTAGAGAAATTAATGCTGCGTTCATGTGCTATGGTAATTATGGTAAATACCAAAAGCCGACGTGGAAAATGCACATGAACACCCCCTCATGTGGTATTTTCTACTGGGCAACTCGTAGAATATTTTGATGGACGAGTTGCCGAGATGAGATAACCTTTGAACTTTTCAAAATGGCGGAGAGTACCGCAAGAGTCGTGCATGGAAAAAATATATATACTATTCATGATCTAGAAATTATATATAGCATATTATTTACCTTTTGAGTTTTGATCAATCATTTTCTTGCTGTTGCAGATTACTTAAGCAATCTAAAATAGATTTAGCTAAATAACAGGTCTGGATCTCCATCTTTTTACCACATTACGACAACAAAAGCACTTGAACGCAACACACTGGTAAATACCAGTTCACAAGTGGAAAATATCCTACTTTCCATAGCACGTGAACGCAGCATAACTCTTGCACTAAATAAATGCACTACATTAGCCTACATATTATATTTTCCTTAACCTGTTAATCTTGATTGTTTAATGTGTGTTTAAAATATCTTTCATGAAAATGACAGCAACTGTGTCAATTATTATATTTCACAAACAAATTAGAGTAAAAACATTATTGTCTTACTGCCTTATGTTCAGTTTACATGTTTTCATACAATGTGTTGATTATTATATCTAAACAATAAATAGAATCTGAATCTAGGCTAAAAGTGTAGGCTCTGTTGTTAACCTTTAATGTTATAGTAATGTGCGGCTCTCTATATAGTTAACATTAGCAGATTTATTTTAACCCTTGCGAAACGTTTAATTGTAATTTAATTAATTTAAAGACAAAGACACATTTTTTTTCATTAAAGGTGGAATACCTAAGATTTTTGCATTAAAATATCCCAAAATCACAAGGCCAGTGTTATATATTTAGTTAAGATGATAACTTACAATATTCCAAATGTTTCAAACAATGTTTAAATCGCGAGAAAATGTATATTTTAACCAAGGAAACGGGGCGTGTGAGCTGGGAGTTGCCAGTCAATTGCGTCATATCCACGTTACCTCGGTTTCCGCTCGTACTACGTGTAGTCCTGGACAAATGCGGAAGTTGTAGTAGTGCGTTAGCGTCTATCAAGCAACAAACGTCAGCTTGTTTCGCGCATTTGTTATGGAACGGAGCACAATTATTCTTTTCATTTATTCTCGGAATGTGAACTGTTGGCTGTAAAGGGGGTCGCACACCGGACGAGAAGCGCCGTGCCACGTTTAGGACAACTCCACAGTAACGTTATCGAACACCGGGCGCGCACTTTCTCATCAGTGTATGGCCAGCAATATTGTTCTGTTTAATGACAGGAAATGAAGATAATGTCTGTTCTATGTTATGATTGTACTGTACAATTAAATACAATCGTTGCTGAGTCTGCATTCTGAAAACTTTACCTCAGAGCATCCGTTCACTGAATGAATTGAGAATCTCACCTGAAAAATCTAATAACATCAGCTATTGTTATTCAAGCAGCTGATTTCTGTAAATGAATGCAAAACTAAATGCATATTGCAGCATAGGGCGAAGTCAGGATCCATTAGCAACGATATGAGACAAAAATAAGTCACTTCGTCCAGTGACTCGTATAGTAACATCTGTGATAACTAATTTACTTTTAAACCTGACTTTTCTTGCGGTTATTTCAGTACTTTACCTCATCCATGACAACTAATTTTCGATTCCCATCTTACTGATTTATCCACGGTGGAGTTGAAAACAACAGTTCCCATCAACCGCGTTTCTCCACATCGTCATCAAGCAAAGCCGGTGTTGTTATTTTGAATGTAGCGCCCTCTAGCGGCATCTAAATCTTAGGTATTCCACCTTTAAACCACTGTTCGAAAAAAAGAAGCAATTTTAGCTTTCTGAACCGAACCGAGACGACAAAACCGTGGGAAAACCGAACCGTCACTTTTGTGTAAAATGCGCGTTTGAATATATATGTGCGCAGGAGTGTAGTCCTTCTTCACAAATCAACCCTCAAGAAACTACTTGTCTTACAAATTTATAATAAAGAAAAGTATTCTCGTCGCTTCATAACATTATGATTGAATCACTGGTGTCACATTAGATATTATTTCACCGATGTCTTTACTACTTTTCTGGGTCTTGAAAGTGGTCGTTACTTTGCAGTGAAGCGCAGCTTTTTGGTCCAGGCGCAGCCGACAAAACTGTCAGTTTTCATCACGCTTGTTCTCTGAAGTCGGCTTAGTGTGTTCCAGTTAAACATGTTGTGCAGTAAGAAGGGTACTTATTTAGCTTCGACACTCTGCACAGACACTTATGCGCCTAAAATGCGCATAACATTAGCTAGGGTTATGTTAGCGATACAACCATGTAAAGTGGATCACGTTAGGCTGCTACTTGCATGTTTTAAATTATGTCTTGTTTGAGGTTGCACGTCACCTTTTGTGGTCATTCTTTACTCTCTCGAAATGTTCCGACATATTACCGCATGATCCGGCCACGCTAGCGACCTATCACTGCGTGGCAACGTTTTTATTTTCTTTTGTGACCAACTGACTGATTTAAATTTAGATGACCAAGCTTCTTTTTGTTAATGAATGCTTAGTCGACTATGAGGTAGCAGCCTTACTGTAATATTCTCTCTACTAGCTCTTTTATAGCATGTAGTACCACAATGAAATATCTATCACATGTATTATACAACAACATTTAATGATTGTACAAACTACACAGGAACATTCATTTAGGTGTCCCGCACGCAAGATACTAATTAGTGACACAGCGTTTCACTGAGATATTTCATGATGATAAACAAATGATTCTGCAAGTGCAAGGTTTATTTAAAGATGTGAATGCACCATGCAGTGTTGTGAAAATTGGTCAAGCTGTTACAAGAGTGGTTTTAAACATGACATCACAGTTCTGAAATGAGTGCAAAAGTGATTGTAAAATACTAAAATAACAAACAAACAAATAAATAAAAAAAAGTATACTTCCTATAAAACAGAAGCAGTATTATGGCGGGACACTCATTTTCAAAATGCTAAATAAAATATTCTGGCACATTTTAGTTTTAATGTATGCATACAGTATATATCAGTTAAGTGTTTTTTGTGAATGTATGCTCTTAACCATTTTCAGTGGTGATAAATCCACAAAATATTGTCCCGCCATCAGTGCAGACAACATTGGGCCATTTATTTTTAACACAATGTTACAGCTCACCTCATTAGATGTTTGCTTGATTTTGTCAGTGACCTGGCATGCTAGCTTGACCCAAAAACCTTTAAATAAAATCTAATTACAACAGACAGTTGCACTTCTACAGGTACAAGTGCTTGCTGGGATACTCACATGACTGGGCAGGTACAGATCGAAGGGCGTCCCTGAATCCACATCAACAGCATGAAAGCCAGAGTGAGACCCATAGATGACCTTTAACCTCTGTCCATTCTCCACCGTCAGGTCAACTGAGAGGGGCTTCTGAGGCAGTGAGCTGAAGGACTGACCGAAGATAAAGCACAACTGAATTACTCATCTACTGGAGAATAAACAAAGGATGGACATAAAACCTAGTGGTTTCTTTTGGAATACGAGGACACAGGAAGTCTCATTAACATTAACAATAGCCGCGTTTCCACTGCCGGGCTAGGGCTGGGCCAGAGCTAACAGCGAGCCGAGCCGAGCCGAGCTAGTGGCCTCGGGCCTCAAGCACCGGGCTTGCGTTTCCACTGCCGGGCCAGTAGCCCCACAGCGCTGCCCCAGACCCCACCCCTAACACGCCTTTCTGGATCAAACGTCATAAAACCCAACCCATTTCAGCGGTTATTATGAATTAATTTATTTTTTATTATTAGGAAGATAGCATGTAGCCTATATTAACTCACCTGCCGTAGTGGCTGCAATAGTGTCACGAGACCAGTACAGGCGATTCTCCATTTCAAGCAGCGATTTTTTGCGCGATATAACAGGCTGCGGAACCGCCGCAGCCTGTTAACAAACGCCGCCTGTTAACAAATAACAAACGCCGCAACCTCGAGATACAGAGTTAATTTTTTAACACCTTTAATAACTGATTGGACCCCATTTGAAACGAAATTAATTTATAGAAATAAAACGTAGCAAGTACGGAGCAGTTAAAGCCGCATTTCCATCACCCTTCAAACTGAAATTGCCAATTGAAAATAAGCAAAACGTCCATTTCACAAAAACTCCGTGTCTGCAAATAATAATAATAATAATAACCATCATCATCATTATTGTAACATTTTATTAGGCTGCATATTTGTAGAAGACGCCTTTATCCAAAAAAGGAACAGAGCACAAATAAACACAATATTTTTGACGCATATCAGCGCATATCCAGTGTGTGTGGAGCACGCACTGATGGCTGCGAGACGCCCATGTGAACAGTTTCATTGCATTTCTTTTAGTGGAAACAACTTAAAATACTCTTTCATTTCTGGTCATACAGAAAATAATAATACATTATTCGCAAATAAATTTATTTGCGTAAACTCACAATAACAAGAAAACGTTGTGCTTTAACAATTAATCAAGGCGCGCTTCATGATCTCCGTGAACTGAAGCGCGAGACCTGAAACAGCCACCGCACTCGAATTTGTTCGTTTTAAATTGGACATTTAAAGCTTTAGTCTTGTAGATTAAAGCTTTAAATGTCCAATTTAAAACGAACAAATTCGAATCGAAAGCCAATATCTTTCTGACTATGTAATTATGTAGCTAATTAATTTCTCTCTAAATGTGCATCCGGAGATGGAGATATGTTTTTAGCCGAAAATCATTTAGAAAACAATAGTTTATTAATAAACAATTAATGCCTCGTTATTTTATATTATTTTATTATCAGACACATTTATTATAGCCTATAAATCACCTATAATCCCCTTTCTGTAGGCTGTGGTTACGGCTCTTCTCATTCAGCACTGCAGGGAAAATATCATTTCCAGGTTCTAATTTGGCCTCAGAAAACCAGTAAAATATATATTTTTTTTCATATTAATTTGTCAAATATTTTAAATGTTTAAGGGGCAAAAAATCAAACAAATATCTGAAAATTCGTGGATATGTAGCCTATATATAGCCTATATATTTTTGCGCAGCATTTGGCATAGGCCTACAGTTCAAATTAAAATGTTATGCAATTTTAAATGGTTAATCGGTTAAACATGGACAGCCCTATGTGCATCTTGCTTCAGATCATAACGTTCCATAACACCGATAAACTCCGCCTTTTACCTTGAGCACGCCTCTAGCACGAGCTGGCCCCCTCTGGCCCAAGGTATTCGATGGGCCAGAAATCCTGGCCGTTGGCCCTGAGGAAGCCCCGATCAAGCCCCGGAAGTGACAGTGGAAACGCGACTGGCCCTGGCACGCACTAGCACGGCCCGGCCCTGGACCGGCAGTGGAAACGCGGCTCATGTTTACGTTGTAATACCCATGGCAAGTTTAAACCATGAATACAAGAACACACACACTTGTGAAACACACAAAGACTTGAGGTTTTACATCCAGTCAGTGTTCACTGTTCTCCACTCATCTTTGGTAACAGGATATATTCACAGGTAATGTGAGAATAGATTCTGTTTTATACAGTATCGGCTTTAATTCTGTTATAAGGGAAAACGCTGATGGTGTGAGCACTGCTTTTGGGCTTCTGACATCAGAAACCAGAGGATGTCACAGTTGTTTTTTCAGTTGAGATCGAGTTAATGGTGTTTTTTGGGCTGCGTAGGAAGTGTTGAGCTCTGGAAGTAACTCTTTCAAGAAAACAATTATGAGTCATGAATAATTAAGCGCAATTTTGCTGACTTCAAAATTTCATATACTGTAATATATTATGTAAAAAAGAATTAGCATTTCACATTTCATTTATCCATCAGAACTTTGTACACCAACATTGCTACACCAAATGGAAGAACCAGCTTCAGATAACAATTTTTTAAAAAAAAAAATAACATTTTCAATGACATTTTGTAAACATACTATGTTTTCATGTCCATAAAAATGGGAAAGACAACAATCTGATCTAAATGTTATAAATAAAAACGGCAGAACTTCATGTCAGAAATAGAGTAAGTCTCTCAGGACAGCAGTGAAGTAGGACACGTACTCAAAAATGACCCATTTCCAAAAACACCCCAGATACACTATCTATCATTACACTATCCTATTCTTTTTTTTAATGGAAAAATATAAATGTAAACAGCAGATGATTAGAAATATCACATTAGAAAGTATGGTTATAACAAAAACTGTCTCCTGAGCCGGGGCTCGAAGCAATTATGGACGTACTGTACCAGGAATCTCAGAAAACTTTATGTTTCAACCCTTTCTTTACAATTCACTGTGGTTTCCACTAGTGGCAGTAAAACACTAAAAGCATTTGTTCATTTATACACAAATTATGATTACTGGGGCAGATTATTGATTAATAAAGACTTTTTGGCAAAGTTTTTCTGACATAGTTTACATTTATGCATTTGGCAGAAGCTTTTATTTAAAGTGACTTACGTTGCATTTCAAGGTAAACATTTACATTGTTATCAGTTCTTGCTTTCCCTGGGAATCGAACCCATGACCTTGCCAAAGCTCTACTGTTAGAGCTACTGGAAAGCTATATTTAACTTGCTCGGTAACTCACATAATTCTTAAAAAAAATAAAATCAGTACATACAGGCTCGTGTGTATGTATGTGTATGTATATGTATGTGTTAGTGTGTGAGTGTGTGTAAATACGGGTATGTGCGTGACGAATATATATACATAAAAAATTTTTTCTTTTTTTTTTTTCTCTCTTTTATTTATTTTTATTATTTTTTTTCTTTCCCATTTTCCTTCCAGTAAAAAAAAAAAAAAAAAAAAACATTCAGGAGAGCAAGGTGCAACTGCAAACTCAAGTGAAATCAATATGCAATAGCCATTTTAACTCTTCATCCTCCCTATTTTTAATTTCTATTTTTCTTTTCTAATCTTTGTACCTTTTTTTTATTTTATTTTATTTATTTATTTATTATTATTATTATTATTTTTATTTTTTAATTTATTATTATTTTTTATTATTATTTTTTTATCCCCCTTATTTTTTTTATTTTTTTCCTATTTATTTATTTATTTATTTTTTTGTGTATGTGTATATGTAGGTATGTACGTATATATATATATTAATGTATGTCTATGTATATGTATGTATACGTGTATGGATATATGGGTATGTGTGTATACATGCAGATATGTGTGTATGAATATGTATGCACGTGTATGGGTTTATACATGTAGGTAAGAGAGATATAGATGCATCCGTATTGCCATCTGTCGATTTTGATTGTATATTTGTATACGTTGGCTCACTTTTCTCCTTTTGTATTATTATTTTGTTTGTTTCTATGTTCATTTGTTTGTTTGTTTGTTTTTTTTCCTCTTACTGTTATGTTTGTTTACTTGTACTCTTTTTTTATATTGATTCCTTAATAAAAAATAATAATAATTAAAAAAAAATAAATAAATAAATAAATAAAATCAGCATTATTAAAATTGCATGTAAAATTTGTGCCTACTACAAACCAGGCATTCAATTGCCCTTTGCTGGAAGAATACAAGTTGTCCTTCCCTTGGACATTGGCTGAAAAACTTGATATCTAGTTTGGCCCTTGAGCAGCTTACATCAAGGGAAAGTCTTCTGAATTTTATGAAATTTGCGAGATGTTTTTGAGATTTGTTAATGGGGTCCTATAATGCCATTCTCATACAAGTTAATTTGATTCTTTGGTGTCTAAATGAAAAGTTTATAATATACTTTAATTAAAAATTCTCATTAGTATTGTAAGAAAACGTTCATTTTACCTGGTCAAAACAGCTCTGTTTTCAGCATGCCGTTTCAGTGCATATGCCTTTAAATGATAATGAGTTTCGCTCACTCCGCCCCTCTGTTCTGCACTGTTTTGACACAACGCACGTGGAGTGTTGCTTTGACAACAGTTGAGGGGATATTTGGGAGAGAGAATGGCAGCGAGAGAATCTGTGCAACCGTATCAGTTTAAACTGGAGTCAGAACCAGAACAAGATGGCGGCCCAAAGAAGTTCGACAATAGGCTATATGCACGCATAAGTTCCGCATTTGACGCAAGGCTGCTCTTCAGTTTCCGGTTGGGGAGATTTAAAGTGGAGGAAAACGGGATTATTGCAGAGTCATCAAAATTTACTGTCCTCCCGTCTTTGAAACAAAACTTTAATATGTTTAGATGTAATTTTATATATGGTTATGTTTATTTAATATAATAAACAAAGAAGAATAAACAAAATTATGGGTGTGTTTTGTCTTTTTTGTGACTAACATTTCTTTAGTATAGCCATAGAGTATAAAAACCAATATAAATTATTGGTATAGCATTGGACTCTACGATCGGCGGAAGTTATCGAGCATCCTTAGACCTTCACCGGAAATACCGCCGTGCATAGAGCCCATTAAGGCTCGAACAGGACGTTTCTAAATGGTTGGTTAATATAATGTCACTTTGATCTATCTTTGTATGTACTGGCAGAGTAACTTACTTTAATTAAAAATTTTCATTAGTTTTGTAAGAAAACATTCATTTTACCTGGTCAAAAACAGCTCTGTTTTCAGCACGCCGTTTCAGTGCATAAGCCTTTAAATAATAATGAGTTTCGCTCAATCCACCCCTCTGTTCTGCTGTGTTTTGACACAAAGCGAGTAGAGTAACTTGGTGAGATATACGAACGCTATGTGTTTACTGATGTATACGTACTCAGTTTGTAATAACATAATAACCATAACCCGTTGTTCACATTATAAACATGGGATTATGAATTATATTGAGAACGTTCTTATAGAAAACATGCCATAATGTACCCTGAGAGTAAACCTTAGCCGCAGTCATCGTGAAGCGTGTAAGCGATTTGCAAAGATTAATATAAAATATTCAATTTAACACTCACTTCTTCAGGAGGTGCAGCAGGAACATGAATAGTTCGTACCGATTCTTTTTAAGAAGCAGCTTATTAGCAATACCAGCTTAATACTGATCCTCGTTTATAAAGCAGTCTGGTGAGAAATGATGCACGAATCATTGACGTTCATCAGTGACGTTGCTCGTGGGAATACTCCCTTCGAAAACAAAACTCAGGCTTCAGCGGGTCAGATTTAGGAACATCAAAATGAATGTGTTCGTTATTACACCCAAGAACAGAACACCACAATGGCTTGGACGCCATTCTGCTCCAGTGTATCAACAATGGCGGACTATGATGACAGCTTGCTCAGGTATGTGTCTGTGTTGAAACGCTGCTGTCAATCAACAACCGTGGGAGGGGCGTCCGATTTAGTGAGGTCACAAAAACGAACGGCTCGAATTGAGGCAGGAGAAAACATATAAGGAGATTAAAACAAAAACACTGGATAGATTTTATCATTATATGATGGTTGTGTACAGGCACTGCCAACACACATTTCAGTCAATCAACTTGACAAAGTGCATGTATGCATGTACGTTTTATGACCCCTTTAAAGAAGGGGATATTGAAGAGGTTATAGATGATAGATGTGTGAAGTTGTAGTATATGCCTAATGCTTAACAAGAGTGTGTGATATAAAGCAATGCAAAGTATTATATATATATACAGTATATATATATATATATATATATATATATATATATATATATATTATTTTATTTTAACCAACTGCCAGGGTTAATGTGGAGAGGGAGGGATTTGAGTAATTTATGTTTGTAATTAAGTGTATGTTATGTTCTTTTGTTAAATCTGTTGTAAAATTCAATAAAAAATATGTTCTTAATAATAAAATAAAGCATAACGTATGACCAGGAACTTGATCTTGATTCTCATACCGAACTGAAAGAAGTTAGTGTTAAATGATAATCAAAATGGAGATTATATGCAAGAAAGACATTGATCAAACCATTCTAGCCTAGATTACAATAGAACCAGTGGCGAGGCCACATAAGGGCCAGGCTGGCACTGTCCCACCCAATCAAAGCTGCCAGAATATGAAGAGTTCAGATGCAAAAGCCTCTAAATGCCAATTGAAATCTTCTTCTAAAATGACCATTTTCATCAAGCTTGTATATTTAAGTTCAGTAATTTCACTTAAATGACAATTAATAGGTAATCTTCATTGTCATTTAAGTGAAATTACTGAACTTAAATATACAAGCTTGATAAAAATGATCATTTTAGAAGAAAATTTCAAATGGCATTTAGAGGCTTTTGCATCTGAACTCTTCATATACTAATGGTCTGGAAATAAAAGTCCACTATAACAAATACTTCTGTGATGCACAAATGTTTTATAATTTAATAGGTAACACTTCACAATAAGGTGCATTAGTTAACTACCTTAGATAAAATTAACTAAGAATGAATAATACCTCTACAGCATTTATTAATCTAAGTTAATATTAATTATCAACATTTACTAATACGTTATTAAAAGCCAAGTTTGTGTTTGTTAACATTAGTTAATGCACTGTGAACTAACATGAACACACAATCAACAGCTGTATATTTATGAACTAATATTAACAAAGATTAATAAATAATGTAACAAATGTATTGCTCATGGTTAGTTCATGTTAGTTAATACATTAACTAATGTTAACTAACGAAACTTATTGTAAAGTGTTACCATTTAATTATTACTCATTTTAATTATTTTTAATGAGAATGCGACTTTGGCATTGTGGTAATATCACTCTCTTTTGTTTCTCATAATTTCCTATTTTTATTAATTTTATATACAGTTATGAAATATATGCAAAAATGTTTTGGCATACTTTATGACATTTCACACAGATCATTTCTACTAGCATTCGAGACTTACTTTGAAAGCCATGAACTTGTGGTATGGCTTGGGAGCCCACGCATAGATCTCCACTGCGCTCCTCAAGGCGATGACCAGGAACTTGATCTTTTCATACCGAACTGAAAGAAATTAGTGTTAAATGATAATCAAAATGGAGATTACATGCAAGAAAGACATTTATCAAACCATTCTAGCTTAGATTATTATAGAACCAGTGGCGAGGCCACATAAGGACCAGGCTGGCACTGTCCCACCCAATCAAAGCTGCCAGAACATACTAATGGTTTGGAAATAAAACTAAACTGACCATCTTTCCTATTGTACACAAATTGTACTAAACCGTGACCCCAAAATTGAGGTACATACCCAACCGTGACTTCTGTGTACCGCTACACCCCTAATATATACACTATATATAGAAGACAAAAAATGTAGGTCCAGCACCAAGGTTCACTTGGAGACTTCTGGTATCACAACTGCATGTTGTTTCAAAACCACAATTATGACACTGAAATCTGAATTTGCTCTATTTATGTGTCATTCTGTGATTATAAATACAAAAATCACCCCTGAAAGACCAGCCTTTATGATCCAAACGTAATATTTGTCAGGCTACTTGCTACTTTACAGGACTGATCATACTTCCTCTTCGGGTTTGCTAGATAAAGTTCACAAGGTATTTCCATGCAGTGTGTGTATAATAATAACTGTCAGTGTTTTTAATTACACTTAGCATGTTTTATTGGCTTACCTTGAATGTCTGCTCTAAAAGAAGTTCAGCCTTTGTATACTGTAAAACTGCCTGAGATGTAGCGCACTGATGTTGGTTGGTAAAGTCCGTTAAACAGAAACATATTTAAAATGGACTCACCTACTTTGTAGCTGACACATCCCTCCAGATCTCCCACTGAGGTCCAGCCCTGTTTCTTTTCCACCTCGGGATCATTACGCAAGATCTTATTCCTCAGCCAGGACAGGTAGTACAGCCTCAGCTTGTTTTTCTTACCTTTCCACAAGAAACAAACAATAAATTAGATTCAAGCTATATCTATACACTACCGGCCAGAAGATTCAATGGTTTTGAAAGAATGGTTTCGTCTGCTCACCAAAGCTGCAAAAAATACAGTAAGCAATAAAATTGTTCAATATTTCTAGAGTTTTCTATTCAAATATACTGTATTATGTGTCAACTAGACTCTCCCCTGTGAAGGCCTCATCGATGCGACAGCCATCCTCAACAAACTAGTGCTGGAGCTGGTCTGAGGTACTGAAACACCGCGTTCTGTCTACGTAAGCACGGAGGGTGCGTACTGGACAGAGCAGTGCCAAGGCTGGGTCTGCCTCCTCCAGGAGCAGCGCTTGCAGGTTCCTGGAAGGCAGTGGTAGGAACCTTGGGCACATACCCAGGCCGGGGTCTCAGGATCACGTGAGAGTAGGCCGGCCCGAATTACAGGCACACTTCGTCAACGGGGGAATGCATGCAGGTCCCCTACACTCTTGGAGGCCAGTGCAACCAGGACTGCTGTCTTCATTGACAGGAACTTAATCTCAACTGATTGCAGAGGCTCAAATGGAGGCCTCTGCAGGGCACTTAAAACCACTGAGAGGTCCCAAGAGGGTACGAGAGGAGGGCGAGGAGGATTTAGTCTCCTCGCTCCTCTCAGGAACCTGATGATCAGGTCGTGCTTCCCCAGGGACTTACCTTCAACTGCTTCGTGATATGCAGCAATGGCAGCCACATACACCTTCAGGGTGGAGGGAGACAGCCTTCGTTCCAACCCGTCTTGCAGGAAGGAAAGCACGACACTGATCGAGCATCTCCGGGGGTCTTCTCGGTGAGAAGAACACCAGTTGACAAAGAGGTTCCACTTCAACGCATAGACGTGTCTCGTGGACGACGCTCTAGCGGAAGTGATGGTAGCTGCCACCGCAGGTGGCAGGGTACTCAAACCTGCCTTGTCCCATTCAGGAGCCACACATGTAGCCTCCAGAGATCAGCGCAGGGGTGCCATAGGGTGCCCCGTCTCTGAGAAAGGAGGTCCTTCCTCAGAGGAATTGGCCAAGGAGGTGTTGTCGCGAGGAGCATCAGTTCGGAGAACCAGGTCTTGGTGGGCCAGTATGGGGCGACCAAAATGACCTGCTCCTCAACCTCCTTGATCTTGCACAACACCCGTGCAAGAAGGCTCACTGGGGGAAATGCATACTTGCGTGGGCCCCGCGGCCAGCTGTGCGCCAGTGCAACTGTGCCGAGCGTACCCTCGGACAGGGAATAAAACTGGGCGCAGTGGGATGAGTCCCGGGAGGCGAACAGATCTATCTGTGCGTCCCCGAACTGGTCCCATATCATCTGGACCGACTGGGGATGGAGTCGCCATTCGCCAGAGACTGGACGGAGCCGAAACAGCTCGTCGGCTGCAAAGTTCCACTCTCCTGGAATGTGAATAGCACGAAGGGACCTCAGGTGCTTCTGACTCCATAAGAGGAGGTGGCGTGCGAGTTGCGACATCCGGCGAGAGCGTAGACCACCCTGGCGTTTGATGTACGCTACTTTCGCAGTATTGTCTGATCGGACTAGTACGTGTTGACCCTTGAGCAACGCATGGAAGCGGTGCAGGGCAAGGCGTACTGCCAGCAACTCGAGGTAATTGACATGCATGAGGCACTGGGGTCCTGTCCAGAAGCCTGCGGCTGCATGCCCATTGCACATGGCGCCCCAACCCGTGGCAGAGGCATCTGTGTAGACAACAACATGCCTGGACACTTGCTCTAGGGGAACTCCGGCCCGTAGAAAGCTGAGGTTCCTCCACGGGACCTCAAGGTCGTGAAGGTCTGTCTGACGGCAGACCTTCACGTCTGCCGTCAGACGTGAAGGTCTGACGGCAGGTCGGAGTCACTGGTACTCTGAGCGTACCGCGATGCCATGCCCACCTCGGGACTCGATCGCGAAGCCACAGCTGAAGCCGTCTCATATGAAGCAATCCAAGTGGCGTTGCCGCGGCTGTGGATGCCATATGCCCCAGGAGCCTCTGAAAAAGTTTCAGTGGAACCGCACTCTTGCCCTCGAACTGTCGAAGACAAGTCAGCAGTGAGTGTGCGCGCTCGCTCGTAAGCTGCGCGGACATGGCGACCGAGTCTATCTCCATACCAAGAAAAGAGATCCTCTGAACGGGGCAAATTTTGCTATTCTCCCAGTTGACCCGAAGGCCCAGACGGGTTAGGTGCCGGAGCACGAGGTCTCTGTGTTTGCAGACCTGATCTCGAGAGTGAGCTAAGATTAGCCAGTCGTCGAGATAATTCAGGACGCGAGGTGAGTTACGCTATGTAAATTCCACAGACCCATGGCATTTGCCATTGGCTCGTTTTTTAATATTCGAAGAGGATTGGCTTTCTAGGCGAAACCCCCATTCTCCGTCATCCGACGTAACTCGGAGTGACTACGAAAGGGAACCACATGTTTGAATGTACTAATGAAACATAAGCAAATTATTCCACGAATAAAAATATTGTGTTTCCATGAACTTTGTAAGACAGACAATGAACTCGCTCATGCAATTCCATTCAGTATGTTTCCACATGTTCAACTAGAAAAAAAAGGAAGTCAATGGCAACCAAAACTGGTTACCAACATTCCAAATATCATCTATATGCTGCCATTGAAATCATAATCGAGGCTCCGGTGGGTAGAGCCCCGGAAGTACAGAACAATACCTTGGACTACCAACCTGAATCTGCTGCCGCGATTTACACTATTGGATGTTAATATCCAATATAGGATATGTGTATATACTTCGTTCCTGTTTCTTTTTTTACGTTCTGAATTATGTATAAAAAAAATTATATTTTATTTATAAATGAATTTCACTGTATTTAGTCTAAAGTATGAAAGAACTGTATATACATTTTTAGAATAACTAATTTCCACATTAAACACAACAATACGCCATTGCATTCGCGACTCTCCTATGATTAAGAGCGAACCTTCCGGTTTTCTTCCCACCGGAGCCATTTCAAAATGGCGGCTGCGTGAAATCAGCGTATTATATTCTAAAGAATAAAGAGAGTCATACTGCAATGACATGAGGGTGAGTAGCTGATTTTTAATTTTTTTTTAAAAAGAATTAAAATCTTTGGCCAAACAAACCCCTTAAAAATATCCATTAACATGCTAAAATATTTCAGAGAGTTGTTATGTGTGTATGTCTGGTTAGTTGGCAGACTAATATATTACGAGGTTTTGGTGCTGTTTTTAGTGGTACAAAACTCTTTTCTTTGTCCCAAGACTTTCTTTGTATGGTGACATTTGATCTCAGCTTTAAGCGTGGCTCCTCCAACTAGAATTTAGATCCAAAATTATCAACGTGATGAAGCTTTTTCAGTCTCGTAGTCAAGTCTTTTTAGTCAGACTTCATACTTCCGCTCAATTTCAGTTCGCTTCTGTAAATGGTAAATGGACTGCATTTATATAGCGCTTTTATTGACCTAATGGCCACCAAAGCGCTTTACATATTGCCTCACATTCACCCATTCACACACACATTCATACACCGACGGCGGTGTCAGCCATGCAAGGCACCATCCAGCTCGTCGAAAGCAGCTGGGGTTAGGTGTCTTGCTCATGGACACCTCGACACTTGGTCAGGTGGAACCGAGGATTGAACCACCGTTTTGGACCAACCTTTCGGTTTGTAGACAACCAACATGAACCACTGAGCCACTGCCGCCCCAGTGTACTCAGTACTGTACTCAGTCTGAGATAGCGACCTATATCTCAGTTTTCCTCCGGCCTGAAAACAGCTGGACAATCAACAAACAGAGTGCAGGCTGAGAGCCGTGACGTATAGACGCTAAGTGCCAAGTTTAAGATTGTATTTTAGGTTAGGGAAATCCAAAACGACAGTGGATATATAGACACGGGATGCAATTTGCTCTGTTGTGGAGAATATTCCCAGCATTTGCAAACTGAAGCCCGAACAAGAAGAAGCCCTCACGGGTAACCAATGATTTTATACTTCAGACAAGCGCCCCCCGCGAGATAGAAAACACTTTTCAATTATGCCATGCCAGACTCTGTCTACGAAGCAAAGCGAAGTAGCAGAGTTTTGTATTACCAGGCTAAAGTCTCTTGCAGGATTTGCCAAAAACTCTTGATTTTGTTCATTAATTTGCTAGTACAAGTATAAGAATACTATCTGTTGTGGTAAAGTGCTTTGTGTAGAGTATGCACCTGATATAGTGATGAGTACATTGAGCCCCTCAAGTACGTCCATCTGTTGGAAGCGTCTTCGGCTGATGAGAGAGTAAACTTTGCCCTGACCACTGCGGTCCAGCAGCCACAGGCCATTCTCTGTGCCCACCAACAGATTCACACCTAAACACACACAGTGAGGAAACACAGATCTGCCTCAATTACACCAATTAAAACTGTATTTTCACTGCATGCAATATCTGCTTTAAAAAGACAAAAAATACACACTGATAACGGCAAGTTTCGAAAATAGTTATCATGTAATATATGGGTGAGATACAAGTTGTTCAGTTAGAGTCATTAACACAGGAAGCCTGTCATTTCATGTACTGATGTGACTGATATCTTTACTTAGATGGGAGTGTCTACAGTGTGTGCATCAGTAAACTCACTTAAATAAATCTAACATACTAGATACAATTACAGTCATTCTGAGCAGTCAATAACTGGACTCTCCATACTGATTTAGATTTAAACAGTGCAGAAACCAGTTATTTTATGTGGAAATTTGGTCAAAAGTTTTCATTCCATAATAAAATAGTAACAAAATTCAACAAAGTTCAAAATATATAATGAAAAGGTGTGAAAAAAAAAAATCATCCGGAATCAGTATGGGACAATTTTTTTCTCAGAGGACTGTTGATTTTGATGGAAAACGGTAGGTATTTTGCTCCATTTTATTATATAAACATTAAACAAAGTTGATTTCATTTCAATAATTTTTATTAATAATAATTTCAATAATATAACAGTGAAGTGAACATAAAATGAAGTGTGCATTCCATTACAGTGATTTTCACAGTTGGATAGTGAATTTAAAGGGTTAGTTCACCCAAAAATGAAAATTCTGTCAGTATTTACTCACCCTCATGTTGTTCCAACTCCGTAAGACCTTCATTAATCTTCGGAACACAAATTATGATATTTCTGATGAAATCTGAGAGCTGGATCACTCCTGCATACTAGTCCATAGGCTTCTTGAGGGATTGAAACTTGCTGGCCTCGAAAAGTTATTAAAGACATTGTTAAAATAGTCCAAGTGACTACAGTGGCTCAATCTTAACTTTATCAAGCGACGAGAATACTTTTTGAGCACAAAAACAAACAAAAATAACGGCTTTATTTCAACTATTCATTTCCTTCTCTCTGGGCGATCTGTTGTTGTACGTCACACACATCACACACATGACCAGCGTCGGCCAATAGTGAGCCTACGTGTGACGTTTAACTGACTAGAGGCCCAAAGAGAAGGAAATTAATAGTTGAAATAAAGTTGTAATTTATGTTTGTTTTTGCGCACAAAAAGTATTCTCGTCGCTTGATAAAGTTAAGACCATTTTAACGATATCTTTAATAACTTTTCGAGGCCGGCAAGTTTCAATCCCTCAAGAAGCCTATGGACTTGTATGATCTGAGTGATCCAGCTCTCAGATTTCATCAAAAATATCTTAATTTGTGTTCCGAAGATGAACGAAGGTCTTACGGGGTTGGAACAACATGAGAGTGAGTAAATACTGACAGAATTTTCATTTTTGGGTGAACTATTCCTTTAAGTATTCCTTATTGAGCCGATGTGATGATCCCGGTTCTGTCTTTTTTTCTTTTTAATAGTTTTAAAACGTTTCATATGACATTTTACATTTTACATTTGATTTAAGCAGGAACAGGCAAAGTTTTTATTAAAATCATTAGTCTGCACTGCATGTGTTCCTGAAGTGCGATGTGTGTGTGTGTATGAAGATGTCTCACCCCACAGGCTGGCGCAGAGGATCTCAGCATTGAACTTCTTTTTATATTTGCGGATCTCTGGGGCATCGCTCTGGGGCCGAATGTTGGTGGGGTTGACGTTTACCACAGAGCCCTTCCTGTGGGGCTGTCTAACACACGGCTCACACCTGCCATTCACTGACAGAGAGATGCATGCGTTTTATACACTGACATTTTACTCACTGTTTACTGACATTTATACAGGTCAGTGGGCATCAGACTCACATTGGTCGTATCCCTGCGGACTCTGGGGTGGAGAGATCTGCAGTAAACGAGGGTCAATAAAAGGTGAGAATGAGGAAGAGGAAGAGGACGTGCTTTTTCCTGGCTGGTTATTGAATACTTTCTGTTAATACAGAATAACACAAGCACAAACATCAGGGGGAGAATGACAATGCGAGTATGATCAAGCAGAACACCAAACCATTGCTCTTTCCATCAAAAAGCGCTGAACACATGGAAACATAATAAAATATCAATAATATGTTTACATCTATGTAAAAAGGGGACACACACACACACACAAAATATATCTTTGAAACTATCGGTCTAAGTTAGGGGTGGGCGATATACTGGTAGTCTTAAAATAAGTTTAGTCTTAAAGTGACAGCAGCCTAATATACCTGGTGCTGTCTGTGTTTTTAATGTTCATCAAACAACAAAAGTTAAAGAGAAATTGCTCCTGACTGAATCACTTTTGTTACTTCAATAAGAATACATTTATTATCTATGCAGTGTTTTTGTACATTTACAGTAAGTGCTTTATATAATTTATTTAGCCTAGCATTTCTTATTTAGTGCTTGAATTTTTTAGGTAGGTCCATTTCATGTGTGTCTTTGTTCTATTGTAGTTTGTTGTCCTTGTAATTAGTTTCTTTGTTCTTATTTAATCACTGACTGTTTACTTGTCTTCAGTGAGTTTTCTTTTTTACTTATTTAGTCAGGTCTTAGATTTTTTGTGATATTGAAATTGTTGATGAGAATTATGAAATTCCAATGGTATAAAAAAATGTATTTAAAGCAAAAATAAACATATTGTGATATATCTAGTTATCGTAAAAAATAAAATGACTTGTATCGTGATATAAGTTTAATGACCAGGCTTTAATCGTTATTAAAGCTCTAACTGTTAACTATTGTGTGTGTCCATGATCACAGTATTAGGCACAAATTAAAAAGAACCAATCTATCAAAAGGTCTCAAATGTTGTTATCAGTGGTCTAAACAAAGTTAGAAGACCTACATCAAAGCTCTGTGCGGTGTGTTGGTGGCAGGTGAGCTCATGTGTGGGGCTCTTGTGCAGTAGGTCCGGCAGATGGTAGCTGTCGCTGGATTGGGATCCAGAAGGCCTCTGATGGACGTAATGCGTTGGCTTTGCTGCACTCTGCTGGAGAAACATGAATATCTTTTTTTCAGACAGGAAATCCCACTTTGAAAAAAGCTGACAGTATCTATGAAAAACTGATGGATTGAATGATTGCAATAATTACAATAAATATCCACTGGTGTACTGTAAATGAGCTGCAGTATCACAATAAACCAAAAGCAGATGAAAAAAGGAGTACATTAAGACCCAATTACTGAGTTTATTCAATATATACTGATATGTTTGTCAGCTGTTTCAACCTGTTCCCTAAAACAACAGACTGAAGGTGACTTTACCTGCTGCGGTTTCACATTGAGGTGAGGCTGAAGAATGATTTCATTAAACTGCCCTCTGGATAACAGGGGCCTTCCATTGCTCAACGGAGACCTAGACAAACCACAGTCAGAGTGATTTTTTTAAGGGATGCCAAAGAAAACATTTGATCATTTGACCATGAACAAGGCAGCAAAGACAAACACTACACACAGTACTTGTTAAACACGAACACTCTTAAATGCACATGTGAACACCATCAGCATTTATCACAGGTTCGCGTTTAAAGTCTGTTTAGAGAGAGCAGTGTCATCTTAGCGACCCCTAATTGAATAACAAATGATAACATTTTGACGGAAGTGAGTGGAAAATAACATCTTTCAAGAACCGCTAAACCAAACCAATCTCCGTTTATCTCTGTAAAGCTGCTTTAGAACAATCTTTCTTAGATTTTTTTTCGAAAGGACCCTGCTATACCTATGCAAAAGCCAAAGTTCAACATATTTTTGATAATTATTGACCATCCTAGAGAGTCCCCGAAAATTGTGCAGCAGTGGTTTCATCAAGGTTGAAACAAAAACCTAGGACTAATTCGCGGAAGATACAACGATACAATTGTCAGGGCCAATCCTGAGGCAAAGTTGCTCAGAATGAGGAGTTCTACCAAGTGGTATGATGAATTTTGTGAGCATGTGCGAAAAATCGCGTGGTATATAAACGCGAGTACATTGTTTTCTGTTTTCCTTTTTTTGCTATTTGACTTATAATAGCAGACAATATGAAAAGTATGCTACGATACACATAAGGAAGCATTGTTAAAGGTACAATATGCAAGATTTTTTGCAGTAAAATATGCAAAAACCACCAGGCCAATGTTATATATTTGTTTAGTTGATTACTTACAACAACCCAAATGATCAACATCAACAAAGATCGAAGATCAACATCTTTCGAGATGCCGAGAGCTCCACGTCCGCGACTAACTTCGACTTGACAGAGACTGCATGTTATTTGAGCAAACAGGTGAGCAAATCAATGTATATAAAACTAATCAATGTTATATAGTTCAACATGATGAAAAGTTAGAATATGATCTGTATGTTATTCTCTAATGTTGATCTAGCTTAGTCTCATTCAGCCAACACAAAAACCTAACTAACAACATTCAACTCACACAAATGCAGTTTAGCAAGTGAAATTGCGCTGCGTTACCTCAAGTTTAATTTTTCTAATAAACTGACCTCTGTGAGTAATTCAGCGTGTAGTTCGGTAGAATTAAATGTCCTTATTTCTTTATATCCACAGGACTTGCATTACGCGTGGCGCAGGTATACGTCTAGCAATCGCGCCCTGCTTCATACTACAGTCATGTTAAAAACATCAATGTATTCACTCGTCCATAAAAGATCCATCAGCTTGACGACAAGATCCATAATTCCGATTCAGAACAGCAAATTTAATGACTTTTAAGACCTTTTTAAGTACTCTAAAAGACAATTTTAAGACTTTACCACGACACCAAAAAAAAGGAAAATGTTCAGCAAGACACGACAGTGTTAATTTTGGCAGCCCTTTTTGTTTTAGTCTTAGTCTTCAGATGAAAATGCTTATTGTTCTTAGTCACATTTTGGTAATATTTTCTTTCATAGTTTCAAAAAAGTCAAAAAGTCATTGCATTTTTTTGTCAACTTTTAGTCATTACTTTTAGTCAAACTTCAGTTACCGACATTAATTTTGGTAGCTATTTTATATGTATAACATATAATAATAGTATATATAAAATAATATATAACAAAACAAACCATTTGAAAATCGGTAGAAAATTGAGCACCATTAACACAACAATAGCCGCGTTTCCACTGCCGGGCCAGAGCCGGGCCGTGCTAGTGCGTGCCAGGGCCAGTCGCGTTTCCACTGTCACTTCCGGGGCTTGATCGGGGCTTCCTCAGGGCCAACGGCCAGGATTTCTGGCCCGTCGAATACCTTGGGCCAGAGGGGGCCAGCTCGTGCTAGAGGCGTGCTCAAGGTAAAAGGCGGAGTTTATCGGTGTTATGGAACGTTATGATCTGAAGCAAGATGCACATAGGGGTGTCCATGTTTAACCGATTAACCGTTTAAAATTGCATAACATTTTAATTTGAACTGTAGGCCTATGCCAAATGCTGCGCAACAATATATAGGCTATATATAGCTACATATCGACGAATTTTCAGATATTTGTTTGATTTTTTTGCCCCTTAAACATTTAAAATATTTGACAAATTAATATGAAAAAAATATTTTACTGGTTTTCTGAGGCCAAATTAGAACCTGGAAATGATATTTTCCCCGCAGTGCTGAATGAGAAGAGCCGTAACCACAGCCTACAGAAAGGGGATTTATGGGTGATTTATAGGCTATAATAAATGTGTCTGATAATAAAATAATATAAAATAACGAGGCATTAATTGTTTATTAATAAACTAATTGTTTTCTAAATGATTTTCGGCTAAAAACATATCTCCATCTCCGGATGCACATTTAGAGAGAAATTAAGCTAAACATAGAAGATATTGGCTTTCGATTCGAATTTGTTCGTTTTAAATTGGACATTTAAAGCTTTAATCTACAAAGGATATAACCCCTGTAGACTAAAGCTTTAAATGTCCAATTTAAAACGAACAAATTCGAATGCGGTGGCTGTTTCAGGTCTCGCGCTTCAGTTCACGGAGATCATGAAGCGCGCCTTGATTAATTGTTAAAGCACAACGTTTTCTTGTTATAAATAAATGTATTTGCGAATAATGTATTATTATTTTCTGTATGACCAGAAATTAAAGAGTATTTTAAGTTGTTTCCACTGAAAGAAATGCAATGAAACTGTTCACATGGGCGTCTCGCAGCCATCAGTGCGTGCTCCACACACTGGATATGCGCTGATATTTGTCAAAAATATTGTGTTTATTTGTGCTCTGTTCCTTTTTTGGATAAAGGCGTCTTCTACATATGCAGCCTAATAAAATGTTACAATAATGATGATGATGGTTATTATTATTATTATTATTTGCAGACACGGAGTTTTTGTGAAATGGACGTTTTGCTTATTTTCAATTGGCAATTTCAGTTTGAAGGGTGATGGAAATGGGGCTTTAACTGCTCCGTACTTGCTGCGTTTTATTTCTATAAATTAATTTCGTTTCAAATGGGGTCCAATCAGTTATTAAAGGTGTTAAAAAATCTGTATGGTTGCGGCGCGCACACTATGCACCGAGTATTAACCGATGGGCCTCGGTTAACGATTAATGAATAACTTGAAAACGTGCCCGCAGCCCTACTTGTTATATCGCGCAAAAAATCGCTGCTTGAAATGGAGAATCGCCTTTACTGGTCTCGGGACACTATTGCAGCCACTACGGCAGTTGAGTTAATATACATGCTATCTTCCTAATTTAAAAAATAAATTAATTCATAATACCCGCTGAAATGGGTTGGGTTTTATGACGTTTGATCCTGAAAGGCGTGTTAGGGGTGGGGTCTGGGGCAGCGCTGTGGGGCTACTGGCCCGGCAGTGGAAACGCAAGCCCGGTGCTTGAGGCCCGAGGCCACTAGCTCGGCCCGGCTCGCTGTTAGCTCTGGCCCAGCCCTAGCCCGGCAGTGGAAACGCGGCTAATGTTACGAGTGAGCGAGCTGCCTGTGACAAGATGGCCGCCAGGTGCAGACGTCGACCTCCATTGGCCAGCAGCGTGGATGACATATCTAGCCTTTATATAGATATCTATGACAAAAATGGTAACAAAGCAAGTGGCTGAATTTATGAACGTGTCTTGAATCTCATGAATTCGAATCACCGCTGTGTGCTGCAGTTCTGCAGTGGCTTTCGTTGCAAAACAGCAATAATTTGATCAACATTAAAAACACTGCTGGATATCAGCCTGTATTGATCACAGATTTAGATGCACAAACAGCTTGTGACAGAATAAAGACCAACTGAATGACACTTTAATAAAACTTTGATAATATCAAATGAAGATCCCCGAACTCCAGCTACTTATCTCTGTTTTCAGATCATCCGTGCTTCTTCAGCAGTGTAGAGCGCACGTGCGAGCATGGTTGCCAGATACTATTGACAAGACCGGGTAGAAAACGTGTTCATTTAACAGAAACGATCTGACTGGGGATTTAATTATTTAAATCTGGCAACCAAGCATGAATGCTCGTAAACGCAGTCTGTAAATAAAACAGAGAAACGGATGACCAATCAGACAAGAAATTTATGGTCCGTCCGTGAAATTTAAGACCTCCTTATCGGAAATTTCAGATTTTAAGACATTTTCAGGCCTTAAAAAGAAATAAACCTAAACTAATCTTGACAAACTATATATCATTTGAAAGCTTATAATCTCTAGTTTTCATATTTGGTGATTGATTTTCAAAATATATTACAGAGGAGCCGTAATTTTTCAATTTGCAACAAGAATATTTTCATACTCTTTCATACTTTCATACTCTAACCTTTATTTTGAAATTGTGATGAACATGAAAAATCATGAAAGAAGGGTAGACCTGTTTGTTTTCATACCAAGAGTTCAAAAGAAAGCCTCCATTCAATTATTTTATAATTATAATAATTATTATTTCATATGGAAATGGAGGCGCCCTTATATGGGCTGTAATGGAGTCTGGTTGAGCCCTAGTGAAAAAGTTTGGTACTGCGCCCAAACAAAATCTTACTGAAAGCTCATTTTTTGAGATATCAACCTAAAATTTGAAACACAATTTATTCAGATTTTTGGCTTTGATTTTTTAGCAGTTTTAGAGTTGCCAGGTTTTGAAAATATATATTTTATATAAAATATGAATAATTATTTTTTTTATACTGTACATTTTCATAAACTCAAACTTCTATAACTTTTCTTTTCTTTCACATTCTTAATTTATTTCACTTCTACAAAAATCTGCCAAATGTCTTCTTTAAAACGAGACCATTTTTACGTCTATATTCCAAAGCATTCTTGAATTACAACCATTTAAGTTCGAAATGTGCATTTTTATCTATATTCAAAAAAGGGGGGGTGACACTTAAGGGGTTAATGAAAATTAAAAAAAAAAAAAAAAAATCAGCCAAATGTTTATCTGTTTCTGTGTGGGTTAATAGCACCGAGTACAAAAACATCAAGTTCAGTTCCACCCAAAGGGTACAACAGGGCTAAAGGCACACCTTAAGAAAAAATGTGCTTTTCACTACTCCCATAGTGTATGAGCAAAGCTGGAATGTCTTTGTCAGGCTGCTCGAGAACTAGTTGTTTTCCATACAGAAAATAAGTAGCACAAGCTAACGTGGTTTGACGTTGATAGGACATCGGCAGAACAGCAAAAATGTGACTGCCACAGGCACTTCTGCACTTTCTTGATTCAGTGACATGCGGAGCCTAGCGTGTTCACGACCTTAGACCCAGGGACCTATCCATCCGGCACCAACCATATGTCTCTCCTTTCACTTTCATTTAAATCATATCAGGATTATTTTGGCATGGAGTTTAAATTGGTCGCAATCACTGTTGAAAGGGATGGTTCACCCTCAAACGATTCTGTATTCCAAAACTGTATGACTCTCTTTCTTCTGTGAGCACAAAAGAAGATATTTTGAAGAAACCCAGCAACATTGGAGCTCACTGACTTCCTTTGTATGGACAAAAACAGATGTTCTTGCATGTTCCACAGAACTAAGAATTAGTCATACAATGACATGATGACAAAATTGTAATTTTAGGGATAATTTCAGGGTCTTTAATGGGATAGTTCCCTCACAATTGAAAATTCTTTCATCATTTACTCATGTTGTTACAATATCAGATTCTTTCTTTTGGCAAACACAAAAGAAATTATTCTGAAGAATGTTGGTAACCAGACAGTTGACGGTAGCCATTGACTTCCATGGCAACGCAATGGCTACCGTCAACTGTCTGGTTACAAACATATAAGCTGTGTCTGAAATCGCTCCCTATCCACTATGTAGTGCACTATATCGGGTGTCGGCCATTTTGTAGAGGTGTCCGAATTCTGAGTGAACGACATCATTCCCTACATTCATTCACTACTTTTACCCACAATCCTCTCTGAATTTGAGTGTACATTCGATGTACACTTGCTGAAGTCCTATTTCCCACAATCCAATGCGGAGAGAACTGAGCACGCATGAAAGTGCGGCACGAGCAAGTTTAAACCAGAGATTACATTACATCCAGTGGAGGATTTGAAAAATATCCGTTAATCGTCGTTAGAAAGCGTAATAACGTTTGAATATAATAACGGTCGCCGGAGGGCGCTCGACGACACGTCATCTGTGAACGTGAGAGTTACAATTTCAGTCGATGAAACTACAAAGCTGGCACGGAGGTATAATTACAAAATAAAGTCATTATGATTGTTATTGTTGTTAATATTATTTTATAACGTAGGTAATGTAAGATAAAAGGAGTTTTATCAGTACGCGTGACGAAGCCTTTTCTCGAATTCCCTCACTTCATCTCGTTCACTCCTTGCAGATATAGTGCACTCAAATGCCATACACTATATAGAGATTAGTGAATGAGTGAACGAGTGAGCGGTTTCAGACACGGCTATAGATTTTTTGGGTGAACTTTCACCTTAACAACATTAACAAGAGTATGATAATTTCAAGTATAACCACAAAATGACTTGACCATGTGTGTTTTGTTTTTAAATTGGTGAACATTCAGAGGAGAGCAAATAGTCAAGGTGAGATTACCTCGTCTTCTCATCATCTTCATCACTGGAGGAAGAATACTCCGCAAGCTTCTTTAATGGGCTAAAGTGAGACTTCATTCCCAAACCCTTAAAGACGAAAACAGTTTGATTTTAAAATCCAACAATCTTAAGGCCTGTTCACACCAAAGACAATAACTACAATGATATAGATCAACAAATCTATATCAAAAATAGATTTAAAAGAATAGCAGAGTCCACAGCACAACCATAACTATAACAGCACAGAACAATATTGTTAGAATCACTTTTAGAAGAAGAAATGATAAAAACATTGACAGCCAATCAGAATCAATCCTGCTTGAAAAAGCTCAAGTATTAGTTATCGTTATGGACCCCTTTTGCGCCGACGTCACAGTTACGTCTAGTGTTGTCACGGTACCAAAATTTCAGTATTCGGTACCAATACCAGTAAAAATTCACGGTTCTCGGTACCAATTTCGGTACCAAAGCTTAGTTTAAATTTACATATATTTAAGTGTTTATCACGGTTACAAGTATGGAAACTGTACATTTGTATTATAAACACTTTAGAAAAAAATTAGATAAAATGACCTAAAATAAACAATAGTATGCACTAACACATTTTTAAAGTTGTTTGTAAAGTTCTAATCCGTTAACATTTATTTAATGCACAATGAATGAAGTGAACAAACATGAACAATCAAGTGTTTCTATTAAATAACATTTACAAACATTAATTAATGTTGTAAAAATATATTGTTCACTCAATGTGTTGATGTGAAGTAGCTAATGTTGATAAATGGTATCTTATTGTGGCATTACCAAACTATAGGCTACAGGAGAAAAAACATGTTTTATTTGATTTGACTGTACTTTTATTTAATCTAAAACTGCATTCATATTTAATTTTGAAAAGGCTTTTTAAAACTGCTGAGTTATAAAGGCAAGAATACGCCTAGAACTGGCACTGACATTAAATGACATAAATAGGGATGCGTCGATACTAATACCAACGCGGGCTCCAATACCAGTACTCTGGTGTTGGTTGGATACTACTGTGCTCATATATTAGTAAAACTACCCCGAAACCACTTTAGAGGCCGTTCACATATCGCGCGTGTTTTTTTTATTATATTTTTGTGCGTGCTTATTCTTTCCAAAGCGCTTGCTCTCACGCGGCGTCTGTCGTTGCTATGCAACGAGTTTTTATTATGAGCGCGCTTGCCTCGCGCCTATATTTGAAATTGCGAATTTGTATGTAATCGGCCTCTTATATTTCTCTTATACCTCTTATATAAAATATTTCCATATGTGGCTCTTTCCTCCTTTCGTGTCAACAAGTGGATTCAGAGAGAGAGAGACATATCAGCGTTATGAAGAGGACGCAACTGTGCACCTTTCAGACAGCGTGTCTAGAACTGGATTAACCTGGTATTCGGTACCTAGAAAAGCTGGTACCGTAACATTTTTTTTTTTGTACCGACTTGGTACCGAAGTACCGAGTTTTTTGACAACACTAGTTACGTCACGGTGCTAGCTGGAGGCAAAACAAAGTGAAAACTGGAGGCGGCCAATGTAAACCACCACAGATTTGGCTACATAATAAGGAGCTTAAATTACTTTCATTATTTTTAAATGTCATCTTATTGTGTTGTTTGGTGCAAGTATCAATGAAAAATGAATATGCTGTATCTGGATTTTTTATTTCTAGAAAATATTCACATGATTAAAATTGCACCGTCATGACACTCTTTACATTGTTGTCTTCTCTGCCCTGGCTCGGCAGAACTGCGGATCATACACACACGTCTTGTACAGGACCATTCAGCACATAGTTATAGGCATCTAAAGATTAATATGCCATCAGTTTCTCCTTACGATCGCTTTCTCTATAAGGTAGGTGTAGAAGTCAGGCCACTCAACCAAGGTAGTGTAACGTTAATCCTGTCAGATCGATGCATTGACTGAGCGTGTAGGCGGCTACGGGTCGGTAGGGGTGGTTAATCTGTCTGATTTCCCGATTCGATTCGATTACGATTATTGAAGTCCCGATTCGATTACAGTCGATTTTCGATTATTAACGATTCTCGATTACCGATTATTGATTTTCCATTTCACAACAGTAAACGAAAATACACTAGATCAACATATGATTATATTAGCAGCAGCAACATTTTGGTATTAATTGCACTTTTTATTTGTTTGATATTCATTGAAAATATAATGATGGTTAGTGGGGACATGCAAACATGCTTGTTATCTACTACTTAGGCAACTCATTATCTTTACATTTATTAACTTTACATTTTTTTTCAAAAGCAATTTTGTTGCATTATAATGCAAATGCACCTGGTTCTATTAATTGACAGCATTAAAATGTATTTTGTGATTTCCTTCAATTGAAAATGTTTGAAGCAAGTTTGGGGGACTTGAAGGGCACCCGATTCAGAGAATCACCTAGAAATTCAATAGAACAGCATTTATCTGAAATAGAAAGCTTTTGTAACATTAAACAATACCGTTCAAATGTTTGGAGTCGGTAAGAATTTTTATTAAATTTTTTGGGCAAAAGAAAAAAGAAATCTATACTTTTATTCATCAAGGATAAATTAAGTTGATCAAAAGTTAAAGTACAAGACATTTATAATGTTACAAATCGATTATCTGAATCTTTTGTGTGTGACTATAAATAATTTGCTTTAAAAGTACAAATTAATGACCCATAAAGAATTAATGCACAATATATTTTATTAACATTACAAAGAACGACCAGGAAAATAAATGTGTGCTTGAACTAGCATACTTGTAGTAAATAAATAATATAACGACTGGTGCAGCCGAGTGTTTTTCCTCCTCTGGCTGGAAAGGTGTCATATGGCTTATCATATTTGTCGTGTTTCCGTCGTTGGTTTTATTCCACAAAGCGTACAACTAGTGCGGCTCTTGTCCAGCTCCTTTCCCCCTTCAACTTCAGAAGCCAAAATATTTCCACACGTCAGCTTTTAACCTAACAAGGAAAGTGTTTGGATCTCGCGTTCCATCGGGTCTCTGTTATGTGCACGCCACAGACGGTCCCGTCACTGCACTTCCGCGCTTCAGAGTTCCGTCTTTCGCGTTCCGTCAATATTACGTTATTATAAATACATATCAAAAAAAAAAATTTTTGAAATCGATTTTTTGACATTTGTGAATCGATTCAGGATCGTCCACGTCCGCATCGCGATGCATCGAGAATCGATTTTTTTCCCCACCCCTACGGGTCGGCCAATCTGGTTCTTCACGTTAAAAATAACTTTTGGAAATAACAATCGCGGTCCTGGACAGTGAGTGACCTTACAAATTAAGATGAAATCTGATTTTCTCCAGTCATTGTTAAAAAAACAAGCTTATAAAACTTGCTAACTAGCATTAGTGAAGCGGCCAGAGGGATCGTTCTGCCTCCACCTAAGCTCTGCCCACATAAAAACGTCACCATGTTTACCAACTGAAAAGGGGTCTATAGTCATCAATCTTGGTGTGAACGGGCCATAAATGATACTTATTTTAATATTCTATATTTGGTTGGGGACAAAAAGAGTCTCTGCGTAAAAAGCAGAGGTGAAATCAGCTGAGAGCTGCTACATTATCGAATATAAAACACAGATCCACACCTGGTTTGGTGATGATGTTTCTGGACTTTGAGGGCTTCTGTTTTGATGAGCTGGACTGTCCAGCATATAGCAACCTGCAAGAACGAGAACGTCTACATACAGTGTACAAAAACATATGCTTGAATCATTGACCTTTTTCTGTTCTGATACAGGTTTCAATAAGTAACAGAAAGACACACCTGACTGTGAGCTGCTTGTTGAGCTGTTAGATAAAGACATCTTAACACTGTTGTCCAGTGAAGACTGACGATCTCCACTGATAGAAAGACAAGAAACAAAAACAGTTTCTAGTCTGAGGATAATCAGAGGACTACACTTAATGTGGGTTTGAAAATGTGTCCTGCAAGGACTTACCTGGATCCATATCTATGATGGCCTGTGACATCTTTGAACTTTGACGTTGTTCGCTCTGGAATCTATTTGCAAAAATAAACAGATTGCTTCCTTTTTTTGTTGTTGTTGACATTTGTCAGTGACTAAAATGAATAATTTAGTGTTCTTCATGCAATACCTTTGACCTACACTTTGGGCCTTTATGCTATTTTCACTTTTGTGCTAACCACATGTCTGCTTTGAATGGATGTCACATTAAAGGAAGGAAGGAAGGCACCTCCCTTTGGAAGAGGAAGCCGTTTTGACCACAATTTTAGCAGTTGCCACCTACAGCATCTGCACCAAGCTGACACAGCAAAGTAATACATTTGAATGAACTCTACAATGAAAAGTATAGTATGATATCGGTTTGGGTGTCAATTTTGGCTGTGGAGATAGATCTGAGGCAACCCATGCTGACAGCTGAAACGCTGTCTCAAGGACAAACCTTTGGCGGCAGATCATCAGGGATGAAGAAGACCTCATCTTGTGTTGGCGAGAGAGGAGTGGTGACATCAGACATCGAGCTGCTGTGATGAATCTCTCGACCGGAGCACACGTTCATGTTCTGAAATCAACACGATTACGGAGTCTTTTTTTCTGCATGCTGGATTGTCATCACACTGCACAATTATTACATGGTTATACACAATTATTTATTTTGTATGTATGTATGCGCAAATCATGTTCAATGCTACAACTTAAAAATAATAAACTTTATTTACTAGGTTTTTTTCACTAAAAACAGAACAACTAAAACAACAGTTATTTCTGATCCTTTCCCCCCCTCTCTCAGACCCATCTGTTCTTCTGTTATATTTTGCTGCAGTGACTTTAACACTGTGTTCTAACCAGACATGATACAATACAGTGACGAGCGATTAAAGGTATCTCTTCTATCTATAAAGCATGCCATCTGTGGAAATATTAAGAAGTCATACAAATAAAACGTAGAAAACCCTTTGCCATGGACAGACAACTTGTTGCTGGAATCTGGACTTCAGAGACTTCTACATAAACAGGTGAAACACGAAAAATTAGAATATCATGCAAAAGTTCATTTATTTCAGCAATTAACTTAAAAGGTGAAACTAATATAATATACAGACTCATTACATGCAAAGTGAGATATTTGAGGCCTTTAATTTGTTATATTTTTGATGATTATGGCTTACAGCTTAAACCTTTTCACAATATTCTAATTTTGAATTTGGGGTTTTCATAACCTGTAGGCCATAATCATCAAAATTATAACAAATAAAAGGCCTGAAATAACTCACTTTGCATGTAATGAGTCTATTCAATTTATTAGTTTCACCTTTTAAGTTGAAAAACTGAAATAAATTAACTTTTGCAGTGATATTCTAATTTTTCGAGTTCCACCTGTAAACAGTCTTCAATAGGGAATGAAAGACTTCAGATTTTTTTTTTACGTCAACATTTACATGATTAAAATTGAGTCGACTAGTTGCTGTCATAGTTGTCATAGATGTCATTAAAGGAGAGGTTCACTTTTTAAAAAAACTTTTGATGATACTTTACTCACCCCCATGTCATCCAAGATATCCATGTCATTCTTTCTTCAGTCAAAAATAAATTAAGGTTTTCGATGAAAACTTTGCAGGATTTTCTCCATATAATGCACTTTACTGGGCACCAAACGGTTCAAGGTCGAAAAGATAGTTTCAGTGCAAACTGCAAACTGTTCAAAGGGCTTTAAATGATTCCAGACGATGAATAAGGGTCTTATCAAGCGAAACAATCACTCATTTAATAAACAAATAACGAAGTTTAAGTTTTATAAGCACAAATGGTCACCTTGCTGTGTTCGGTGATGCGCGTTTGTGACTCTCCTGTTCGACCTCGTTCATCAAAATGAACAAATCTTTTTTCGTGTCATTTGGTTCATTCAACGAACAAAATGAATGAATTGACTCGGGAAAAGATTCATTCATTTTGATGAGGAGAGTCACAAACGTGATGACATGGGGGTAAGTAAATAATCAGCAAAAGTTTTTCTTAAAAGTGAACTACTCCTTTAATGAACAAATAAGCCTGAACCTCGAGACTCGAGAGACTCGAAGCAGAGACAGGGTTGCCATGTGCACAGTTATGGCGTATGACAGCTCTGCTCACGGCTATTGCTCCCACATAACAGCTTATTATAATCAGTTCTTTTATCTTTGGGTTGTTACATTTCTCACAGATTTCTGTTCGATCTAAATCAGATACAGATAAAATAGCACTACCAGGCAGCATCTCTCCACTAGTGAAGCTGTGGGTTTTAGTTGCTAAGAAATATATGGTATAACTTTGTCATTTCAAAGCTATTTTATCGTTAAATCATAGAACATTTCTGCACTATTGAATGTTTCTGTGTGCACAATCTGCACTCTGCGTGCTACTGACATGCATGTACGTTACAATGCAGCAGAGCATTAGTACAGAAGCACGATTAACTTGCATGTTTATGGTGGTAATTTCCAAAAATTTGTGAAAAAATTTGCGATTTATATATAACATTTACCATAATAGTATTCAGTCCTTCCAGAAAAACGCAGAGTTTTTTTGTGATTGTTGCGGGCAAAAATTGATTGATTAGCCTGCTCGGCCCGTTTTCTTTAAAAATGCGATGGAATATGCGGGATATTTATGCAATTTTATGCGATGAAATTGCAGGAATTTGCAAAAATTGAGAGAACTTGCAAAAATTGCGGTTTGATGAAAAAGATTTCTCTTTTTCAGTGATTCCCCCAACATCCTGTTCTCACTAGGCTAATGTAAGAGTCATTTCTTAATCCTTCTTTTGATAAGCAAGCATACTACATCATAGAAAGTGCTGGGAATATTTAATTTCTCATCTTGTTTTATTTCAGACTATAACGAGTGTAAATAAGGTGTGGCCCCTTTAAGAGCTGCGCGCTCCCTGTTGAACTCTCTGCAGTGTTATATGTGCGCCTCAAACGCCCCATGTGTGCGGGTAATTTCTGTTTGATGCTACTTCTTTTATCTTATGTTGTTTATTAAGTAACGATATGTGACGGTAGAACGTGTGAGACAGATATACGAGTTCGATTTGTGAGATGTCAATCGCCTCCGTGAGTCTGTCCGGCGTCGCGTAATTGCGTCACTTCATAACGTTCCCATGGAAACAGAGGGAAATGGCTGCTCTTGTGTGAAGCAAACGGAACATTTTTTAACTTTCTACTAAAATACACGTGACTTTTTTTTGCAACGAAAATGCGAGGATTATGAAATTATGCAAACCCCGCATATTTTGCAAGGAAATCGGCAATTTATGCGGCGAAAGTGCGGCGTATTTGAAAAAATGCGGCCCCCGCAGAAATATGCGGACTTTGGCTGATTTTGCATTGAATTCAGCGATCGCATAATCGCGTTTTTCTGGAGGGACTGATTAAAGTCGACTAGTCTCTGTGCAACCCCTTGTCTCCAACATCTGACTTGTGAAATGAGTAACAGTGCTTTGCTGTGCTGACAATTTAGCTAGTTTTTACTGCCCTATCCTTCAATGACAGTCTGCATTACACTGGTTCCGATTCATTAAGCGTTTGCTGATAAAAATGTGCCACTCAAATTCAGACTGATGAGGAATACACTTTAGCAGCCTCTCGTTTGTAACGATGGGATTCTTTAGACTTCACATTTTACTGTTGAGGATTAATTATATTCTTCCTACAGTACTTCTTGTGGAGGAAATTCGGCATCCTGAAAGCTACAGTAAGTTGTTCCCAGCCGTAGAACATCAATCCTCTATTACAACTGACAATTTGATTGTTTAAGAGCAGATTCAGGGACAGTTGTCAAGTGTGTGATGTCATACCGGCTGTTTGGCGGCTCTCTGGAGCGCTGGAGTACAAGGACTGGAGTTGCTTCCTGATCCCAGACGTGACTGAACATGAGGAAACCTGACAGCTAAATTATTCAGATTGACAAGATGGGTGTCGAGGGATTCCAGTTTACCTGCCAGCTGAGAGCCAGAGTTTCACAATGTCATCACAAAACAGGACAATCAAAATACCATAATGCATTGTTATATACAAACTAATGTTGATAGAAATCTCATGATACACCATCAAACTGGACGATGTTTTACCCCATCATGTGGTGAGGTGTCTCTAGAGCTCTTCTGCTGGTGTCCGTGGTCGTGCTGGAGCATTAGCAGCTGTGACTGATCTCTGGGAAGTGTGCGGAGGGCTTTTCTGCCCTGAGCCTGATGATGTGGCCCACAAACACAGTTAACACAACACGAAGACAGGGGTGATATACAGCATGACATCATCACAAAACTAACCCTGACGAGGTGATCAGGACCCCAAAAAGAAGAGCAGCTGCTCATTACAAGACTATTAATCGTATCGAATCGAATCGTATCGTGGGGAATTTTGAAGTATCGAAAATAATCGAATCGTTGGCTTAAGAAATCGGTATCGTACACAGCAAATTTCAGGAGTTGAAAAATCATGAGTTAGGCAAAAAAGTGTGAAAGAGTTAATTTTTTGGAGTTATTTTTTTAACTCTGACTACGGTTTGTGTTATTGGATACTCCCCGGCTGTGTTGTATTTTGGAGTTCATTCATTGGTGTTCAGGAGCGTGTTTTAACACTACACCTGGAGTTATTTTTGAGAAGTGCGCCACGACACGACCCTGCCGCTGCACAAAGGAATAATGGACTTACGCTTCGTTGTGAGGTAGGTAAAAGTGTAACTTATATAAAACTATTTAAAAAATATATTTTCTGACAAACACGTTTGGTCATCGCGTAGCTGTTACGTTACAGGCAAGTTTGTTTACTAATTAACGTCAACGACTATGACAAACTTGCTGTTGAACGCATGTTTAAATTACTTGTTTCAAATTTTGAAATGGCTAACCGTCTTTCCATTGGCCGTGTTTCTGAAAATGAGTGTTTTGCCGTGAAATTGATGCATCAATGGATTACAGGCAATTGAATTGTAACAGCTATATAACGTTAGGCTATATTAGTGGTGACCCACGTTGTGCGTGATTTTCAGCTTATATATTTTTGCATTCTCAATGAATGGTGCTAGATTATATTATGCCTCATGCTATTGTTTTTGTGATCTTCAGACGACTGTCCTGCAGCAAGCGGTTGAAGGTTACTCCTCCTCAAGTCTGAACCAAATGGATTTGCTCAAATAAAGGCAGTAAATCAAGAGTATGGTGTCCAGTGTAGTAATTTCCACACAAAACATTATATTGTGTTAAATAAATGTTAACTCTAAGAAGTGTTAAACTAAACTGGTAACACTGGTAATGAAATCATATAATTAATTTTAGAGTTACATTTACTCTCTGTAGGATTAGTATTTTAACTCCATTTTAACTCTGAAAAAAGTGTTAAAAATTCAACTCCAAGAGCAGAGTTATTTTAACTCTGCGCTGGAGTCTAATTGATGGTCTCACATGTACACTCAGATTGAGTTGATTTTAACTAACAGGGAGTTTATTCCAAAAACCAGAATTTGCTGTGTATCGAATCGTCATGAAGGCCCCGATTTACACCCCTAAAATGTCAGGTGGTGCAACCACCCGCACAAATGAACAGACTTTTCATTTACACAACACCATTTTCAACTAAAAACGTACAACTTTTTATGCGTTTGGCCGTTCGTTTACACGACAACAGCGTTTTGGGTGAAAGCGGATTGACCACAGAACCGGAAGGAAATACAATGATGAATAAAGTCGTAGTTATGGTTATTTTTGGACCAAAATGCATTTTCGATGCATCAAAATATTCTAACTAACCCACTGCTTTGATGATTACCTCTTTATTTCCGTTCTGGACAAAGACAGTATACCATAAATACATTTTCAATGGAAGGGCAGAAAGCTCTCGGACTAAATCTAAAATATCTTAAACTGTGCTCCGAAGATAAACAGAGGTCTTACGGGCTTGGAAGGACGTGAGGGTGAGTCATTAATGACATAATTTTCATTTTTGCGGGAACTAACTCTTTAAAGCAGTTTAAAGCAGTTGTGTTTAAACTGTTCAGTATTAAAGAAGGCATTTACCTGCTCAGCAAAGAGACTTAAAGACAACGATTCAACATCAGTCCTGTGATGTTCACTGTCTTTGAGCTGAAATCCAATGAGAATAAAAGACAAACAGCAGAACATTATACCAGCAGTGAGGTTTGAGGTTAACCTTTACAACAGCGGCATTAAAGAACAAGAGAGCATGAAGGATGGTTTTGAACACATTTAAAATGTTGAATTGACATATGTTCTGGAAAATAAGTCCCACCACGTCATATTGCATTGTTGAGAAAAGAAAACACACACACAGAGATAAGTCACATCGGTATATAAGTCACATTTAATTATTACATAAAGAAATAATCTAAAATACTGGTTAAAAACAAACATTTTAAACACTATATTCAGCTATTTTAGTTCTCCTCACTCCACAAGAATCCCTCAAATGTAATGGTATACAGAACAAGAAATAAACTAATTATAGTGCCATTCATTATAAACAACATTTATTATAAACAGGAAGCCTAAATGAATTTAAAGCTAAACTGAATTACTGGCATGTGGGAAATGAGCAATAGCCTATAAATAAACTTCACATGCTTATCTTGCCTAAAAAGCACAAACTGAGTTTAAGTGGAATGTGAGGAGAGAAAAAATCCATAACATAAAACATTCCTGTATGAACTCACAGAGCGATAATGTCTACTCCGCCACCAACTGACTTGTTGCAGTTACCATTCATTAATGATTTCTGTTCATTTGTCAAGAGTTAACGTTACTCCAAGGCACTGTGAGAACTGCTGTGAGAAAATCAACTGACCTGACCTTGAGTTTTTTCTGTTAAATGTATTTTTTTTTTTAATCAGTCTATCAGAATCTACTCATTGTAGGAACTGTTTGACAAATCATTCTAATGAAGAGGAAAAATAAACTCTAACCTGTTTCTTGTGATTTCTTTTGCTTTTCTCGGTGACATCACTCTCTTCTTGCCATAACATCTCCTGAAGCTCTGGCCACTGGAGTCCGGTCTCGTGTAACAGCCTTTCTTGGTGCTTTCAAAACACAAACACATTGGCTATGAACTGACTTGTTAATTGTTGTCTATTTTCAACATTGAACAATAATAGCAAATAAATAACACAAATGGTCTATTTCAGCTTCTTAATTTGTCTAAATTCCATCAAAGTTTAAGTTTTATAAGCTCAAATCCTCGCCTTGCTCTACTGCGATGCCCGTTAGTGACTCTCCTGTTCGAAATCGTTCATCAAAATGAACAAATCTTTTTCCGAGTCAGTTTCCGTTCGTTGAATGAACCAAATGACTCGGAAAAAGATTCGTTCATTTTGATGAACGAGTTCGAACAGGAGAGTCCCAAACGTGCGTCACAGATAAAACTTAAACTTCGTTATTTATTTATTAAATGAGCGATCGTTTCTCTTGATAAGACCCTTATTCATCATCTGGAATTGTTTAAAGCCCTTTGAACAGTTTGCAGTTTGCACTGAAACTGTCTTTTGGACCTTGAACCGTTTGGTTCCCACTGAAGTGCTTTATATGGTGAAAAATGCTGGAATGTTTTCATCAAAAACCTTAATTTCTTTTCGACTGAAGCAAGAAAGACATGGACATCTTGGATGACATGGGGGTGAGTAAATTATCATTAATTTCTTTAAATCATTAAAACTATCACTTCATAAACTATCTTCTTATTAAACGGTCTGTACACTTACAAAGTTCTCAATGCTTCGTTTTGCATGTATGGACCCTCATTATGTTATTGCGTTAGTGTGGGGCTATTTTGAGCCTTGTTAGTGGTATAAACTAGCGATTTCTTTTTACTTAGTCAATGCCCCCATTACTAGCATTATACGCTAAACAGTTTTTAGAGATAAAACTCTTTACATTCGATTATCATGAAAACAAATCTCAGAGAACAGTTGACTGTGTACCGATGTTTTATTAGACCAAAGGTTCATTGTTCTCCGGAGTTCTCCTTTAAGTATTAAAAGTAAAAGTACTTGCATAACAATTTTTTCTCTTAATGTCTATTTTTTTCTAATGATTAATAAAACATTTAATTCTAACTCGTTTCACCTAATACTCCTATAATGATGTTCAATAATTATGGAAAAAAATTGTTGTCACCATTTCTGAAACAAGCTTGCAATTAGGCAATATGCACATCATGCGCTCATCCTTACTATATATTAATAACCATGTTTGGCAGTAAACGCGATTAATTTATGGTGTAATTCTGAACCTCTTGGCTTGCCATAGGCTAATCCTAACCAAATGTATAGGCCTATTACACATGGTGCGTTTACTATGCACATAAAAACAAATTTTCGCGTATAAATTGCACGATAAACACACTGCGTGCGAGACGCATAAGTGTGACCGGGTTGATATATCTATGGCAACCAAACGTCACTGATGAGACAAACGTGCAATGAACGGATGGTCAGATTACGTTCTGGCAGGGGAAAAACTGATCAGAAAATGTAATGAAAAAGTAACAAAAGTTGTAGAAATGTAGTGGAGTAGAAAGTATAATAATTGCTGCAAAATGTAACGAAGTAAAAAGTATGCACTATTTATTCTACTTAAGTAAAGTAAAGATATGTGAAAAATGTACTTTAGTAAAGTAACAAAGTATTTGTACTTTGTTACATTCCACCACTGCACTGGGTATAAGATAGGGCCCTTCAAATGGACTTTTTAAATGGAGTTTCCATGAATGAACTCTGAACTCAGCTATTCCTTCATTTCTGTTTCAACTCATCAAATTTTGAAATGAATAATTATAGGATTGTAAAGAGATTTGGCACAATTTTGATTCGCCTACAAAACTTTCAGGCCAAAGGCTTTTTAAAATCTTGAAAACAAATCCACTCAAACGTGTCAAAACGTTTGACCTCTAACATACAGATTTAAAAGATTTAGATAGGCAGAAAGAAAGACGGGGAACTTGTAGTAAACCCATGCTACAACTGACTGGACATAAATGTCAAACGCTCGAAAGGTCACTGAAAACCCTAAGCAAACAAACACCAAACTTGTGTGTCACTCTCCATCTGCATGGTGAAACGTTTTTCTCTGAAATGAGCACATGCACTCATTACACAATCTGAAAAATACAAATAAAACATTCATCCTTACATTTTCGAGGCGTCGTCTTTCCTCCTGCTGTTGTTGGATCCTCTTCTGTCGGTCCGCGAGCAGTTGTCTCTTGTAGTTGTCTTGATTGTGTACTTGCTGGAGTAGTTGTGTTTGAGAGTTTGTCTCCTGCTGCAGACGCAGGAACTCTCGTCTTAACATGGACTCTCCAGGAAGATTCACTATAGAGCTATATGAGCACAAAGCAAATGATGTGAGAAACCATCAAACCTAAGACCAGGGCGATGCTGAAAAACCAACATTTGTACACTGCGTCATGCAAGGCCGTCAGGTTTTCATGCCATCTGCCATGTGGAGAACACTGACAGAGCACATTAATCCAAGGGGTGACACACTCACTGACCCGAGCCATTTTAATGGGTCACAAGGCAATTTATGGCTACATAACAATTTCCTTGATTTACTTTGATCGTCTTTTTGGTCATCATTAAGCTGCTTGCTGATGATGCCATTTAGATACTACTATAGTTCACAAATCCAAATATCACCTCTCAAGTCAATATAAAACCCTGGTCTTCTGGTCTTTTCTGGTCTTATTATCAACGCTTCACCGGTGCATGTTATTCCAAAGAAAATATATCTGCAATTTTTTTTGCCATCAGGCCAAACAGTTCAAAGCAAACTGAATGCATTTCTGATTCTTTTTACACGTTTCTGTCGGCTGCATGACGAAACAGTTTGCTTTCACATGTCTCTAACTTTAAATATGCACAACTTCACTGCATAATGAATGCATAAAAGCGAAATCAAATGGATATAAACTAAAGCAAACAGATGATAACAATCGTGACATAAACATTTGGTTTGTCTATTTTAAATCTGAACTGAAGTGTTAAAACAAACTCCATGAGGTGTCAGTGATAGTTTTTATTTGGCCTCCAGAGGCCGCTCTCGTACGGTATAATGACAGCGGACTCTTCTCAGCCGCGCCAGCAACGGAACCAACCCGGAAGAAATATTGGTATGGATTTGTGCCGACAACAGATTGTTCCAGCAATCGGCGCCGGTTAATCTGCAACTTAGTATTTTTTTATGTGTGTGTGTGTGTGAGCAAAACATATGGGATCAAAATCCTGCCAAATGTATTGCGGCCACGGATCAATAAATAATAAGCGTGATTCAAAAATGTAAAAACTCATGTAAAAATATATTGCACAAACTGGAACAAAATCATGCAAAATTATCAGACAAGCAAACAACGTGGTCACGGATCAAAATATAATCAGCGTGATTCCAAAAATAACAAGCATGAATAAAAAACTTTAAACACGTTAAAAAATATTTTGCACAAAACTTAAATTTATGTTCATGTTTTTCGCTCTTCTTTCCGTGTCCTGCGCTTGCTCTTCCAAATGTTGAAGTTTGAGTTTCATGCAAATTAGGGTGGGCTTAAGTGTCACCATTGGTCCATAGTTCTAGATTGACAGCTCCAATTAATCGAAGAGGGGAGTTGACGTCACTCAATGCGACTCACGCTAAGGATGTTCACTCGTAGCTAGAGGTGAAGATAACCATCAGCTCAGCTGGTAAAAATCTTTCAGTGGCAGGACACTGTTAAACTACATGTGTGCCTGCAACCTGTTACCGATATACAATTCTACCTGGCGATACGTTATCGTTAAATTCGTCATCCTAGCGTTGACAACCTGTCACAGTTATACCTGTCTGACGAGCCATCATATTCACCTGGCCTTGCTTCTGGACCTGGCATTGCGAGCTTCGATTTCCTCCGAGCCACACAACAGTCACACAACAAATGCAAATATGTAGCTATGTAAATGAACACAATAAGTATGTATAGTGGGGCGGCTAAGCGCAGATTTCGATCACTTTGCGATAAAAGCATGAATTTTGGTACGAATGCTCACAAAGTGGGTCTGATCAGATTTAGGACCATAGGCGCTCAAAATTTGGCCCCTGGGGGCCATGTCAGCCATTTTTCAAAATGGCCGCCAAATATGGATTTCGTAATGCGAAAATGAATTAAAAGCTGCCAGAAACATAAAATGCAATAACACAATTCACCATAAATAAATGTAAATATGACCACACTTTCACATAGAAGGTCTTTAAACTTTCAAATATAACATATGTTTAAAAAAAAATTGAAAATGGCCGCCAAATATGGATTTCATAATGTCATAATGGATAAACGACAGAAATTAACAATTAAAAAAGTTGCACATTTGATCACTAATCAATCTAGTTCATTTTTAAACAAAAAGGAGAAGAGGTTATGATATCTATCAGAAATGATTTAATATTATTATATTATATTATATTAATATTAAATTGTGAGCATATACTAATACACGTAATTTTTACTTGGTAGTTTGACTCCTTTTTATTCAGTCAGTAGGTTTCATCTTGTGCTGGCCACAGTTGAATATTATTCTCTTTAAAATCTAGGGTACTGGTGGGATGTTTTACTCTTGACTACAAGTGAAATAAAGGCAAAGTCAGTTGAATGTGTTTCTCACTGTTACTCAGTAAAAATAGTTTAGGCTAATACTGCAAGTAAGCAAACATAACTCAGACAGGCAAATATAACATATAATAGATTTTAGTCTGCAGGAATTTAGAGTTAGGATTCTGTGAAATAAAGTAGGTGTACATTCCCACAGAATTTCATTTAGGCTGGTTGTCTAAACTAGCTGCAATTCATCCTATTTATTTTATTGTAACTCTGTGCTCTTGTACGGCTAGTTTAAACCACCCAAAGCTAATCTCAGTCAATTCTTTGCTCTCCAAATGCTCTAACCTTGACTAGAAATATTAATTGTAAGAACTTTTGAGTCCTGCTGGATTATTTTCAAGTGGTTTAGTAGATAGGCCTACAAATCACATTGTAGACCGAGTTTTCCTCACAAGAAAAAAGTAAATTAGCACGATTAGCATGATTACCACAATTAGTCCACTACACAAGAACTACTTTGATCCAATGCAATGGCTAAAACCTTCAAATTATTTAATCCTGGATATACTGATCCCCCAACACAAATAACTGACTTTGTCAGAATAATACTCAAGAGCCACTCGGATGCCCATCAAATTGTCAATGGCAGGTCAATACTGAACGTTACAAAAATCTGGCAGAGAATCTATTAAAAATGTATTAACTTAAGCAATGATATCTTTACAGATTGCAGTTAGATAAAGGGCAAGGTAGAGGCCACATTTATTAGGAACAATGCAAAATATCACAAATTATACATGTTGCCTTGGATTTAACAATCAAATGCTACAAAGAGCTGAGAAGAGAGCTTCTACAACTGATGAGCATGACACTAGAAAATGCGCGTAGGCTATTAAACGGTAACAGATTGCCAGGTAGGCTGTGCGGATGTTTTTATTTATTTATTTTTTACAAAGGCTAGATTTTTTTTTCTTTTTTAAAATTTTAGTTGTTGTTCTTTGATTTACATACTCTGAACTGCATCACAAATGCCTTGTATTTGCCCTGTACTTTTTTGCGCCTGGTCTGTAATGGAACTAAAAATAAAATAAAAATGAATAATACATTTTTTATAAATTACTATAAAAGGTAGGCTGTGTGTATTGTTTTTAGGTCAAAACCGTTCTTGTCTGTTAGTCATATGCCGTAATGCAGGTCTATGGTCACCACCTCAAAGAGCATGCACAGAGAAGTCCCAGTTATACATGATTTAAAGACTCGTAAATGTAAGTACACGTTGATGGCCTAAGACACAAAACAAGCGGTTTGTGTGAGAAAACGAACAGTATTTACATCGTTTTTATCTCTTGTAACCACAGCCACGTCCAAGTGATCTGAGGGGCGGGCCAAGTGATCTGTAGGTGTCTTTGTTTCAAAATTGAAACAAAGACACCTACATCTTGGATGCCCTTGAGGTAAGCTAAAACATACCAAAAATTAATTTCAAAGTGAACTATCCCTTTAAGCCCGCCCTAATTTACATGAAACTCGAACTGCGACCTTTGGAAGAGCAAGCGCAGAAGACGGAATAAAGAGCGAAAAACATGACCATAAATTTAAGTTTTGTGCAAAATATTTTTAAATGTGTTTAAAGTTTTTATTCAAGTAAATTACTTTTTTTTTCCCAAAGGACATCCTGGGACTTTTAAATGTCTAATCTGAAGGACGGTTCTCTTTGACAGTATAGTGTCCCCATCACTATACTGGGACGTTAGGACCCACACAGACCACAGGGTGAACGCTCCCCACTGGCCCCACTAACACCTCTTCCAGCAGAAACCAGCTTAGCTTTAGTGGGCAACCAGTCTTGGGCTACAGGGTGATATGGCTGCATGACCCCATTAATGTTAATCAAACAAAAGAGAAAATAACTTACTGTTCTTGACTGAATAACTTTTATTGGTTTAATAAGAATATATTTATATTTAATTTGTTTAAATTTGTTTGTTTTTTTACATTTGATTTTCTGTACTATTTCTAACTATGTTAAATAAACCTTTTCAAATAGAAAAACGTAATTTGTTTCATTCCAAATTGTTATATTGTAATTTGCTTCCTTGTTTTTATTTTTAATAACAAAAAAAAAAAACTACATTATGATATTTATCTGTGATACCATATGGTGAAATTTGATTTTGGTCATATTACCCACCCCTAGATGTGTGTGTATGTGTGTAAATTACTTGCTATCACAGAAATATATTTTATATAACAATTTATTGTGCATTATGACAACACTAATGCTGTATGTGTATGTTTGTGAGTGTGTGCATCAGCATTAAAGTAGTCAATTTTTTCATTACTTGGTATTAGCCAAACCTGATGGTGGAAAAGTAGAGTCTAGTTTGTCTTTTTAATCTTTCATCAAAATGAAATCAGTTGCTGTGCTTCTGTAATGGCCATTTTTATTTCTAGCCCATCTCCTCCTTCCAGAAAGTGTAATATATAGATAATTGGTGTAAATTTATTTTCAGAAAAGATGAATTATGACATACCTGGGTTCACCTTCATCTTCATTTATGGCATCTTCTTCATCTTCACTTCCACTGTATTCATATTCTGTTCCCTCTATTAAGATTGGTCACAAACAGAACTTCAGACAAATTAGGCCAACATTGCAATTCAATAAAACTGCTTTTAATAACACTGTCATTTCAGGCATCTGTAAAAATCTCAGAATGGTAAATGGACTGCATTTATATAGCGCTTCACAGAAACAATGGCCACCAAAGCGCTTTACATATTGCCTCACATTCACCCATTCACTCACTCATTCATACCGACGGCGGTGTTGGAAAGTGAAAGAACCTTGAAAGCAGTTGGAAAGTGAAAATAATGACAAAATATTCGAGGACCTCGCCAGTCTAAATCAGAATGTTTATTCGGGCTAAATGGATATACCAAAAGCACATCAACACGTCAGTGTGTGTCTCGTACCTTTCTCTCGTCTCCTCTTCCTGGTTCTGTCCAGATGATCTTTGAGCGTGATGCGTACTTGTCGTTCATTGGGAAGGTCTTTAATGAAGGAATGGCGTAAGAGGGTCTCTGTGGACGGTCTGTGGAGGTAGTTCTTCACCAGACAACTGTCCACAAATGTCAGAAACTTTTTAGACCTTAGAGGAGCAATAAAAAACAGATTTACTGCATGCATGTCTACAGTGGGACAGTACATTTAATAAATGCTATTAAATACTCTTCAAATGCTAGTGGTGGACGAAGTACATACAGTAAATCAAGTCCTTTAATAAAACTACAGATACCCTGTTAAACTATTACTTTCAATTTTACTCTGGTAAATGTACAAACGTACTTGAATTTTAACGGACTTTAAGTACTGATTAATGAATATCCTACTGCTCAAAATATGTGGGGGGAGGGAGAAGGAATACAGTAAACAGAACTTAAAGAGCTTAAATAGGTAACAGATCAGTGATCATTATAAATAATAAAGAATTTTCAAATAGCCAGCACTAGTCAATAAGGAAGATTATGCGGACACTTTATTGATCTGCGAGCAAGAAAACATGTTATTTTATTACCAATATTTGTCATTCACTGATAACTACCACTAGGGTTCCAGACTGTGACCAAATTGGCCGCATATGCGATTTTTTGAGAATGTGCAAGTTAAAATTTTATGTGGTTGCATATGTGCGAGTGGACACTCGTGCAACAGAACGCCGTTGTATCAGCTGCTGCAGTCCGTAACTTATGTTGAAAATGAACGAGTAAGCTACATCATGAATCCATTTTCCAAACTGTGTTTTTGATTTATCCTGAATCCCTACGGTACGCCTATAATAAGTCTTTATATTCGGACTATTTTATCCCGGGGTCGACTCTGATACGGAGTTGCCCAGTGCCTGCGTGACTTGCCATATGGACATTAATGGAGAGAAGTAGCGCCGGCTACAGTGTTCTTCCGCAGCACACGTGCAGTTTATTTATTGACGAACGTAGACGTCACGCGCATTGCACACTGATAGTGGAACGCGCCAATTACGAATTCACGAATCATACGTCTTTTCAGCGGTTTGATGAGAGTAATCACTCGACTGAGGAAAAGGAAATTATTATAAATTATATTATATGTTATAATTATTATATAATTATTATGCAGAAGGTAAGGAGTGTGAGATTTCAACTATAAACTTTGATAATGAAGAATCTGTATCAGCTTATTATAATACTCTAACCTTTTAAAATGTAATGCATACATTTGAATATTTAATGTTTTTTAAAACATAGAAAGATGAAGCTAAAAGAAAGATGATAGATAGATAGATATGTAACCCCTCACACCCGGGTCCTACTCGCCCCGCTCCGAGCGGGCCTCGAACCCGTGTCTCCGGCGTGAGAGTCGGGCGCTCTAACAAGGAGGCTAAAGACTGCAGCCTCTAGTGTCTGTCGCTAGAGCGCCGATAGGCCGATAGTCCGATAGTCCGATAGATAGATAGATAGATAGATATGTAACCCCTCACGCCCGGGTCCTACTCGCCCTGCTCCGAGCGGGCCTCGAACCCGGGTCTCCGGCGTGAGAGTCGGGCGCTCTAACAAGGAGGCTAAAGACTGCAGCCTCTAGTGTCTGTCGCTAGAGCGCCGATAGGCCGATAGTCCGATAGTCCGATAGATAGATAGATAGATAGATAGATAGATAGATATGTAACCCCTCACACCCGGGTCCTACTCGCCCTGCTCCGAGCGGGCCTCGAACCCGGGTCTCCGGCGTGAGAGTCAGGCGCTCTAACAAGGGGAGTGAGGTTTACTCGCACAGCAACTACTAGCTGGCCTCCGTTACAGACAGACAGACAGACAGACAGACAGACAGACAGACAGACAGACAGACAGACAGACAGACAGACAGACAGACAGACAGACAGACAGACAGACAGACAGACAGACAGACAGACAGACAGACAGACAGACAGACAGACAGACAGACAGACAGACAGACAGACAGACAGACAGACAGACAGACAGATAGATAGATAGATAGATAGATAGATAGATAGATAGATAGATAGATAGATAGATAGATAGATAGATAGATAGATAGATGGATAGATAGATGGATAGATAGATGGATAGATAGAGGGAGAGGGAGAGGGAGAGTGAGAGAGAGAGAGAGAGAGAGAGAGAGAGAGATAGATAGATAGATAGATAGATAGATAGATAGATGGATAGATAGAGGGAGAGGGAGAGTGAGAGAGAGAGAGAGAGAGAGAGAGAGAGAGAGAGAGATAGATAGATAGATAGATAGATAGTCAAGTCACATTTATTTATATAGCGCTTTTCACAATACAGATTGTATCAAAGCAGCTTCACAGTGATAACATGTAAGTAGCACAACACAGATCAACAACATTGCTAAACACTAAATAACCCCAACTGAGCAAGCTCAAAGCAAGCCAAAAGCAAGGCGATAGATATAGATAGATATAGATAGATAGATAGATAGATAGATAGATAGATAGATAGATAGATAGATAGATAGATAGATAGATAGATAGATAGATGATAATCAATATATTACAGGTGTTTATGCTGCAACCCAGAAACCCTTTGCTAGCTTTCGTCCATTAAAACCACTATTCATCAGCATGCATTGATTAATCCCATGGTATGTAGCAAAAAAAAAAAAAAAAAAAGTGCGACCAAATCAAATGCTGGTGCGACCAACTGAGAAAGTTGGTAGCACCAGTTCAACTACTGGAAAATTTAGTCTACAGCCCTGACTACTATTGATAATTACTCAAAATGTGCAAAAGTGAAAATAACAAAATATACCATTTAGTAGATAGAAATGAGGAAAAACAAAATGTGTGTTGACAAATATAAGCATACAATATAATATATAGGGCACAATGTTACATTTTAAGAAGAACGCTATGCAAACATACTAGTTTTATATCATTTGAATCTGCTACGGAAGAGGGGAAGATGCATGGGCATTACAGTTTTTCTCGATTGTTTACACACATTTTCTGGTACTTGAGACACAATGACCACAACATGTAACTCATTCACCAACCCCCTGAACCAATTCTACTGAACTACAAGCACAATTCCTGCTTTACACTCAAATTGCAGTTCTAGAACACACGTTTTTCAAAACACTACACACAATTCTCTGCATTTGGCACAATTTTCATGCAGAAAATCTCTTGTTTTCAAGAGGAACACACTGCCATTCAAATATTCACACTGACTCGTCACATGGGCAAACACATTTCACACAGTTTTACAATTAGCAATCAGAGCTTTAGCATAAAATACCAAAACCAAAGAGAGGATGCAGCATAGATATTTTTTTTATTTCTTTTTTTACTGTAACAGCATAACAAATTCTGTTGTTTTGTATGTAGACCACTGTATGTGCAACTTTGTGTTGGTTGGGGTGTACAAAATGTGGGATCTATCTCCCATTGATTTTGTGGGAAAAATAAAATATATTTGTTACCGTGTATTTGTGTGTTCTGGGTATAAAAACAATATTCTCAAATATTTTACAACACACTTATGTATGTAATGTCTGTAGTAAGTGTAACACTAAACAAAAAAGGCCCAAGTCATTATGATGAATGGAAAAGAAGTGTTTTCCATTGATCATAGTGTTTTACATTGAGCACATCAGTGTTCAACTGGTTCTTTTAAATGTCTATTCATATGATGGTTTGTGTGTGTCATTTGAAAACAAAATACCATTTTGAGAAAAAATAACATTGTTTTGAATGTAAAGTTTCATTTTGCAGGAGAATTGAGGGGTTTTGCCGATTGTGTGGGTGTTTTTAGATTTGTGTGTAGAGTTCTGAGAATATGAGGCATTCTTTCAGAAAATGTGTGTAAACAATCGAGAAAAACTGTAATTTGCATTCTTTTGATGTTCTGATTGTAACTAAACCCTACCCTGTGCAAATAGTAATACACAAATGTGAACATGTCCAAGCATTTCATACAATGGGCTTAAACAGTCCACCCTTTTACAGCAGATTTTTTTAACAAATACCTGAAAGTCGTGACCTAAATATGATACTGTTTTACAATAATTACATTATTAACTTATTTTCCACACCATCAGTCACACACACACACACACACACACACACACACACTCAAGCTCAAAGGATCTCCCGTTCTTGACTCATTTTGAGTCATTTCAGACTTGTGAATCATTGGAATCAGTGAGCTGGTGACTCCAGAACACATGCAGTCGGATCGGTCCAATTCACAAATGTATCGTTTAGTGCGATTTGCGAATCGATTTAACAGGTCAGTAGAAAAGAATCAGCCTCTTCATGAATTGGACGGTGTTATCGCATCTCGAGGCGATTTCTTCAGTTCAAAATAATGAGGGCCGACATGTTTTTATGAAATGTAGTGGAGTAAAAAGTATTATATTATGCACATTAATAACGTACTTTTGATCCATCTGTGTGAAATGATCCAAATGTGTGAAGCCAAAGAGGCAACAAACACCCCAAAACAACACATTCCAGCACAAGATCACCTTGAATGAATGAAATGAATACTCAACTACTCAGCTATAGACGCTTCCTTTTTTCTACTAGATATATTCATGCCGTGAGAAGTGGTGTGGACATTAAATTGTGCCTATGCTTTTAAATATGCAAAATAATCCTTCACTAGAACTAACAATGCCAGTGTAAACCAAAATTACTGTGTGAGACCTTCTAGCTGTCACGTGTCACAATGCTCTCTATAATAAAGGAAAGTAATCTTACCATTTCTTAGACTTTAGTTTGGGAGGAGGGTTCCGTGGAATGAGAAACAGCGCTCTCATTGGATGCATATCACACAAGGCTGTGGAGAAATGTGCGAAACAAAGAACCATTAAAGCATATGCAAAGTTGTATAGTTATAGAAAAGTGTATTTTGTTTTTTTCGGAATATGCCTAGAACTCACGTGGCGCCCCCTCTGCCATCTCCAACGCTGTGATACCCAGAGACCACACGTCACTCTAAAAACATGCAATGTATTTCAGGAACACATTCAACTACTCATGTATAGTACACAATATACTGATATTTCGCTTTGCCAATAGACAGTAAATTATTCCCCTTTTTTTTGCAAATTTGTAGTTAACAAATGTTGAAAAGTTTATGACAAAATAAGTATCTTAAATGGATCTCAGTCGATGGACTTACCCTATAGTCATACGTCGAGTCAGGATTCTCATCACACGCGATCACCTCTGGCGCCATCCAATATGGAGTCCCGATGAATGTGTTCCTTCTGCCAATCGTCCTGTCTAACTGAGCACTGACACCAAAATCCACTGACAACACAGGAATTCAACAATGTCTTCAGCCGTACCAACACTTACAGTATTTGTCATGTGACTGGGCATTGTTTCTCATATTAAGAGTTTAAAGCTGGTAATGGTTCGTCTCCATTCTTACCGAGTTTAATCTCAGCGTTCTCCGTGAGCAGCACGTTTTGTCCTTTAATGTCTCGATGAATGACATGATGCGAGTGCAAGTGTAACAGACCCTGAGAACAGAAAGTGTAGCAAATCAGTGTTTACACACATCACAGAAAAATACCCACACCAGATAGAAATACTCCTTTTCTATAGGTGTAGCCCTCAAACCGTATTCACTTTATAGCCTTTAATCCTGTGGACAAATGTGGGCACAGAGGACTCAGGTGTGATCCTATTTTTTATTTATTATAAATGTTATATCACTGTCTTTGATAAAGTTTTGTCTATCCATTTATGGTGGGGGTATTTTTGAATTTATTTACTTCAAAAAGTACCATATTTTCTATGTAAATGATGGTTATTTTTATGTTTTATTTTTTAAAATGTTTTAACTACATTAAAATATCATTCCAATAAGTTCTTAGAGCTAAAACCTAAAGATGAAGTGACTTTGCCGTCACCTGGTGTCTTATTTTGGCTTATTTTAGAATGCTCTAAATCACAATTTTTCCCATTCATTTCTATGGGTGCCCATTTTTGACCCAAGTACAAGATTAAGGAGGGGTTTTTTTTTTTCACTCACTTAACATTGTAGAATTGAGTCAAAAAAAAAAATTGTGTGTGTTCAGGAGGCAAACTTAGGAAAAGTAGCCAAGTCTTGTACCGCTCAGATCAAGGGAAGAATTTTTAAAAAATAAATCAAAACTATTCTGCCCACATTTGTCTAGACTACGGTTTGTTTTCTGTTATGTTGATGAAAATGACTACAAATGAACAGCTTTTCAGCTCAAATGACAGAAGAGTTCATTGAAATGTAATTTTTACAATTATAAGATAAACTTTCTTACGGTTGACAGTGATTAGAGCATGTATACAAGTAATGTGGATGAAATTAGTGGTATGCTAGGTAGGGTTGGGTATCGTTTGAATTTGAACGATTCTGATTCCGATTCCGATTTCTTGTTTCGATTCCGGTTCCTAACGATTCTCGATTCCGATTCTAACCTTGCTAACCAACGGTCTTTCTGAAGGAAATAATCCTTTCTGAAGGAAATACTCATTCTGTAAAAATACTCCTTTTGTCACAAATTTTGCATTTTGCCGAGATTTCGTTATTTTTAGAAAAGTGAAGCCACACTTTGGACCGCCGACGTAAGGTACTCATGTTCGACTCGTGTGGTTATGCCAACACTTCCGGTAGACGTTTCTTCGTTGGTGTTGTTCAGCGGTTTCTTCTTCCGCTCGGCGGACTGTGAATATCGAAACTAGGAATCGAAATTTTAACTTTTGAACGATTCCGGGAAAAACGAAAAGTTAGTACCGGTTCCAATCAATACTCGATTCTTGATACCCAACCCTAATGCTAGGTGGTTATTTATTGATGTTTTATGTATTGTCATCCTCATAAACTTTAATAAACCGAATCATAAACTGAAGTGCAGACTTCATCCAATGATTAAATGCAACTGGTTTTCTTTCCAGGTACAATATGCATCAAAGAATATCTGCATTTTGGCATAAAGTACTGCATTTTTGTTACATAAGTCAGTCTATCCATGAAAATAGTCAGCTTACACTGCTAAGTGTAAGCTGACTATTTTCAGGAAAACTATTTTTAAGGAAAGACTATAAAAAATGATGATCCTTACAGTTTAAAATGAGCCTTACAAACATACAAAAATGTAATAATTTCATTTATTCAATGAAAATATGACTTGTTATGCATGCAGGAGGGTCATATTTACTCTCACTGTAATGCCAGAGGAGAGCCGAGTCTGCCTCCACTCAAGGTTTTTCCCACCACCTAAACGTCTTAATCTATACAATCAATAATCTTTAACTGTGATCACTCACTCTCAGAACCTCTCTACAAATATAAGCGATCCAGTCCTCTTTAAGGCAGTTTCCTTTGGTCTTCTTCAGCAGGTCTGTGACCGAGCCTGCGCCACAGTACTCCATCACCAGCTGAAGGCCAAGACACAGAGAAAACACTTTAACATCAGTCTAACAAGAACGTGACAGCACACAGACGTCTAGACTGGTTATCTACATTGTTATTTATCTCAGTAGCTTAATCAGGATGGTAAAGTCCTTCAGTTAAACGTCAACACACACCCTTGAAGGCCCCGAAGATATGGACTGTGGAGGGAAAGAATGTAAAAGGCCCGTTCCCATTGCAGACACTAATGCCGCTTCTAATCGTCTGAACTCTTTTAGCGATATCGTAACGGCAGAGGAACTGTGGGAGGTTAGCAGGCACACTGTTGTAAATTTACACTACAAAGTTATTGAACATTACTTGGAGGAAATTTTAAGTTTGTACACAAATATATTTGTATGGGCTATATGCACGCATAAGTTCCGCATTTGACGCAAGGATGCTCGTCCATTTCCGGTTGAGGAGAACCGAGGAAAACGGGATTATGGCAGAGTCTTCAAAATTTACTGTCCTCCCGTCTTTGAAACGAAACATAGATACGTTTAGATGTAATTTTATATATAGTTATATTTATTTAATATAATTTTAAAAAGAAGCATAAACACAACGAGGGGTGTCTGTTTTATCTGTTTTTGTGATTAACGTTTCTTTATTATAACCATGGAGTATAAAATTCAATATAAATTCTCAGTATTGCATTGGACTCTACGATGGGCGGAAGTTATCGAGCATCCCCGGAAATACCGCCGTGCATAGAGCCCATAGGATTAAATAAAACCGTGATATTATATATTAATATCTTCATGCAATAATATAGTTTTCATTTTCGCAATGATACAAGCAATATATTTGCTATATATACTGCTTATATGTGGATACACAGATATATACAGAGCTGTGCGAAAAGACTGATCTTCCTGCATTGACACTGAACTGAGCTGGACAATGACATCATGGTTTTCTCCAGTGCGGCTATATGAACAATTTTTCGCAACAAAAATAAAACATCACTAAACTTACTTAAGCTGTACTGTGATGCTATTATATTCTAGAAACAAACTTTGTTGCATTATTTTCCACTGTAAAACTGCTTTAAAACCATCTGTATTGTAAAAGGCGCTATATAAATAAATATGACTTGACTTGGCGTGGCTTGACATTTTTACGACAATATAAACAAATCAAAGCCTATAGAAATGTCTATGAAAAGATCTCAAACGTTTAAATGTGATGGACATTGGTTATGCTAATCTTTGCTCGCTCCTTTTAAGTTATCTTGAGTAAAACCGCAAAAAAATTCATGAAGCACATACAAAAGACCTAAACCGGAGGCGATGCGATCTGTTTTACAGAATGCGGAAGTAAGTTGTGCATAGAGCCTATTGCTACAGGGACCGTTTTTGGAAGGTATCTCTGTAACCTCAGAAAGCACAAACTCTGGCTCTTCTAGTACTGTGAGAGACTATACATAGTTCCCACATGACGTCACAACATACGGGCATTTGCCGACCCGGCGCCATTGCTTAGGGCAAAACATAAGAAGAAGCAATACGAGTTGAACGAAGTGAAATGAGTTTCGTGCTATAAAGTGAAAATGGTCATCTCCTGCTGAGTCAATGGATGATAAAATCGTGCCGGAGGTTCAGTTAAATCGGGATTTTACACTATACCCGTCATTAGACTCCATATGGATGTGAGAAGACTAAGCTTTTGTCCGAACAACGACAGAGATTATGGCTGGCGAGCATAAACAGGAAAGAAACTCACTCAAAACACGCAAGAATTTGTTTGACAAAAGCACAATGTTGCGTTTTATTGCGAGTGTAAATAAATATAAGTTAACACGTTGCAGTTTGAATAATGTCCTGTATGAACAAAATGACGAGGTATTAAAAACATACAAAACAACATTGTTTCCACTGTTTGATCTCACATTCCAGCATTGCAATCTCAGATTATGTCCCTAAAGATCCCGCGTATAATGTAGTTCCTCATTTATTACATTAATTAAATTGCACGCGAGTTATTTATTTTAATATTCATGCACCGAACCATGACGCCCGCAAGTACATGCATATTACAGAAATCACCGGTGACTGGGGAACATAGGAATTAAGTTGTGCAGGCTATGGCTTTTTAATAGACAGATTAGCATCATGCTACTTCGCTATGATGACTTAAGTTACTTTTCCATTGATTGCACTTGAGCAAACGTCACCAAACCAACCCCACGTCAATCTGATCGTACACCTCCAGTGATTTCCAGGCTTGGAATTGCTCACATGTGTAAAAACTCCTCACCAATACCAGAGTACACATGAAAATACTGTATCTGAGGCAAAGTTGCATAATCGGTGCTCAGTGCTTCTTTTGTTGCATAAGGATACACACCATTTATGAATGAAATTTTCGCATTGTACCTCTCTATGTCTTGTTTTAATAGTCTCTTTATAATCTATTACACTTTGTCTTTTCATGATTTGCATAACAATATAAACAGACATAAATATTTGTTTGTAAAACGACATTCTCTGATAAAACGTTGTAAACGCCTATGGTAAACACCGCGGTTTTGCCCTCAAAGATGGCGTCTCCGGGGAGGTCACGTGACAATTTTTTTGCCTGTGGGAACTATGTATACACAACCAGTTAAGAACCTCTAGAGGAAACCAGGTTGATTGTTTATTTGGGTTCAGTAGATACTCACCCAAAGCTGGTCATCCTGACCGGCAGGACTTTTCTTAACAAAAGCACCATAATACGTGGCTATGTTCCTGTGATGGGAATGAGTTTTCAACATGTTAATCTCCAGTTTGATTTCATCTTCCTCGTCCTGTGGAAGACAAAATACATTCACGTCATTACTTAGTAATGGAGACCAATATATTGAGACTCCCTTTAAAAAAAGAGCACTCCAAACATTAGCACTTATATGTAAAGGCTGCTTTTACAGTTCTTTCCCAAGAGGAAAGACAGGAGAGGTGTGTGTGAAAGTGATGGTCAGGGGAAAGGAAATCTGGAGCCTGGGGTTCAAATGACCACTACATTGCTCTCTTATCTCCCATGGCAGATAGTGCAAGACGGAAAGGGAACCAGGAAACAGCATTTCTGTGATGGGGAGAGCAGAGTCTTTCACTGGAAGCTTCATAACTGACTCATTTTGGGTAAAACAAAAACCACTTGTACTGACTAAAATCTGTATATTAATGCAATAAATCTACAGTCAAGTAACAGAAATAAAATCAAACAGACTTGTTGTCTTTGTGTAATGAGTTTAGCTGTCACTGTGCTTGTGTAGTGGTCAGGCAGACTGTCCGGTTGTGATATTATGAATAAGTAGTGAATTAATTAATGATTAATTAATTAGATTACATACCCTGTATCAGACACATCAATTAACATAATCAATTAAACCATGATCATTAAGCATTTTGACCAATGTCGTTTTCCACAGATCTTTCTCTTGGCAAAAAAAAAAAAAACATTTATGTTTTACGTCATTACACCAAATGCCATTGGTTAAAATCTGGCACAATCCATCAATAAATGCTGAATATTCTGATATTTGAACCGGAGTCGGACCATGATGTAGAGAATCAAAAAGAAGTGACAATTTATGTTAACTACCTTCAAGTCATCGATTAGAATGTTCTGTCATGATAATCTATAAATCTCTGTACAGGTTCTCGTAGGGGAACTGTTGTAAGATGCCTAGAGAGCCAGACTATACTGCATGCAGACAGAACAGTTTAGTTTATTTACGGTTATAACTTATGCTGTCTTTATGCTTTTATGACAAGCTATTGCATTTGTGTTGTACTGTATTGCAATAAAGGTGAAAAGATGGGTATAGAGACTCTTAGCTGCATTGGTACATCCCAAAACATAACACTTAAGCTGTCATGCCTCTTTAGTACAGACATTGTACAACTCCAGCAGCTACACCGAGGATACAGAAACTCTGTGCGTCTCACTGAGGGCTGTGTGTGTGTGTCTATGCTAATAGAGCAGATCATCACTGGCTGTGGGCGGAGCTTCTACCTTTTGTGGGGGAAATCTGAATCAGCTCATTTGAAGAGACTGCTTTTGATTTATGGGAATTATTAAAAAAATAGTGAGTGGATTTTTACCATTATAGGCTTGTTATTCTCACACACTGCAGGCACACATCGGAGTTCAAACACCTTATAAAAGTGAATTTTGCATAATAGGTCCCCATTGAATCAGCATATTTGTGATATGTGCCACCTTAAAATTGATTTCAAAGGAATACCTTATTAAATGTGTGTCATCATTCATGACAAATTCTTACATTTTAGCAAAGAATAAATATATATATATATATATATATATATATATCACTCATTCTTCAGCTGAAGACACAAACAGTTTCTCTCTCTTCTAAAGGTGAAGAAGCTCATACCTCTGTCACGTCCATGACCTTGATGGCTGCCAGCTGTCCTGTTTTCACATGTCGACCCTGTCAAACACAAGGACAACCATGAGAGATAACACACATGACCATGTGGCCCTGCTAAAGGATGTGGACACGTGATTAGGATGTCTGCACTTGTGCGCTTCATCTCTGAAGTGTCCCAAAATGTATAAATAGCTCCACAATAGTTGTGTTTTTTTTTTCTGTGATTTATAATATTGGTTAAAGGGTTAGTTCACCCAAAAATGAAAATTCTGTCAGTATTTACTCACCCTCATGTTGTTCCAATCCCGTAAGACCTTCGTTCATCTTCGGAACACAAATTAAGATATTTAAGATATTAAGATCACTCCTGTATACTAGTCCATAGGCTTCTTGAGGGAATGACTTGCTGGCCTCGAAAAGTCATTAAAGACATTGTTAAAATAGTCCAAGTGACTACAGTGGCTCAATCTTAAGTTTATCAAACTACGAGAACACTTTTTGTGTGCAAAAACGACAAAAATAACGACTTTATTTCAACTATTCGTTTATTTCTCCCTCTGCCTCGAGTCAGGTTACTAGTTTAATAGCGTAAGCTTCTGTTATTGTACGTCACACGCATCACACACATGACCAGCGTCGGCCAAAAGTGAGCCTACGTGTGACGTAGCTCTACGTAATCACACTACGTCAACTGACTACAGGCCCATAGAGAAGGAAGTGAATAGTTGAAATAAAGTCGTTATTTTTGTTTGTTTTTGCGCGCAAAAATATTCTCGTCGTTTGATAAAGTTAAATTGAGCCACTGTAGTCCCTTGGACTATTTTAACGATGTCTTTGATGACTTTTCGATGCTAGCAAGTGTCATTCCCTCAAGAAGCCTATGGACTAGTACGCAGGAGCGATCTTAATATCTTAAATATCTTAATTTGTGTTCCGAAAATGAACGAAGGTCTTACGGGGTTGGAACAACATGAGGGTGAGTACATTTTTGGGTGAACTAACCCTTTAAGTATCGGAGTTGCTCAACAATACTGTGTTGTTAGCCTGATCCTGGAATTTACTGTATAATATAAATGTCACAGAATTTGGAAACATTTTTGGATGAAAAGAGCAAAAGTATAGCTTTACACATAAACCAATTGCGCTATAGACTAGTGTGTGTGAATATTACAGACTGCTTTAAAAATCTGAAGTCTGTATGTTGTGCGTGTCTCAGTTTTTGAGCTGTTTTCAGAGTCACTTCACTAGCATTTCACCAGTTCGTTTGGCAAAACTATCGTCATATCATACAGTATCTACACAGCTAAAATAAAATATCTTCACTACAACCTGCTACAATAAAGGTTTGGTTTAACTTGATGAAAGACATAGCCTATTGCACAGTAGAATTTACTTCTCAAAGTAATAATTACAACAGCAATAATAGTATATGAAAACATTATTCTTAAGAAATATCACTATTATTTTTATTTAAATAGTAAACATGAGTCTGTTGTGAGGCACTTTATTTGCCAAAAAAATCAAAATATTTAATTTCATTATATTTTAAAAGAATGATAACCTTGTTAAAGTTTCATCTTTCAATTTTGAACAAAACTGTAAAACAGGGAATCCAGGAAAAATGAAAATTGCCAACACAGATACAGATAAATTTGCACAGAGGAACATCTAATAATACCAATATATTCACTTTGGGAAAAACAAACATTCTTTATGTAATTATAGAAGAAATTACACATGGACCCAGAGAGGTGCAGGATGCCTCAGTTAGCTGAAATAATTATGGCATCTAATTATGGACAATGTTTCATATGTCATGCTCAAACACACAGACCTTAAATTGGCACAGTTCCTTTTCTGCTTTCAAGTTCCACATTCACATGCAGTCAAGCATAGCAATAGCATTTGATGTTTTAAGTGAGAAAGACTAGTGTTTTTACAATATATAATAATAATAAATCAAGACGTGACTATCACTGATCACATAAATAGGCCTATACTGTTGTCCAGTTGTAAACTGCAACCAATGGTTAAAAAATCTCAAGTGGCATATGTGGTATAAAAAATGAAATATTATTTTCTCTTATTTACTCTGCTGAAGGAAACAACAAGTTACAACCATATAGGCCAGTATGATGGTACCCCTGGTACTTGTGTTGGTGGGAAGGAGAGAGACCTAACCTGATGGAGGACAGATCAATTCCTCAATGTTTCATGATGGTATGAAAAGAGGGAATTAGTAGTAGAAGAGTTTAAAGTTTAAAGAGATTAAGTCAGTTCCCAGTTCTCCTTAGTGATATGGCACATAGACTTAAGGCCTGTTCACACCAAGGACGATAACTATAAAGATATAGTTCTAAAAATTGTTCTCAAAAGCAGAGTTCACACCACAGCTATAATGCTAACAGCACAGAGAAACGATATTGTTGGAATCACTTTCAAAACAATTCTATCCAGCTGATGAATGATAAAAAACACTGACTGCCAATCAGAATCCATCATGCTGTAACGAGCTCGAGCATTTAAAGTGGCAGACAAGCACGCTCTTAAAATAAACCGTACAATAGGATTTATTGCAGGATCGTTGCAGGATCGTTGCCTGCACTAGTAAAAAAAATCTACCAAAACCATTTGAAGGTAATCATTTAATTGAAGTTCAACAAATAAAAAACAAATATATTACAGATGGACAAATGATAAAGCTCGGTTTGCTGAAATGATCCCAGATCATAATCTAGATGTGCTGTTTTTAACAAAAACCTGGCTAAAACCAGAAGATTACATTACTTTAAATGAATCCACCCCCCAAGATTATTGTTGTCATCACGTCTGAAAGGCAATGGGGAGGTGTTGCTACAATTTATAGTAATATTTTCAATTTTTCTCAAAGGTCTGGTTTCAGGTGTAACACCGTGTCCTAACTACACGCGACGCGATAAAATTCCAGCGACAGCAAGTGTGTCTGTCCACACTAGACGCGACGCGGCTGTGAGACGCCACACATCAGAACAGCGTGTGAGCGAAGTGTCTCTGTGAAAGCACACTGCTGGCCCGCACTCGCATTGGAAATGGGTAAGGACATAATCAAATCAAGAAATAACATTATTAAAAATCAAAACATTGACAAAATATAGCCTACTCATTGACTAATATTGTTATGAAGTAGCCTACAGTTGCCTGTTTGTATAGAACTCATTTTGAACGCTATATTATATGCTTTCAAAATCTAAGGTAAATTATCAGTTATCGCTTGTGGCACAGTGACCTATTTTTAACTAAAAATAAATAATGTATATATACTCATAACCAGTGTAATTTCTTCATTCGGTCAGCCGCGACGTTGCAGAAATAGGAACCGTTTCTAAAGCCCCGTTCACACTACACACGACCAAGCGACGCGATACAATTCATTATCAATGGTGAGCGGGCGACTTCCGGCGACAGCGATCGTTAGCGACCGGTGGGGCGTGTCCAGCGACGCGATTAAGTTGAGAAATGTTTAACTTTATGCAAATGAAGGGCGATTTTCGCGAGCGACAACCAATAGGAGTGAAGTCAGTGGAGCGCGTCACTCTTCAGTGCGGAGTCTGACCAAGGAAAGTTGAACGAGAAACTAATTTTATCAGTCAGAAACTGTCCTATAATGGATGATATTGAGAATGGATGAGAGTTGACGTCATTTTACAGTGCCCCTCCCCTTTCCGCCATGTTGGTAGGTTTCCCACGACAAAACAGTATTGATTACGTGTGTTTTTAGCTCGGTAGTAGAGGAGTTTCTCGCAACCGCACTGTTTTACCATGCCTGGAAGTAACTGCTGCGTTAAAAACCGATAAAAACCCTGGTAACCGATAGCGTCACCTACCATCATGGCCGACCGGTTCAGACCCCGCCCAAATAGGCACGTGACTCCTCATTCTCAATATCTCCATGTACATACAGTGGTGTACATCGTACTGACTCCGTGACTGAATGGTTTCAGGGAACCCAGATAGATTGGTATTTGCCTGTTTGCTGCAGTTAAATTGCCGCGATGGCAAGCACTCACTAGCCATGTTTCCATCCACTTGTCAATCGAATTATCTGAAATTCGGTTAAAAAACTCATGCGGATAAAGCTGGTGAAAGTGTGTTTCCATCCAACGGCTTTAAAGCGAATAAAAACCTGTACGTAATGACGTCACATGCTGTTTTGCGATCAAATAGCCTATATATAAATCAACCAAATAAATAAATAAATCAATAACTTGACACAAAATATTGACTTAAAAACGAGTTTATTGATTTAAAAACGAGTATTGCTTTTGCTAAAGAAAATAGTGTCCATGGCAACGGTGTGTTATACTAGAAGCGCCGCAGTCTGTTAACTAGAAATAACAGACCACATTCGACATTACAATTCAACCAAGCCACGTAAAAACAAGCAAAACTAACCTAAGAAAACAGCGACGCTATAAACATTGCTATGATGATGCCGATGCACGCAAGTTATGCCCGACGACAGCGGAGGTGACTGTGGTTTGGGAACGACAGCGCTCCATCAGTTCTGGGAGATCGTGGTTCACGGAAACCCTTTGGTTGAAGCATCTTTTTGCTTTGTCCACTTACATCTGTCTTTGTTGACATCCGCCATGTGTGCGAACAGACTGGCTGGAAATGAACTCGTCTTCTGACGTGTTGCAACCATAAAAGGGCATAAAACTTAATCGCAATTCATTATTCGGCAAATAACGTTTCCAGCAGCTTTTATCGCATTAGCCGTATATCGATCAAGAGAAAATCCGATGAGACCGAACGTATTTCATTTGAGTCAATTTTCATGAAATTTCATCGAATTTTACTGTTTCCATAAGGCATTTTTCATTCGATATCACTTAATTCGGATAAAAACGTGTCGATGGAAACATGGCTACTGTTTCTTGTTTATCTTTAATATTATGCATTTTATGTACTGATTCCATTTATATTTAGACTTTTTCTTACAAAATATTTGTTTGTAGCGGCAATAAAACTTATTTGTTGTCTAACATAGAGTAACTTCCGTGAATGTCACTCACAAACAT